GGAGATCTGATTTAAGTAAGGCCAATTACACCTGAACATAGCATGCCAATTTCTGAAGTCCTCCAAGTGTTTCATCTTACAAAGCCATGTTGATTTAAAGCAGAGCCTGTCGTGCCCAGCGGAAGGATGAGGAAAATGTGTTACATACTCTATATTGCTTTTATTTACAGTTCAAAGCTGGTATATTACAGAAAGACATCTTGGCTCTGCAGGAGCAGAAAAATGCATCCTCTCTCCTCAACAGCTCGGAGAGAAACACAGAGTGAAAAGCAGGAAACCAGTGTACGTCACATCCAGTCTCCCTTTCCCGTGAGAAACTCCAACAGTACAGACTGTGGAATGTAAACACCTGTCTTGTGACTGCAGTTGCTGCTCAGTGAAGGAAATAGAAACCAACATCCTCCCCTTTCTGTGAACATCACTGGGCAGCGTGTTCGTACAGTATCAGTACAAACCCAACTTCTGCACATAGGTACAGTGTTGATCCCTTGATACAATCTTGGACAATACATCAGCAGGAATTTCATTACCTGGCATATAGGACACCGTTACGAGTCCCTTCTGAATACATTCCCTAGCATGCTGCAACTTTAATTGCAAGTGCTTTGTGCTTTGCTTACAACCTTCAGACTTGAGCAAAGCCAAACATGCTTTGTTGTCCTGGTAAACCTGGATTGGACATTTGACAGGAATTGTCATATCTTTGCACAATTGTACTAACCATTCACAATCCTTAAGTGAATAAGACAGTGCATTCAGTTCAGCTTCACAAGTACTTAAGCTAACTGTTGTTTGCTTCTTGCATGACCAATCAAACAGACTCTGATTGTACATGTAGCAAACTCCAGACGTACTTTTCCTGTCTGTAGCGTCACTTCCAAAACTTGCATCTGCAAATATCTCAAGACCACCAGACTTCTGATTGTTAAATCTCAGTCTGTAATGCATAGTGCCTTTCAAATACCGCGCTATGCGTTTCAGAGCTTTCCAATCCTTGACACTAGGATTGTTGACTTGTCTGCTTAGCAAATTACAGCTAACAGCAATGTCTGGTCTTGAACATCTGGCAATGAAGTTTAGCTTGCCTAGCACACTCCTGTACAGTGTAGTGTCAGAAAATGCTTCTTCAGTGTCATCTACCTGATAACCTGTTGTCATCGGTGTGTCTACAGGGTTAGCATCCATCAGATTTAGTTTGCTTAACACATCAGCAATTTTCCGTGACTGGTGTACTAGAATGTTACCATCTTGATCTCTCTCTATTTCCAGAGATAGGTAGTTGTTTACCTCACCAAGATCTTTCATGTCAAAGTGCTCTTTCAGTTGAGCTAGGGCGCTATTGTACATTGCAACATCTTTCCAAAAGAATAATAAATCATCAACATAAAACAAACAGTACAGTTTCTTTTGCCCCTCCTCTTTGACAAATACACATGGATCAGCTTCCCTTGCTGAAAACCTAGAGAAAACAATACTTCAGTGAGTTTTGTGTGCCAACACCGTGCACTTTGTTTGAGACCATAAAGGGATTTCTTCAGAGCACAAACAAATCCCTGTTTTACCTGTACGCCATCAGGTGGAAGCATATAAAGTGATTCATTTAGAGATCCGTACAGAAAAGCTGTATTAATATCATGGTGACTAATGTGTAGATTTTCCTCTGCAGCTAGCTTAAGCATAAGCCTAATGCTTTCATATCTCACTGTGGGTGAATAGGTCTCGTGATAGTCTTCACCTGGTACCTGTGCAAAACCTCTGGCTACCAATCTGGCTTTGTGTCTGACTATCTTGCCATTTTGATCTGTCTTCGCTTTGAAGACCCATTTGCTTCCAAGCAGTTTCATTCCTGGAACTACTGGAACTAGCTCCCATGTTTTGTTCCTTTCTAAGGAATCAAGCTCAGCCTTCATGGCATTTAACCATGGCTCAGCTTCCTTTGAATCCAAACCCTGGATTTCTTGGAAACTTGAAGGTTCAAATACCTTCTTGGAGCTTTTAACAGCTGTTACTGCTATCTTAGCAAACTCATCAGCAAAGCTCTGTGGAGGAGTGCATGTTGTGGCTCTCTGTGACCTACGAATTATCCTTAAGTCTTCAACACTCTCCTCTTCCTTCTTAGGAGAAAAACGACCTATTGTGAACAATGGTTCCTCCAATTCTTGATCAGAGCTTTCAGAGGGTCGCATAGAGGCTTTCGCACTCTTGAAATCCTCTGAATCACCCGATTCAGTTTCAGATTCAGACTCAGAACCTTCATCAGTGGGTGTGGGCTGTTGTGGTTGCTTTTGACTAACCTCAGTCTCATCACCGTCATCAGGATAACATTGGAAAATTCCCACATTCTCCCCCCACTTTGCATTGTACTCAACACTTCTCGTGAGCTTAAATGTCTTATAGTCAGTCAACAATATTCTGTAAGACCCATTCTGATAACCTAGAAAGATACCATGCAATCCACGCTTGTCTAACTTGGAGTTTTGTGGTGAGCGAACCCACATGTCAGAACCAAAATCTTCATGTGTTTGATGTATGGCTTCTTGCCAAACATCTTCTCATAGGGGGTACAACCAATCGCTGAAGATAATCTGCGATTGTAACTGTAAACAAAACACGAGAGAGATTCGGCCCAATAACTCTCTGGAAGATTGGCATCATGCAGCAAGGTTTTTAGACCTTGAAGCAACGTCTGATTTGCCCGTTCCGCAAGTCCATTCTGCCATGGCGAGCGAGGACTAGACAAATCGTGTTGAATTCCTTTCTCAGTCAGAAAAGCTTCAAACTGCTGAGAAGTGAATTCCCCGTGATCACTGAAAAGAGTCTTTATCTTCTTACCATGCACATTTTCCAACCAAGCACAGAATTCCTTGAACCTAGGAAAAGCCTCCGATTTCTGCTTGAGATTGTACACAAAAATATATCTAGAAAATGCATCAATGAGAACCATGAAGTATCTATTTCCACCCAAAGAGGGCGATAGTGGTCCAACCAAATCAGCATGAACAACCTGGTATGGTTCTGTAGCTTTCCTACTAGACACCTTACCTTTCGCAGCCATTTTCACTTTGTTTGCTGCGCATGCTTTGCACTTCATGTGGTACCTGCAGGGTTTAATAGTCATACCTTCAACCAAGGCAGGCATTTTAGATACTGCCTCAAAATGCAAATGACCAAATTTGCGATGAAAATCGTGAATACATTCTGCATGCAAACTTTTGTTAGAACCTGCAATGCAACAAGTGTCATCCTGCACCACATCATCATAATACAAAACAAACAAACGATCAACATATTCTGCATGCAATACATAATCATTTTTCTTTGTGATGATGCACTTCTTGTTCTTGAAGGAAACGTCAATGTTCCGCTCATTCAGCTGTCCAACGCTGAGCAGATTATGTTTGGCGTCTGGCACGTAAAGCACATTCTGTATCGATAAGTCCAAACTGTGAAGAACAACAGTTCCGTAGCCTTTACTGGGAATAGTGTGGTCATCCGCCTGGTGAATCGCACCTTCCTGCGGTGTAAAAGACACAAACAGTTTCTTATCGTTGCACATGTGGTGGGTGGCCGCTGAATCAACAACGAAGAAAGATCTAGACGTCTTCTGGACCTCTGCAACCTTTGGAGTGAAGCGTGAAACCATAGCCTTGTGCTGCGTTGTCCTAGACACCGGACCTTTGCCTTTGCCTCGGCCTTTTCCGCGTGATGAGCTTCGCTGCGCTGCTCTGTCTTGGCCCTGGGATGTCTGCATTCCCTCTTCATATGGCCTAGACGTCCACACGAGTAGCATTTGACTGCCTTCAAAGCTTTGGCGCCATCTGGTGGTTCCACTGCACTATGGGATGACGTCTGTGAAGACTCCCTTGCCCATGCAGCTAGCACCCCGGCGATCTGCTTCATTTAAAATCACGGCAGTAACAAAGTCCACTGTCAGCTGAGCAGTTGGTTGCACAGCAATCTGGGTTGCAACAGACTCCCAACCTGAACCCAAAGACTGCAGTATCATGAAAGAATACACAGCCTCTGGAAAGTTGAGTCCTCTCTGTTGCAGCTCATGTCTCAGATTTTGCATCTCCATCAAATGTAAACGCACATCTCCACCTTCAGCAAGAGCCATATTATGCAGCTTGTTAAAGTAATACATAGTGGATCCAGCTTCTGTCCTTAAGTGAGCCTCTCTCAGAGCGTCCCAAATTTCTCTGGCTGAGGTCTTATCACGCAATAGACAGAGCTCTTCTGGGGATACTATCAATGTAAGAGTTCCCTTGCTTTGGAATCCTTAGCTTCCCATGCATCTGTAACTGGAACTGGGGGTTTCTGTAATCACCTCAAACAAACCCTCTTTCCGCAGAATTGCCTCTGCATACTGAACCCAGTCGCTGTAATTTTTCTTGTTGAGCTTAGGAATCCCACAAGCATCCTGAAGGGCCATCATGACTCTGGCATTAGCCTTCAGCGTCATTATATGCTGCTTTAAATCTTGCTGCGTCACTGCTGCAGCTGCCTTATCACAAAGGCACTCTTAAAAGTTACTTTCGATTTCCTCAGCATAGTGACTTGTGCCTGGGAGCCTTTTGCCTATTCCCGGCAAAACCGGCTTTAAAAGTTCAAAGTCCAGCCATAAAGCCATTAATTTGAAGCTGGCAGGCTGCCCGGAGCAGTAGCACATACCTCATCAATCACTTCTACGCGCAGAGCAGATTCCTTTCCGATCCGTCCCTCTGCATTCCGATCCTTTGCCGGCACTCCGATTCGACCTCTGGAGCCCATAACCACGTGTTGATTTAAAGCAGAGCCTGTCGTGCCCAGCGGAAGGATGAGGAAAATGTGTTACATACTCTATATTGCTTTTATTTACAGTTCAAAGCTGGTATATTACAGAAAGACATCTTGGCTCTGCAGGAGCAGAAAAATGCATCCTCTCTCCTCAACAGCTCGGAGAGAAACACAGAGTGAAAAGCAGGAAACCAGTGTACGTCACATCCAGTCTCCCTTTCCCGTGAGAAACTCCAACAGTACAGACTGTGGAATGTAAACACCTGTCTTGTGACTGCAGTTGCTGCTCAGTGAAGGAAATAGAAACCAACACGAAGCTTTTAAATCTGCAGGGTACCATCCAAATTGGCAAAAAAAGTTCAGGTTCCATTCAGTTGTAGCAGAGGTATGTGCAGGACTGGGTGAATTCTGCCATTCTATACAACTGCATGGGGCCCAAAGGTTAGGGCAGGGCTCCAGGCCTCAGAGATTTATTGTTCCTCCATATGACTAGCAGAAGACAAAGAAATATTTAAAAAAGGGGGGGAAATTTACTTAACCTGCATAATTAATAGAGGTCACAGAATTCAGCTTTTTCTGATGCAGAATTTAGGTTATGCTGGTACTCTTTTAAAGGGGAAAGTATACAAAGGCCAGCATGTATGTACATCTTATTTATCCAGCTTCGGCACAATGAAATTGAACCACAATTAGGAATAACAAAAATATTAACAGAAATACAACATCTGGAACTTGTTCTTCCAAAAGATAAAGTTATGGTAGTCCAAAGAACTCCATAAATTTCACTTAGGTTGTCTTACCGATTATGGTTTCCACACAGATTCATACTGAACTCAAGTTTCTTCCAAATTTTCCATTTCTTAAAAAAGTCCATCTCACAGATTCAGTTTAAACATTCTGTCAACTATTTGTTGCAGGGTTTTTTGAAAACAAAAACCCAAAACAATTATTGTCACTATTCAGGTTACATCACAAATAAATGCAAGCACCAAACAGCTGTCTTGCTTTGTTTTATTTTGTTTTGTTTTTAAAAGACACTAGCTGGATTCCATTAGAATTCACTATGGAATGAACCAAATGTTATTGTACTGACACGATAAAAAAACCAGCTGCCCTGTTCTCCGCGTCTGCCATCCAACCTTCTTCTGCCAAACCATCCAATGATACCACAATTGAGTTCAGGCTGAGGCTGCTCAGAGTCCTATGTGGCTCCTGGTTCCGATTCAGCAGGTTGTGCTGCCATTGCTTTCAAGCGAAAATTCACATCTTCTTCATCTTTTTCTTGCTGCGTTGGTTAAAGACCGGTGATGATCCCATCAGGCTGTCAGGGGAAGGAGAAGCATAGCTGCTTTCAGAACCGTCTGGGCTCTGCGGCATGCCAGCTTCACTCATGCCTGACATGGGCTCCTCAAACACGTCGCTGCCCAGGACCCCATGGTGCCCATGGACGTGGCCTTCCTCACTCTCTTGTGGCTCTATTTTCACCGGAAGGTTCCAGAGAGGGGAAGTGTTCACTTCGCCACCTAAAAGGCAGTTGGGGGCGGGGTAGAGAAAGAGAGAGACTTTACTCATCAGATGAGCAAAAGATACAAAACATAGATACGATGAAAACAAGAGACCAGGTAGACTAGCTAGTCTGCATAAATAACATGTTAAGGAATAGGGAGTTGGCATATAAAAACTGCTAACACTTTACTCATGAAGTCTTATTTTTATATCAGGATTAGGCAACGTGTGGTTGGACTGCAAATCCCATCTTCCATTGGTCATGCTGGCTGAGGCCGGTGGGAGTTGAAGCCCCACAAACTCTGGAGGGTCATCGGTTCCCCAGGCCTAGTATATATGGAAGGTTTCAGAATTTTTGGTGAATTCTGAGGAGAAAGTGAACTAAGTAAAGAGAAGAGTGAACTGTGCTGAACCAATGTACTCAGTGGAGACTGGGCTGCTAATCCTGGAGACAAGGAAACGTCCAACAACAAAGGACAACGTGTTAAAAAGCCATTTTATCATCCTAAGACAGTGTAGCTTTAATGTGCTTGGCAACAGTACCCACTGGATGCCTGGTGGGACACTCTTCAGCAACTTGGTGAACAGCCTACAGAGCTTGTCAGGGAAAGAGCAGAATAATGGCATTTTTCATTGATAAGCAACAATCCACCATCAAAGAATCACAAGGCATTTTGTATACTTATAGAATCTTAGCCTCTTCCCTCAAGCAGTAAAGCACTAACGTTGAACTTTTCAGTGGAATCATTTGCATCCCCAAATGATTTAGGGATCCCTCGCTACATTTCACATTTCAGAGGCCATAACACAAGAGCAATGAGCCCCAGCAGAACAGACAGACTTGTGTTTTCAAAGCCCAGTTAAAACAGAGCGGGATATCTAGACTCCTTTAGCTACATATGCAGCTAAGATTAAAGTTAATAGGAGAAAAGACATGAAATGTTTTGAGGGGGTTTAATTGGGTTTCTTAATTGCATGGCACAATGGATTCACACCAGTGAAATTAAGTAGGCTTTACAACCATCAAAGATGAAAAATTATAAAGACTATTGCCCTTTGTTTGCTTAGCCTTTAGAATGGATTAACATTCCATTTTCAAACTTTATTTTAACTACTGCTAGGAACTTTACTAAATTTTATTGCAAATTTGAAGGCAGAAGGGTAGGGTCCAGTTCATCACCAACAGTTCCCTTGATTGTAGCAACATTTCCCCCCTAGCTTTATTCACCACTTTTTAAAAATCAAGAGGCTCAATAGACAACCAAAAATGTGAAAAATGATGGAACTTCTAAACTAATATCCAAGTATCTCCCTTCTACTAGCACTATTACAAAGGCACTGCCTTCAAATGAGCCACACTTTGTAGCATTTTCCATTTCAAAACAAAGATCAACACAGCACTTAAAAGCATCTCGGTTTCCTCTTTTATGAGTCAAGGGTCTACCACGCAAAGGAACTATGTACCTGAGGTCTGCGGAGACACCTCTGCTTCCAGGTTAGCTGAGAAGCGCTCACTCTGAGCTCCAAGCACTCCCACAGGCAAAGACTGGTCCCCAGATGCCAAATCCCCCTCCAGCTCCTCACTCATGGGAAACGTGATGTCACTAACTGGCTCCTCTTTGATCTTCACGGGTTTCATGTCTTCTGCTGCCTTCTCAGGGTTCACAAGCTTCTCATACTCTTCAGAAAGTTGCTTGCTTACCTGTTGGTAACCACATGGCAGAGATAAGAAGGTGTGGTTTGTGACAGAGGTGCATGGCATCCATCTCCTTCATGACCAGCTCACCCCTACCAAGGTAAGTTGTCTATGATGGAAGATGGAGCCTGGGCTGGGCTATGGTGGAGACAGAAGGCCTTATATTTCTCCCAGCATGGGCTTGCCTCCATCTACACTCCTGCCTGACTGGCTTGGATTGTGCAGAGTGGGGAGGCAATGTGTCTCTGCGCATGGAGTGCTTGGCTGCATCTACACTGTACATTCAAAGCAGGCTCATGCCTCATGCCACATGCCACTTTAAACAGTCATGGCTTCCCTCAAAGAATCCACAGAACTGTGGTTTGTTAAGGGTGCCGAGTTGCTCGGAGACCCCTATTCCTGTCTGAGACCTAAAATACCCAGGCTTCCCTGGGGAAAAGGATTGACTGTTAAATTATTCTGAAAATTGTTGCCCTGTGAGTAGGTCTCTGAAGAACACTCAGCCCCTTAAAAACAATCAGATCCCAAAATTCTTTGAGGAATCCCCTTGCAGGAATTACATCTGAGAGGCAAGGCAAATGTCTTAAGTCTGTGTCCCAGCATTATCTCAGTAGAAAAGAACATGTGAAGAATAGCCATCTTCCACTCTGGTGGCGCTGTGGTCTAAACCACTGAGCCTCTTGGGCTTGCTGATCGGAAGGTCAGTGGTTCGAATCACCATGAGGGAGTGAGCTCCCATTGCTCTGTCCCAGCTCCTGCTAACCTAGCAGTTCGAAAGCAGATAAATAGGTACCGCTGCGGTGGGAAGGTGAACAGTCTTTCTGTGCGTTCTGGTTTCTGTCACAGTGTTCCATTACCCCAGAAGCAGTTTAGTCATGCTGGCCACATGACCCGGAAAGCTGTCTGTGGACAAACACCGGCTCCCTTGACCTGAAAGTGAGAGGAGCGCTGCAACCCCATAGTCACCTTTGACTGGACTTAACCGTCCAGGGGTCCTTTACCTTTACCGTTTACCAGTAATATAATAACACCAAGGTCACACCAGAGGTTCATTGGTGCTGACTGGAATGGTAAGGAGCTCCAAAACTGTGACCTTGAGGTTCTTACAGTGAAGAAGGAGCCTTGGCCCTGTATACTTGAAGGAGCGTCTCTACCTCCATCATCCAGCCCAGACACCAAGGTCCAGCTCTGAGGACCTTCTGGAGGTTTCCTCACTGTGAGACGTGATGCTACAGGGAACCAGGCAGAGGGCTTACTCGGTAATGGTGCCCGCCCCATGGAAGGCCCTCCCATCAGATGTCAAACAGATAAACGATTTGACTTTTAGAAGACATCTGAAGGCAGCCCTGTATAGGGAAGTTTTTAATGGTTGAGGTTGTTTGTATTTTTAATATTTTGTTGGGAGCCGCTCAGCGTGGCTGGGGCAACCCAGCCAGATGGGCAGCATATAAATAATAAAATTATTATTATTATTATTATTATTAGCAATATTGCCATGGCTCCTGTAACCCTGGAGAATTATAAGAAGCAGCTTTCAAGCAGCTGTTATTTTCACTCTCCCATTGGCTTCATAAATCTACACCTCTTTAGGAGAACTCCAGGAATCTCTGCAAACAGATATATTGCAATCTGCAGGAACGTACCCATTTGAGATAAAGCAATGGGAAGCCCCTCCAGGCTAGACATTTTCCCCAACAGAGAGCAATTCTTGCAGGTGTGCAGTGCAATCTATCCCCCAAGCTCCCGGAGCAATGAACAACTTCGCCTTTATCGATAGAGAAAACACATTCACGATTTCCCTGTACTATGAGAACCATGGGAATTAGCTCTCTTGCCTTGCTGTGAGCATACTGCTTCCTTCTCTTCTCACCTGCAGCATATAGCTATGATAATCCTTGATCCGGTGTTGCCAGAACTTCTGCAGAGAGAGCACACTGCCAATGCCCACTTCGTGGAAGACCTGCTCCATGACATCCGGGAAAGGGCTCTGCCCAAGCCGGGCTTCTCGGTCCACAGCAAAGCGCAGGAGCTTAGTGAACTTCAGGCAGTATTCATGGGCGATGTCTGTCAAGGTTTCCAAGACACTCTCGTTGGCACACTCGAAGCCCGCGTGGGCCAAAATGGTGGCAATGGACTGGTAGAGAAGCTGGCGGCAAGAGGTCCAACTCAGCTCCATCACTGGCTCTCCTTTGCCTCTGAAAGCAGACAAGGCAGCACCCAAAGGACTTGGTGAAAATGGGGCTCTTCTGGCTAGCGTTGCCTGGGACAAAAATTTCAAGCATGCTTAAAGTTCTAGCTAGCTTGAGATGGCTGGCATAAGACAAAGGAAACTTTTCTCCCCTGAGAAAAACGGTTTGGTGCTACTTCAAAGTTAGATTCTTTGAAGTAAATATATATATATATATATATATATATATATATATATATATCAAAGAGAACACGACTGCAAATTTCTCACGAGTTCAAAGTAAAGTGTTTGCTTTGAGGTACGATATGTAACTCCTGCAACTTTACCTCAAGGCAACACATTCATATTAATTACAGTGAGGTTCAAAACACCCTACTTTTTAAGGGGGTCTACACAGCTTAAGAATCTAGAGCTGAATTCATTGTGACATTTTAATCGATGGATGACTAAATGTTTTGGGGGCAAGGGCTGCATTCACCCATGAGCTGTTTGACAGGAGTGCTACAGCCACCCCACACTCTTACATGCAATCACACACCCACAGACAACACGCACCAAGCACACACAGGATACAGAGAGAAACACACACACACACACACACACACACACACACACACACACACACAAAAACAAGCCACCATGAAAACACACCCAGTTCATCAAGTGATCAATTTTATGACTAGGGATGGGATGATCTGCATCCCCAGTAGAGTGTTGGGATGGGCAGAAGTTTGAACAGTGTCTGATGATGATGATGATGATGATGATGATGATTATTTGCAACTGCTACCCAAAATCACAGTGGTCTTGGGAAGCCAGAAACAAATGCTGTTAGAAGGCCAGTTGGTCCCCCCAACTTAATCCGAAGTATTTCTAGACCAAACCCATTTTAGACTTTCAGCTCTAGTATCTTAACTATTTATTTTATCTATTTATAGAAGTATTTCTATACTGCTATATCATAAAACAGCAGGGCAGTGCAAAGCAGTAAAGCCTTAAACACCATCAAAACAATACATGCAATCCTTAAAGTGGCTGGTTCATCCATTTAAACACCAGCAAAGGCCAGTCGGGATTTTTTCTACAAAATCTTCAAAGAGACGTCTGAAAGTCAGAAGTGAGGATACCTGCCAAATCTCTGCAGGAAGGCTGAACCACAGCATGGAACCGGCAACACTAAATGCCTGGCTTCTAGTGGAGACCAGCTGGACCTCTGTAACACATGGGACAACTAACAGCACTCCTCTGGATGATCTCAGCGATTGAGCTGGGATGTAAGGGCTCATGTGGTCCTTATGGTATCCTGAACCCAAGTTGCTCAGAGCTTTGTATATCAACACAATAACCTTCAATCTGGCCCAGTATTTATGTATTCCTCCATGTTTCCACACTAGTGTTGCTAATGATTATGACACCAGGTCCGGATTTTTTGACATTTATGGCATGGCAGAGGAAGCCTTCCTGCCTGGCTGAAGTCGGGTATGGACTATTACCTACTCAAGTATTTTTTTAAAAATTCTGTACCATGCAAACTCATGATCTGAAATGAGTTGGGCATCATCCAGGTCTGGCACTAACACATGACATACTGGGGTTCATGGCAGGGCCTACCCATTATGGGGGACAGGAAGTGTGCTGATGGGAGGTGCATTCCATGCTCCTGAAATAGCCAGTTTCAAAAACCAATGGGGCTGGGTAACTGGGCACACAGCCCATAATTCCAGATCAGGCCTGCCACCACGCCAACCCTCCAGTTCTTACTACGGGACACAGTATCTGCAGCAAGGGCTTGGGGAAGATGGTATATGATTGGCATGGACTGGATCCCCCTTGTTCTGCCAACTGAACTGTACCATCCCACATCAGTATATTGGGGGAGTGCTGTAGCTCAGTGGTAGAGCATCTCCTTTACATGCAGAAGGTCCAAAGTTCAATCCCCGGCATCCAGGTAAGGCTGGCAAAGAATCCCGCCCGAGACCCTGGAGAGCCACTGCAAAGTCTGGGTAGACCAGGGGGCTCCCAAACTGTGGTCCATGGACCACCAGTGGTCCGTGAGCTTCATTCAGGGGGTCTGCAACATGTCCATATTCATATTTTTATAGTACAATGGTACCTCGGGTTACATATGCTTCAGGTTACAGACTCTGCTAACCCAGAAATAATACCTCGGGTTAAGAACTTTGCTTCAGGATGAGAACAGAAATCGTGCTCCGGCGGCGCGGCGGCAGCAGCAGGCCCCATTAGCTAAAGTGGTGCTTCAGGTTAAGAACAGTTTCAGGTTAAGAACGTACCTCCGGAACGAATTAAGTACTTAACCCGAGGTACCACTGTATAGCTGTTGCTTCTCTTATTTCATACACTGTATTTTATGGTTTTGCCATTTGAATTCCATGTAAAGCATGTGCTCTATCGCTGATCAAGTTTTGGCTGGCTGGGGACATTACTGGATAATGGATTTCCGCCATCTTCTCATTCTCATCTGATTCTAAGATGTATAGACTACCCCCCTCAATAGAGTACAGTGACAAATCTGCCAAGCCTTATAAATCAGAGTTCAGGTTAATGAAGTTTCAGGCATCATAAACTGGGTCATTTTCTGTTTCGATCGCTGAACATGACAGGCAGGCTATCTGTCAAATGCCCCCAGCTGAAGTGATGAGAAGCGTTATTTAACATGAGGCAAGGCCTTCCCTTTTCTAAGTAGTGAGATCCTGTGGCCCATTTCCTGTTTAACCAGCATGTCAAGGTAAAAGAATCTGGTGAATCTGGAAGCGGTGGAGGTTCACGCACATAAAATAATGGGCTGAAGTGATAGGCCTTTCCAAAGATGAGCAGAATGCTTAACTTTAGAAGGCAAAGGTTGCCTTCTTGCAATTGCTTCAATTTTATGAAACATTACACTGCTGAGCTGCATTTTCTAACCAGTGAATTACTGTAGAATTCTGTTATATGACCAAAGTGTCCTTCCAGGTAAAATAAAAGGTGGATGTTTGTGGATTTAAAGCAAGATTGAATTAGTTACTGATCCTGGTGGTGACGGGTGACCTCCAATGATTCAAAAAGATGGGGAGCTTTTTCCTTATTTCCCTTTTCTGATGTTGGCTCAGCTGTGCCAAATTCCCTCCTAATAACGCCTGAATTCTTCTCTGCATTGTGCCTCCCTTCCTTGGCCTGCCAGTGTAAAACAGCAGCAATTGTCAGCTGGACCTTAACCATCAGCACTAGTGTAAAATTGACAGCCCCTATGAGCGAGTGGTCAACAAGCCTTGCCTTTAGCATTGCCAATTTGCAGCTCCATCACCAGACAGGGATGGTGAAATCTGAAGACAAAGTAGTCCTACTCCTCCTGCCTGTTCCCCCACCTCACCCCCAGACACCCAGCCAACCACCCTTTCCTTCACATGGGGTGTAGCAGTCCTGCTTGTTTCTTCATTTAAAGTCATTCATAGGCTGCTACTCCTCCCTAAGGAGCTCAGAGGAGCATACAGTAAAAAAGAAAACACACAGAGGCACTAGAAAACTACAGAACTCGTGAGAGTCCAAATAACCATGAGGGTTCCAAAGCCTGATTTCCAAGCAAAAGTTTAACTGCCTTCCTGAATGCTGCATATGCAGATTGCCAAGATGGCCTCAAATGGGGGCAGGTCAGGGCACAGCAGTTCAGGGGCAGGCGGCTATCACGTGGAAAACGGGAGGGGTGGTCACAGGATATAACTAACCACCTCCCTATCTGAGGCCCTGAGGCTCTAGGTAGGAATGGAACTCTTGACAGAAAATCTTAACCCAACCCTTGATTGCCCATACAGAAAATAACTAAGGCTAGATACTTCTGAATAAATGCCCAGGATTATTGTTAATTGTTTAAACCACGATGGGAAAGCTGTCGCGTTCCATATATTTTTTAGCTGCAATTCCCATTACCCATGACCATTGGCATGTGTGCATGATGGGAGCTAGGCTCTGACAACATCTAAAGAGTCACAGGTTGGCCATTCCTGGTTTAAAATGTGGAAACACCAAGGGCCTATTCCACTAAACAGAGGGCTCACTCAGCAGTTTAAAAGAAAAAAATATTGAGCAGTGTAGAACACAGTAACAAGAAAAAAAACCTCACATTTGTGTGGCTCAAAGCCAAGCTCACATGGCCTACCACCAGCCCCCAAAAGACCCCACATCACACACCTGTAAAAGTCGCTTTCTGGATCGCTGTGCCGCAACTGAAACGGCATCTTGGGAATCTTGCTGTCGAGAGGAAGCAAGTCATCGGGGAGAGGTGGGGAGCCAGGGCAGGTGGGCAAAGGCTCGCTTTCTTCCATCTTGATGCCCTCCGCTTGCTGCTGGCTCTGACTCTGAGCCAGGGCAATGAGGCTGCGCAGCCGTCGGTTGTGCTGCATCAGCTGGATGGTGTGAATGGTGAGGCTGCACGGCTCCGAGGGGATGTCCAGCATGGTGGTGGGCTTGGGCTTGTTGGCAGAAGGCTGGTGCAGCAGGGGATCCTGGACCTCCACAGTGCGGAACTCTCGCTGGAGCAAATCAAAGGAGCTGCGGTTGGCTTGGCTGGACGAGACGGGGATCTCGCCCCAGTAGCGCAGCATCTTGCTTGCTTGTTAGCACGAAAGCTCTTGAGATCACTTAAGGGACTCTCTCTGGAAGAGCAGCTACTCAGCAGGTCCTTTGCAGAAACAGGGTGGGCATTTTAACCTGGTTCGAAAGACAGGAAGAAAAATCCAAAGGTGTGTCATCAAAAGTTCTCCTTCACCATCCAAAAGATCAACTGAGTAATAATGCAGCCTTCATCAGAAGCTGAGCAACATCTTCTTTAGGAAGTTATATACATACCCTAGAAAAACAGAAATTGCTGTGAAAGTGGCCTTACAGAGGATCTATAGATTCCAATTAGCGCTAGAGACGGAGTTGGTGGAAAAGGCTGGGATGAGCTCAGGCTCCCCAATACTAGTGTGATATTGTATGAGAACCAAACCATAACTGAAAAAGCCATGACTCTGGTCACATTTAAAACTCCAGCGGGGGGGCCCCTCTAATAGGGTGCCTGCTTTTAACATTAAGAAGGTTTTGGGTAAGAAGCCTAAACCCTCTCTACACACTGCTGTTTTAGACACCATGGCTTCCTCCACCCACCTATTTTGATAGTAAAACCGTACACTCATTGCTTCATGAGATATGCAAAGTAGACAAGAGAACAAATGTAGCTCACCCATCAAATCTGGTTTGGCCCTGAAACAAAATAGCTGTCAAATGACTGCAGAAATTGGGGAAACACTCCTGGGGGGCCGGCAGACCCCCAGTACCTCCGAGCGTCTCCCGATAGGCACGTCTCTGGAATGGCATGTCTCTTCACTCCAAAGTGCCCATCTGAAACACTTCTCTTATGAAAAGTGCACCCAAGTCTTCTGGCATCACGCAGCAAGAAGATAGAGACATCCGTAGATCTAAACTCCGTTTTATTCACAATATATACAGAGTCCATAATCACGTCTGTGCCCTCCAAACTCTGGCAGAAAACAGAAAGCAATCAGCAAAAGCGAAAGTACAGTCCAATAACACTCTCAGACAGAAGAGATAAGACAGTCTTCCATTCCCACACTCTTCTCAGACATCTCATGTGATTTATACTAATCACACTAACCAGCATCAGTTACGTAAAATCCTAACATACGCCTGTTAAAAGCATGGGATTGGGGGAAGGGGTGGCAGGCTAAAAGCTTGGAGGTGGGATTTCCCCCCATTGTCCAAAATGCTGAGCTGAGTTTCCCCAAGACACTGAGGTGCTTGCAGGATGGAGAGGAGGAGGGGGAAAAAAGAGGATTACAGACGCAGCAGCTTCCAAATCTATTGTGCAAATTAAATACTGCAAATCTCTTGTTTCTCAACAGAGTGCAAATTGGATTCAGGTTACACCATCCATGGCTCACAGACTAAAAAAAAGTCTCAAAACAATTGATATGACAGTAGATTTCAATTTATTCATGCTCTATGTAAACTATTCAATTCAAGACAGCTCCAAGATTAAGTCCCACAAACAGCTTCTGTTATTTAGGTTAAGGCAGAAAAGAACAGAAGAGGAATTTGATTGTGTGTAAATCATTCCTTGGGTGTAGTTACTGAGTCCCTTTGCCAATTCCCCTTACAGGTGTTTTTTTTTTGCCATACCCTGTGGTTTCCTGGCCAAACACATTGCAAAACGTCTTCCAGCTCAATGCTGTGCACACTTCCCTGCATGTAAGCCCCAATGGAATACAGTAGGACTTACATCTGAATTACGAGGCATAGGATTTCACCGTTATGCTATCATACAGAGGTTGGTATCAAACAGCTCAAACAAGGCAGAAGTAACTTCTAAGGGTTGTCTCAAGATTTGCAAGTAGTTTTTGTGGATAACTGCAGGATTCTATTGATTCAATTCCATCAAAGCAAACTTCAATCTCCTGCATATCCAAATAGGGCTGAGGGAGACTCCTGCCTGAAACCCTGAAAAACCAAAGCCAATACAATACTGAGTTGGCTGGACCAGTAGTCAAGACTCGGCATAAGCCAGCTTCCTATGTTCCTAGCTTTAATAAATGCTCACAAGCATCTGCTAGTCAATGCAGCCACTGCTAAAGCCATGCTAAATAGCTGAGAGGACGCTATTTCTATGTTTCATTGGTTTGGAATGTGTGTTTTGCCAAGGTGTTTTTTTTTTGGGGGGGGAGGGGTTGGATGCATTTTTGAGCATCACTTTTCCCCCCTGTGAAACTGACATTTCATTGTGCTTGATGTAAACAAAATCTGCCCTTTTTCCCTTATCCAAGAGCCCGTATGGAGTCCTTAAGTGGGTTCTCTATTGGTAGGAGAAAATAACAGAAGCCAACCAGAGAATATTGAGAAGCAAAGCAACTAGTAAGCCTGATCTTTATTAAACTGTTGCAACAGGGTCCTCACTCACCAGATGCAGGGAGGAGGAACCTAGAACAATGGTGTGCAAGCCCTTATATAGACTTTTGAAAGTGCCAGCCTGTAGCCCAAGACCACCCCCAAAACATCATGCATACATCACAGAAAGAGGTGGTCCCCAGCAGAAATACATGTGGGGCGGGGTCTAGAGCAGAATCCTGTCTGGCAGGAAACCTGTTAATGGTCACTGATTGGATTACCTGGGCATCCTAGCCATTCTTTTGTGATGATAAATAGTTCATTCCTGAGTCCAGGTCACAGCCTCACCCTATTCATATCTTAAATGTGCCCTTAAGGCAGGATTTGTGAGCACAGAGACAATGGGGATGTTTTCCCATTTCCTCCCCCCTTGCAGAGAAACATTTGGTCAGTTTGGGAAAGTCAAAATGGTTCCAGGACTGTCTTCCTGTACTGTTTCAGACATGTGGTTTATATATTTATGTACGCGTTTGCCTTGTACATTTAATTTATATATTTGAGACCTTAAACTCTTATAACATGCTCATTGCCATTTCTTAGACTTCCAAATGTGTCCCCAGGCCCCAAAATGATGGGGACCCCTGGTTTAGATTGTTTACTTGGGGAACACCAGACAAAAAGAGTAGGTGTGGGCACAGATTCTCCTCACTGACACATTTACATTTGAAAATGTTGCTGTGCAGGGTGCTTCTTTATTCAGATACTAAAGGCAAGTCGTTTTAAGAACTGCTTCAAATATGAGAGCCGGTAAGTAGGTATCTGCACACTTCAAGTATTCACCGTGTCCCTTTATTGCATAAGTTGTGTCCTCATTTTAGGGACAGCTGAACAACACATACTAAAGGAGGCTCAGAGGGAAAGTGGGCTGACTTTCTAGTATAGAGGCAGGCTGCAAGAACGTTGAGGGTTCAAACAAAATGAACAACACGTGCAAAGTGAAGCAACCCTGCCCCGTGGTGGGAGTTACTCCAGGTGAAAAGGAGAGGTCGTTTGAGCGTGCCCAATAAATTTCCACTCAGGTAAAGGGTGCACAGGTTTCCTGACCACACACAGAGAGAGAGAGCGCGAGAGAGAGCGAGGCGGACACGGACGGTCGGTCGGTCTTTCAAAGACAGTCAGGAAAGCCTTCTGCCCCCTTCTCGGTCTCTCGGATGACCACCCTCCAAATCATAGAACTGCAGAGTTGGAAGCGGTCCTAACGGAGGGGCCATCTAGTCTGACCCCTGCTGTGCAAGGAAACGGCTTTGACCGGGATGCCCACCACCTAGAGCCCTCCGCAAGAGCAGTAAGGAGCCCTGTTGAATCAAGTCAAAGGCCAGCGGCGAGCTGGATGCCCCCGAGGGTAGTACACAAGGGTGAAGCGGCGGAGCTCTCTCCCAGCAGCTGGCATCCAGAGGCATGTCGCTTCCGACCCTCCATCCTTCTCTCCCCCTCGCTTGTTATAATAAAATTGCCACATGGCTTTCCAGCCTTTAGGTAGCAGAGCGCGCGCGCAGGCACACACGCGAACATGCAAACTCGGGACCCACTTACCCCCGCGGGAGGGCGCGTACCAAGGCCGAGCCCTCGAAGACAGTGACTCCCTTCCCGGAACCAAAGTGCCAGGGCGGTGGTTTCCGCGGGGGGACGGTTTGAGAACCGGACGCGCTAAAATGGCGGATCCCGCGAAGGAGGGCTGCGAAGGAATGGCGGATTTCAAGAAGCCGACTCTGCCGCCTCCGTTGCCGCCTCCGCTGCCGGCGCCGCCTCCAACTGGGGCAGAAGACCCCAAGAAGACAGAGGTTGCCAAGCCCCCGCGAGGCCCCGCTCCTCGCCCTTGCCCCCCTCCCGACCTCCCGCGGTACCAGGAGCCTCCGTGGGGAGGATGCCCTGCCAAGGAAGAGGAGGCCTCGTCCGGCTACAGCCTGGAGGTGGTGAAAGGCGGCTCCGTGCTGGAAAGCGTCCGCTTGGCAGGCCGCAGCTGGCTGATGGTGGGCCGCGCGCCGGGCTGCGACCTCTCCCTGGCTCACCCGTGTGTGTCCCGCCACCACGCCGTGCTCCAGCGCCGCCCGCCGCCCGCCGGGGAGGAGGAGGAGGAGGAGCGAGGCCAGGTCGGGGAGGAAGGGGAAGAGCAGGGCCCCGAGCCCGGGCTCTACGTCTACGACCTGGACAGCGCGCACGGCACCTTCCTCAACAAAGCTCGGATCCCGCCACGCACCTACTGCCGGGTTCGGGTGGGCCACGTCCTGCGCTTCGGGGGCAGCAGCCGCCTCTTCGTCCTGCAGGTAAGGAGAGGGTAATCGTGATGATTTATAATAATAATTTATTATTTATACTCCGCCTGGTTTCCCCAGCCACTCTGGGCGGCTTCCATCAAAATATTAAAAATAACAATCAAACATGAAAAACTTCCCTAAACAGCGCTGCCTTCAGATGTCTTCTAAAAGTCCGATAATTATTTCCTTGGCATCTGATGGGAGGGCATTCCACAAAGTGGGCGCCACTACCGAGAAGGCCCTCTACGCCCACCTGTACCTTTGGGTGCAGGTTGTGGTCTTAGTTTCTGTACTGGCCAAGGGGGTGTCAGTGGTGCAGTCCTACACACTTTTACCCAGAAGTCCCGACTGCATTCAGGAAGACTTAGAATTGTAGAGCTGGAAGAGCCCACAAGGCTCATCTAGTCCAACCCCATCTTTTGCCCAACATGGGGCACTTACCCACAACCCTGAGATTAAGAGTCCCACGCTCTACCAACTGAGTCTGCCACTGCTTGGACAGCCTTTCATAAAGGAACGTGAGGGTAGCATGCCAGATTTAAGATGCTGTGAGCACCTTCAAGCAGGGCATCCAACACCTAATTCCTGCCTGTCGTCCTCCTTCTCAAGGGGAAGAATGACTGGTGGAGCACCTTCAGACATGGACAAATAACACACACACTGCCTCAGCTTGCTATGGCAAGCAGAATTATTGAAGGCTGGATATAACAAGAGAGTTCTCTGATCAACTAACACAGAAAATAGGAGTGTCTCTATAGATCAAATGTATTTGCTGTTTTGGTTTGTATTTGGAATTGGAGTTGTTTTTAAGATGTATTCCTTGTTTTATCACTTGCTGTTTGCCACCCTGGGCTCATTTTGGACAAAAGGCAGGATATAAATTTAATAATTGAACAAGTGGCTGCATATTCAAAGAGCAATGCTGTTCACTGTCTATTATCCTGTAACAGGTAATGATGCTGAACTGCACTTGCAGATGTCCCAATTCAAAGTGATGCTTTTGACCTATAAAACCTTAAATGGCTCAGGACCACAATACCTCAAGGACCATCTCCCCCCATATGAACCGACCCAGACCTGTGATAATCATTGGAGGCCCTTCTTTATGTGCCTCCTCCATGAGAGGTCTAGAGGGTGGCAACATGAGAATGGGCCTTTTGCCTGTGGCTCGCCTTATGTGAAATGCTCTCCCCATGGAGACTTGCATTTTCTAGCTGTTTCACCTTATGGTGTAGAAATGTTCTTGGTTTTTCATTTTAGTGAAGGGAGAGGCTCTGTGTTTCACAGCATCCAATTTAAAGATGAATTAAGAATCTACCTAGCAGTTCATTTATACATATTTATACATATCACTGAAGAATTGATGCTTTTGAATTATGGTGCTGGAGGAGACTCTTGAGAGTCCCATGGACTGCAAGAAGATTTCCTTTCTTAAGGAAATCAGCCCTGAGTGCTCACTGGAAGGACAGATCCTGAATCTGAGGCTCCAATACTTTGGCCACCTCATGAGAAGAGAAGACTCCCTGGAAAAAACCCTGGTGTTGGGAAAGATTGAGGGCACAAGGAGAAGGGGATGACGGAGGACGAGATGGTTGGGCACTGTTCTCGAAGCTACTGCGGGAGGCAGTGGAAGACAGGAGTGCCTGGCGTGCTCTGGTCCATGGGGTCACGAAGAGTCGGACACGACTAAACGACTAAACAACACCACCATTCTATAATAGTTAAGAAACTTGAACTTTAATCCTAACTACATTTGTTAGAGAGTAAATCCCACTGAACTCAATGGAACTTATTTCTGGTAAATAAACTAAGGTTATAGTTATCATAACTTTTTAACTGGCATTCAGTTTTGTATGTTGTAACTTAATCCGCAGGGCCCAGAGGAGGATCAAGAACCGGAATCAGAGCTGACTGTAACCCAGTTGAAAGAACTCCGTAAGCAGCAGCAGGCTAAGTTAGAGAAGACCATGCTGGGCGATGATTCTGATGAAGATCAAAAGGAAAAGGATGAACACAGAAATGAAAATAGTCGGAGTACTGATTTCACTTGTTCCTGGGGACTGGGTAAGTTACAGTATATTACTGGTAGACTCTTAACACTTACCTATGCTTCATCTTCAACCATTGAAACTTGTGTGGTGTTAGTTCATGGAGCTTGTTTCTGTCTTCTGTTTTCATTGCAATAAAATTATATGTGAATTCCATGTTTACTGAGGACTGGGATTATTTCCTACCAAAAAGGCTGTTCAAAGGCTTTGTACATGTGGCTTTCTTCCACCTGTAGGTATCTGGGCAAGGTTTATCTTGCCACACTCCTAGATCATAAAATGAGGCTGTATTTTATTCTCTTCTATATCTACTCTTATTTATAATTTTATTTGCATTTGTTTTTCAGGGGAAGATGCAGAGGAAGAGGAGGGTGAAGAAAACCCTATCGCCATCGAGTTTCAGGAGGATCAAGAAGCCTTTTATTTGAAAGATCCCAAGAAGGCATTGCAAGGTTTTTTTGACAGAGAAGGTATGTGTGTTACCTGTCATGCTTGTCTACCATGGTAGTGCTGCTTAGCAGAGCCACTCAAGAAGTTAGTGTATATACATATAATGCACTGCTTTTAGCATAAAAGCCTTCAAATCAGCTATCAACAAAACCATTAAAGCCACAACATATAGAGGAGTGGAAGAGTGGCAAACATACTGTACTTCAGATAAAGAAATGAGGGAGTAAGTAATTTCTGGGTGATCCGAAAGGGCAAGCAGGTGGTCCTTTAAATGCCCTCGCCCCAGACCAGCAGTTTGAATTGGTCCCAGAAACAAATGGGGAGCCGATGTAGATAGGCCAGCTGTGGTGTAAAATATTTCAAATGAGAGGCCCCAGTCAGCAGCCTGGCTACAACCTTCTGCAGCAGCTGCAGTTTCCAGGCACTCTTCAAAGGCAGGCTACTCTGAACATGTTGCAGTAGTCTGATTAGAATACAACTAAGTCATTTGATGGTGACAAGATGCGTATTTTCAAGTAAAGGTCACAGCTGGTTCACAGGTCAAAAGCTGTGCAAAGGTGGCCCTGTCCACCACTGCCACCTCACCAACCAAGAAAAAGACTGGGACCCAGACTGCTAATCTGATTCTTCAGAGGGAGAACTACATTCCCCCAAACAGCATTCCTACTGTCTAAAAGTACTTTTGTCTCAGTTTGTTTGCCCAGTCAGTTACATAGCCTAGACTCTGGTTCAGGTGTTCCATTTCCTCTCTGGAATCAGATGGAGTTATAAGCCCCATTATATGTTCCTCACCCGAGGGAAAGGTGTGTACAAAGCAGCTGTGGGCCCATCCCTCTGGACCTGCCTTTGCCAACACAAAGTTCCTGCCATCTGCACATTAGCATGGACATTTGAGATAGAGAAGCCTTTTGCCAAATCCCTCTGTGCATCCAAGAACCATGCACAACTCAGGGTTCAGGGTAGGCTATGCATATAGAGGTCTACAACCAAAAGGGTGCCCCTCTCAAATGTCCATGCTTGGATGGCAGGAGTTAGGCCACAGGCAAAGCAGTACAGACCTTTAGGCAAAAAATTCAGGAGTAGAGGGGGGGAGGGCTGGCACACTCACTCCTGCACCCTCTACACAGTCCCCCCCCCCATGTTCAGCTGAACATCTGAATAGAGCTTTACTGTGCTTCTTGATCTTTTAACCTCTTCTGTGTTGCTTACAGTCATCCTGCTTTCTTCAGGAGAAATAAGAAAGAAGCAGATTGGACAGATCTGTATAGCTATATCCTGGTTTAACTTGGAAGTATTAGTCCCTCCATGGCAATTCTGCCCTTGGGTTTTTTCCACACACACCTTTGTAACCTAGAGTGGTACAGTACTAGAAACAAATTAAAGTTATCAACCTTTTGTGTTTAAGAACTTCAGAGTGCAGAAGAGGATGGCTGCAGTCCCAAACAAACTTATTAGGAATAAGCCCCATGGAACACAGTGGAACTTATTTCTGAGTAAAAATGCATAGGATTGTGCTGGCTATTTGGTTTTAGACTGAGCATGGGATATTATACTTTAATGAAATTCTACTTATTCTATGAGCTACTGCAGCTCATAAAAAATTGTGAGTGCCAATTCATCTTCGACATTGGTGGGGAGACCACTAATTTCCAACGTTTAAATTACTTTGTCAGCTTAAGCTCCTTTATGGAAACGAAGCTTAACTGCAGCATTATCTTTGATCTGTACAAAGAAATGTCTGAGAAGTTTGTTAAAGCTTTGATCTAGCAGTGATATATTCACCGGTCTAGATTTCTCTAAATGTGTCTGACTATAGATGTGTCTGAACCACTTACAGATGCAGGAATATCTGTGGAGTTAGAGTGATGGATCATTTTAAGACCTTATTGCTAATTGATAAATGAATCAATATTAAATATAGCATTGCCTTAGGAAGGATTTTTACAGATACTGTGCAGTTAAATTTTAATCCATGTAATTAAACTGCTCCAATTGCTGAAATAACAATGATTCCAAATACTTAGCCAGTTAATAGTTTAATACTGTTACCATTCATAAAAAATTAAAATAATTTACAAAGGAGTAAAGAGCAAGAATTTAGGTTAAATGTAATTCAGGCTATCTATTTCACTACAAAACAAAGCTGCTGATAATGTATGCAAGTAAATCAGCTCCTCTCCCTCTCTTTTCTTCCTAGGTGAAGAGTTAGAGTATGAATTTGATGCACAAGGAACTGGCACATGGCTCTGTAGGGTGAAGTATGTATGTATTCTATGTAATAATTTTGTATAGTTATGTCTTTCTGTAGTCAGAGAGACAGAGAAAGCTGTTATGTCTTGTACATCTAGAATTGGTTTAGAGCAGTTAAATGGAAATGTAAGAATATTAATTCCAATCTCATTTATTGTCTACACCAGAGCTTTCCAAACTGTGTGCCGCCACATGTTAGTGTGTTGGCTGCAATGTGTAGGTATATTGCACAAATACACCCCAAGCTCCTTTTGGGCCTGGAAAGGGGTTAGTTTAACCTTTGGTTTGCTAGTAAAACTGACTTACTGTGTCACAAAATGATGCATGTCTAAAAAGTGCATCACCAACATGAAAAGTATGGAAAGCTCTGGTCTACACTGTATTCTTGTCAAATGATGAGTGGTGTCCAACATCAGTCATACCTAGAGTAGACCTATTGAAATGAATGGATTTAAGTGACTTAACTCAATGGATCTACTCTATGACTAATGTTGGAGGTTTGCCAAATGCCTGTTGATTGCAATAGCTCTTAGGTTGTCTCTGTGCTGAGTGTGCTAGAATGGGGGAAATAACTCTGAAAGAAGTGAGTGCTTTGTCTTTCAAATAAGCATAGAAGGGATTTGTCATCCTATTTTTACTAAAATATTTGATTGTGGTGATAGAGTTCAGGTGTCAACCCCACAAATACTCAAATGCCTTTTTTTCAAAGGTTCACTTGGTTGTATTGGGAAACAAGGATGGCAATAGTCACACAAGGGTTGGCTGAAGAGGTCCGTGCCCTCAACTGGAGTACCATTTCCAGTTCTGTGCACCATACTTAGAAAGGATGCAGGCAAATTGCAAAGGGCAGCAAAGGCGGTCAGTGGTGTAGAAAACAGATCCAATGAGAAAGGTGGATGGGGAAACCCAGCTACAACTAACTGTTTTATATATGCTGTAAGCTGCCCAGCATGGCTGGGACAGGGTATAAATAATAAAATTATTATTGTTACTGTTATTAAGGAAAAGAGATGAGGCAATGAGATTTCAGTTGAAATTAATAGAAATTGTTACCTATTTTCCCGCGAGTGCTCAGTTGATTATATAGTCTGTAGTGTTTCCAAAGGGTTGCTCGAGCATAAGCAAGCAAATATTTCCCTGCTTGGCTGCGAAGCCTTGCTTTTGCTGCCAAAATAAACCTGATCTGTCCGGAGCCCCACTCTCCCATGGCTGGCTCAATCGCTGGCAGAATCCGTCAGTGGGCGGTTCTTAAACTTTCCCCAGCAAAGCAGCTTCTTGACGCCCAGTCTGCGCCTCCCCTCTCTGCGCGGATGCTTTCTGCGCAGGGAGGGCGTGGGTGGCGGAGGACCCCTCTCCTCCCCGCTTTTCCCAGGCACGGAGTCCTGGGACCGCCTCGCCACTTCCGACTCCTGCGGCTCCTCTCCACTGGAGGTGTGTTTACTCTCCTCCGTTGAAGAGGAACTGCTCCCCACGATCCCTGGAGGTTCTCTATAATCCATTCGGCTTTTCCTCTCTCCCTCCTGAACCGATGGCAGTTCCCTGACATAGTCTATATCCTATTTTACTATGGGAAGGTCTCCACCGGAACCTGTGTGCTTGGCCTTCTCAAGCTGAAAGTTTAAGGCCTAAAGCACTGAAACAGAATACATCCAACTTTTGAAAATTCTCCATCCAGACCAAGACAAAATAAGTGGTCGTGGGTGGAAGGCCGCCTCCAACTTCGATTCTAAACCTTGTATAATTAGTGTTGAGATGTTTTATAACCAAAGAGGCCAAGGTTATTTGAAAGAACAGTTTTGAGCAGTACACAAGCTGACATTGAGCAGACATGTCAGGCCATTTGTTGATCTTTCCTTGAACTGTAACCTTCTGAATTCAATAGGCTGCCTATAGATGATGCTTCGGGGAAGCAACTTGTGGCAGAGGCGATTCATACAGGGAAGAAAAAGGAAGCAATGATCCAGTGTTCAGTGGAAGCCTGCAGGATACTGGATGCGAGGGGTGTGCTGCGGCAAGAGGCAGGTAGGTGGACTAGCCAGAGGCTCTGGCCACGCAGAATTCTTTTTGAAAATAGTCTTATTGACAAGAGCTTTGAAAGAATTTAAATCTGTAAAATGTGGTGTAACCCTAAGCATTTTTATCTTATTAACTTATTATACCTCTTACTATCGTGCTTGTATCTTGCTCACCTACAAGGATTGCTGGCATGCGCTGTTTGCATTTTATTTTCACAACTATTGGATGTGGTGGCTTCACATCTTTGTGTCCATTTGCATGCTTGCTTGTTTTTTGAAATGTGCATTAGATCACCTGTCACTAAATCAGAAGTACAGGTGTGTAACTGGCTTCAAGCTTTTCCAGTTTTCTTCATGTATTTTTGTCTTCATTCTTTCTTAGTATCCCGAAAAAGAAAAGCAAAGAATTGGGAAGAAGAAGACTTTTATGATAGTGATGATGACACATTCCTTGATCGGACAGGAGTTATTGAACAGAAACGTCTGAGCAGAATGAAGAAAGCAGGAAAGATCGATGAGAAGCCAGAAACCTTTGATTCATTGGTAGGAACAACTTCAGCCAGGGATTCGTGGTAGTTAGTCAAAATTTGTGCCTGCTGCTGACCCTGTCCCTCTAGGCCAAGATACAGGGTATTGACTGATGTTACTGTTGAGTTTTGGAGGTTCACTGAGCATCTTCAGGGTTCAGAACAACTGCAGGGGCAAGCTTCCCCCCTCCACCTCAATTCTGAGCTGGTGGCAGGGAAGGTGGAGCTGAGAAATCAGAGGGTCATCTTGCTGTTTCTCTAATATCTCTTAAATCCCAGTGGAAGGCCACCGAGAGTCCCTACCTGACTCTGGAGTAGAGAAGACCTCATGCAGAGACTTGGAAGACAGCTTTTTGCTTTCTGGTTCTTTCCAAAGTCGGTGCAAAGTCTAATAGATTCCTCAGCATTTTCCCAGGCTCAGGAGAAGGGATGGTAGCCAACTCGACCACTGTTCACACAGAATGACTTCCATGAGCACAGTGGCATTTGACCTCTCCCCTGCACTTACCTAAGATCTGCTCCAAAGGATATGGGGAATCCCCAATGCAGATTTGGAGGAGTGCGAGGGTAAGTCCCATTGCACTTTCAGAAATCGTCTGGTGTGTACAGTGATTTAGTTGGATAGAACCCAAAGTATCTTGCCAGAATTTTAAAAATGCTGTCACCTGAATTATGCTCTCATAAATAATCATTGCTAAGAGTGCTGCTGCAGAGGAATAAAAACCACTTTCCACTATCATGTTACTTGTCTGGTATCAAATTTCAGAGGGATAGCCATGTTGGCATGTTCATTTGTCCAGAAAGAATCATTTTTTGGTCTTCTAAACTGAAATAAAACACAGAAGGAAAACACTTGATTCAGTGTGGCAAAAAAACTTAATAACGAGCCAGTGGCGATTATTTAAAATGCTTTCATACCACTGTATAGCCAAAGATTTCTAGGCATTTTACGTAAGTTCTCTCTCTCTCTCTCTCTCTCTCTCTCTCTCACACACACACACACACACACCCCAATTGCAGGTGGAAAAGTGACAGATAAAAAGCGAAGTTAAAAGACTGAGTTAAAATTTTCAAGATATTTTGAATGCCTGGTTAAATTTCTTTTAAAGGTTTTGCCTGACTTCCATAAGACAAGAAAGTTGCAGCCGGGTCAACCTCCCTTGGGAGAGCATTCCACAATTGGGTTGTTGCTACACTTACTTGTATTTCTAGGCTTTTCACTTTGCCAGCATTTGGGAACCCAAAAGGTTGCTACATTTTTATTTTAAAGTTTTGTCAAGCTATTACAGATGCTCATCACTTTTCAATTGTCTCTCTCTGTAGAGTGTAAAATTAGCCGCAACTGAAAGAGAGCTCTCTGAGATAGCAGAGAAGCTGAAATCTTCAAAGACAAGTAAGGCCACATACTTTATTCAAATGTTGGGGTTGTCTGCGTGAGAATAAGGCATAATTAATTTGTAATATTAAGGGTATTTTGTTTCTGTCTTCCACAAATGAAAGACTAAGCCAAGTATAACATCATGATTAAAATTATTTAAAATGCCTAATACTTGCCTTTCTAAAGAAGCTGATCAAGTTAAAACTCTCAAATTCAGTTCTGTGGAAAGCATGTTACATTTAGTGGAAGGAAAACAAATTTCATTCTGGGATAAGGAGTTTCAATATGGGCAAGTGATAACACACTTTTGGCATAACCTTCAACTTCCTTCTTGCAAGTCCTTTTCCGATCAGCAGCCCTCGAGATGTCCTTGAAAGTTAGTTATACATGCCTAGCAGTATGCCAAAGGAACCAACTTTATCAGGCCCTTCATTTCTTTGTTTAATACTAAGTCAATTTTTGCACAGATAAACCCTGCATTTTCCCAAATACAGTTACTTGATTAAAGAATTCAAGCACATCTGTAGTCTTAATTGTATTCATCTCAGAAAGTTGTATTGGGCATCTGTTCTGTGTCAGCTACTAAAATTTTGGACCGCTACTACCCATAACTAAATTGGGATGGCATGATTTTTTCTGTATTTGTATTTCCTTTAGCACAATCGCATTCAGCAGCGCAAGATTCTTTGGACGAATTCATGACGGAAATAAAATCAGGATGTGCTTTAGACAGTGTGACACGTAGAAAGCTTCATTTGCGGACTTTTGAGCTGAGGAAAGAGCAGCAGCGATTGAAAGGATTGATTAAGATTGTTACACCGGCTTCATTGCCGGAGCTGAAATCCGAGTGAGTCTTCGTTTTATGGAGTGGTAATCATTTTATATTTTCCTTGTTGAGCTATAGTTCTCTGATGACTACCCAAATGTACATGCAGAGGAGTATGGAGATGGTGGGAGGCAGGTTTTAGCACTGGAACTTCCCAAAGAACTGGTTTCCAAGTCTATTTTGACGTACAACCCTGGTGAGCATTAATTGTGATTAATGGCAGTGCCAACACATAACCCTCAGTCCCCATGGATAACGGCAGGGGAGAAAGGAATTCTTGTTTGAGAAGGGAGCCTGCAATTCTGTTATCTGTCCCTGATGGGCTTCATTGTCTCTGCACGAGCCCAAGGCCACACCTTGAGGTTTGCAATGAGAAAGAACTTTTTAATGTGGAATCTCCACATGAGAGAGAGAAAGTGCACACAGCAATAGTTCTAGTGCTGGTCCTTCAGAATTTGATACTAAAGCTGTGTGTGTTTTACTTATTCTCTTCCCCTCCCTCCCCAAATGTTCTGTAGGCTTGGGAGTCAAGATTCGGAAACTCAGAACAAACCCAAAAAGCTGACTTTACCCATGTTTGGTGCCATGAAAGGAGGAAGCAAATTCAGACTGAAAACTGGTACTGTGGGGGTAAGTAACGAAAGCAAAAGCTATGGGTTGTATCAAAACGTGTCATTCAGCTGACAGTAAGGCTTCTTAGCAGAACGGGAAGGGAAGCCATTTTGACCATGTCCCATCTCCCCTGCTGCCCCCCAACATTTTGGAGTGTTGAGAGCAGGGGAGGGGGTCAGGGGAAATGGGAAATAGCTGGATATTGCTTCCCTCCCCATTTTGCTGATTTAATTTATTTATTTTGTCTAATCAAAGCCATTGCAAAAGATAGGCTCTATGTAGAAGTTGGATCCATTAGGATGGGCATTCAAAGATAGTTGGATCACATCACTTCTGTGGGCACTAGGAGGAACTATTGTAGAAACAGTTCAGCTTTGGGCTTACTTAGTGAGCCTGTTTATGTTTCTACAAATCTCAGTAAGTACTTAATAACTGCTGTTCAAAGGCATATTGCCTCATAGCATGGCATATTCTGTTCCATATATCAGTGGCAGATGATATAACAACTACATTCATGGCAATTTTTGTTTGCCCCAAAGAAGTTGCCTGTCAAGCGTCCAGATATACCTGTAAACCTATTAAAGATGAAAGATGAGGGGCCAGAAGAGGAGGAAGAGGAGGAGGAGGAGGAGGAAGAAGAAATGAAAGCTGTAAATCAAGGAACACAAAACCCAATGACGCAGATGCCAGCACAAGAAACAGTTAGACAGCATAAACGGCCTACCAGTTCTTATGATTGCAGCAACAAGGAAATGGAATTTGTTCATAGAGGTTAGTCTAGTTCTGTTCCCCTTCATTTTGAGGCTCTTAAAAGCAGTAGCGGGGACTGTTGGAATGCTTGATATGTACCATATTTTTCGCTCTATAAGATGCACCAGACCATAAGACGCACCTAGTTTTTGGAGGAGGAAAACAAGAAAAAAATATTCTGAATCTCAGAAGCCAGAACAAGAGGGATCGCTGCACAGCGAAAGCAGCGATCCCTCTTGCTGTTCTGGCTTCTGGGATAGCTTGCATTCGCTCCATAAGATGCACACACATTTCCCCTTACTTTTTAGGAGGGAAAAAGTGAGTCTTATAGAGCAAAAAATACGGTACTCCTGCCAACAACAGTTAGGTTCAGCTATGTTCATTTCCTTAAGTGCCTCTGAAAACCCTGCCCTGAATTCTTTTGAAGAAGTATGGACGTCAAGAGCTTAGTACAGAAGTGCACATTGATGGGGTAAATTTCTTCCTTTGGGCTAAATGGTCTTAAGGCCTTGGGATAAATTGTTCTAGAGAACCTGTGGGACACTCCTGTGGAGAGAGGAGTGTTGGGTGCAAGTCTTTCAGACCAGCTCCCTTCCTCCTCAGCTGGCCAGGAGCTAGCATTTGTATGCTAACCACTGCTGTTGGGACTGTCCCCTGTGACTTGCATCTAGTGCACATATCTGTGCGGCTGGTTGCAAAAATGGCTGCCCCCATCGCAACATTTCAGACCATTTCAGAGGTCTCTAGTGATGATAGAAACCATAGGCTGCTCTAATCAATCTCTCAAACAGTTCAAGTTGCTAATGGTATGTGTTGGCCAGGCTTCCTCAACCTCGGCCCTCCAGATGTTTTGAGACTACAATTCCCATCATCCCTGACCACTGCTCCTGCTAGCAAGGGATCATGGGAGTTGTAGGCCAAAAACATCTGGAGGGCCGAGGTTGATGAAGCCTGGTGTAGGCTATGAAGAACTCAGATTAGCATATTAGCAGCATTACTATTTTATAAGTGTTAGGTTCATTTTTAATAGGGATATTTTCCTTGCAAGGGTCTCTTTTTAAATTCAAAGTACCAAATTTCACAGGCATCTCCAAAGACCAGTGAAGCAACAGGAATAATTATTGCATAAATTTCAAGGTAAATTTTCTTAGGTAATGGGGATTTTAGGTTCAGTCTAGTGGGCACAGCACCTTCACACACCAAAATATAGTTATGAGGCTTTACAGAGCCCTTACGTTCCCGCCTTAATCCCTCACCCTTTGGGGAATGCACAGATCCTGCATTAGTTGATTTTGGGAGAAAGGATGAGAAACATGGACAGATCTTCCATTTTGCTTAATGGCCTGATACAGTGCCTGTGCTCAGAAGGTAGCAGGGTTGCTGTGGGTACTGTGTTTTTACTTGACTGGCTCAGACCTTCTGTGTTTGTGTGTAGCACAGTGTACCTGCTTTGATAGCTCAAAGCAAGTGAAGTAGCAGGACTCTATTTCTGATCCTCTGGCATTTTGCAGCCTCGTTGCTGTGTAAGCCTGCTTTTAGATAGATAGATAGATATGAAAACTAATTTCATTGGATAAAAGCTATTATAGTATAGCATTGATCAGCTTTTTAAAAGAAATAAAGGCAGTTTAATTGTAAGCTGTCAGAATTTGTTAACATTTAATCTGTGTTCATTAAAGAATCTGGTTGGCTAAGTCTGTGGGGTTCCATTTTTCTTTTACAGGAGCTCAGCCACAATCGGAGCCTTTGAGCAAAGATACAGTGGCGCCGGAGTGCAGCTCCCCACTGAATAAATCACAGAAGAAGCCACAAGGTGAGCCAGGTGAGTACGAGAGAAAAATGGATGACAGCACTGGTAGATACAATCATATTCTGTTGGTTTGTACAGTTGGAGTGAGAAAATATATTTTAATACTTGGAACATCTTGCAATATAAGATAGCAGTTCCTTCAGCTTGTTTTCTGAACATCTAATCTGTTGTAACAAATAAAACCACAATGCTTAAATAAAATAATAATCCTGATGAGATACTTTCTTTTTGGCAAAATGCATAAAGAAATTATTTAAATGATCACTGTGTGAAGTTTCCTAGTGTGTTAAAAAAAGTTGAGAAAAGGGTTTTTTTTAATAGTAATCATATTTTTAAAGGATGAATACTTTTCATTCAAAAACAAGTAACAACAAAATTTAGAAGGATTAAAATGTATTAAATTTAAATAAGTAGGATGGATTTGTTAAAATTTGGAAAACTAATAAAAATTAATATATTTTAAAAGATTAGAAGGAGAATGGAGGAACAGCGCATTTGGAATGTCTCCTTTGTAGTGCTAGGCACATAACTAAAATATTCAAGATTTTCTGGAGAAAGGGGGGAAATAGCAAGCAATACTTGGTTTAATATAGCACTGCTACAGGTATCAAAATTGCTAACCTTTACTTTGTGAGATACACCCCAAAGGCAGTTTTGCTGTCCTGGCTCTGGCTTGTGTGCATTTTGTTGGTGGGGCCTAAGGAGCTGCGGTGCTTAATTTTAACAGCTCCCTGGCCATTTATTTTTTTTTAACATAGGGGATTTATTTGTCTGAAATTTGTTTTGAATAATTTCTCTAAATAGAGTTGGCAGCATTAATATAGTTTTTCTTATTTTTTTCCTAGCACCTGAGACATCTGCAGGAAAGTCCAAGAATAAGAAAACGAACATTGCAAATACGGTGAGTTGGAGGAACTAAAGCATATAAATATGATGAAGTGCACTGTAACATACTGCATTCCCTACCTGGTGCATTCACAGAATTGCTTGATGCCGGCATTTATGGGAGATGGTGTCCATAAGAGGATAAGGAAAAGATAAGACAGTGCTAGTGCTGTGTTCTCTGGCACCCGTGCAGTCCTCCTGACTTGGCAGAAGGAATTGCTGTCTTCTTGTGCACGGTGTCTGGTCCTTGTGTGGCATAAGTATTCAGGCTGCTAGTAGTGGGGTGGGACACTGTTGCCTTCTTGTGCTATTGCTGGACGGGGGGGGGGGGGCGGGTCAACCGCCAAGTCAAATGCAGCTTGGAGGACCGTTCTCTATTCTCACTGGCCATGTGCAGCAGCGGTTCAGTTCGTTGGTGAGGCCGTGATCGTATAGTGGTTAGTACTCTGCGTTGTGTCTCATGTCAGGCTGATAGATACTGTTCTAGTACAGGGACATCCAGCTGCAATCTCCCAGAATAAAAAGCTGACAGTGATCTACCCTTTTTGGGGAGGGGGAATAAATTTGTTGACCTTTTTTATTTAGGGGGGCAAGTCAGAGTTGTTGACTTTTGGGGGGGCAGGTCGAAATTGTTTAGCTTTTTGGGGGGAGGCACATCAAAAAGTCTCTCACCAGAAGCTTTTGCGATCGTGTGAGAATGGAGGAGGAGGCGGGGCCAGATGTTCTCTTCCCCCCACACGAAGGAAATAGAGCCCGCATTCAACCGCTAGCTGCTGGAGATCGACCAGTCAGTCGCAGTCAACCGGTTGGACATCCCTGTGCTAGTATTACTGCTAGATAAGACACAGTTGTGAAAAGATATAGCTGCTGATTATTTTGGAATGGTAGCACAACTCAAGTTGCAGGAAGCTACGCCACTTAATTATAATGCAAATAATTTTGAGTTTTCTTAATACTAACCTGGCAGTGCTTTAACATTCTCATCTAATAGAAATCATTGGCAGGGCATTGCCGCCAACAAAACTATATGCAGCCGGGCAACAACTGTTGTAGGGGGAGCAGGCTTGTCAATCCCAATTTGCAAGGCTGCAATAATGCTTTTTTTCTAGCAGCTTATACCTTCCAGTACTTTGTGCCAACAGTATTGTTCTGTTTTATTGTAAGTAACATTAGATTCTCCACTATAGCATCAAGTATAACCATATAATGTTTGTGTTTATTAAACTCTTGTTTGTCTTTTGTCACAAACTATCCTCTTTAGAAAGTCTAAGAAAACCCTGTTTGCATAAAGAAAGTGGGGAAAATGGTTTCAAACTTAACACGTCATTGTTTGGCCCAAATAGCCCTTCAAAGCAAATCTGTCTAAAGCAATTTGAAATCATGTTCTCAAGATATTCACACTAAGATATTTCCCCAAGTTTAATAATAATAATTAATTAATAATTTATTATTTATACCCTACCCATCTAGCTGGGTGTCCCCAGCCACTCTGGGCAAAATATTAAAATACATTAATTCATCAAATATTAAAAGCTAATTTATTATTCAAACAAGTGCTAGTAGAACCTTTTTAAAGGGGTGCATGAAGTTGTGCAGCCAAAAGAGGGAAGGGAAATGTTAGAATTACAAAGCATCTTTTTGTAATCTATTCTGCAGTCTCAGCGCACTCTGTCCTCAGAATATCCAGAAGATGACCCAGACTACTGTGTGTGGATGCCACCTGAAGGTAATTTATAATTTTCGAAAATCATATTTGACCTGATCTATTTGAAGACAGTTCAAAATAGGGGACTTGGGTTGCTGAGAAACGGAAGAGGGTGCATGAAGCTGTGCAGCTGAGCAGAAGGCAGCATAGAGACAGCCACTTGAAATGTCTTGTGTATGGAGTAGTCTAAATAATTTTGCACCACAGAGTCTCTAAATCTGCTCACCTTTGTCTTGCTGAAGTATGGGGCAAGCAGGACAACATCAGGACTAGTCCTGTACACTGATACTACAGTTTCTTTGCTATCCTATGTAATGAGGGTGTGGAAGAGCAAGCACAAGCAAATAAAGGATCTAAGCTTGCTCTGTCTGAAGGAAGACTGACATTGGACCTTAGTTCTGCAGATCCCAGAACATTTCCAACTACGTTATTGCTGTTTCTCCCTGCCTGCCTGCCTTCCTACCATCCTACTCAGGTCATGCTTTTGCCCTTGGCCCAGCTTAGCCAGAGATAAAGGCAGCAGCGGTGGCACCTGAGGTTTAGGGAGGACACAAGCATACAAAGGTATCCAGTGCACAGACAGGGTACCCTGTGCAAATATGTGCTGCAAAGTTCTATCCCTAAGTCATGCTGATGTACCTGCTGGTGGTAGATGTTCCTCAGGCATAGAACGTCCTCCATCACAGCTTGAAGTACTGCTTTGGGGAAAACGGGGCAGGCGGGTGTGGAGGACCGCATAGTCCTGAATGTGGTAACTGTGCCCCTGGGAGTCATTTTGGACTCACAGCTGTCCATAGAGTCAGGTTAATTCTGTGTCCTGGGCGGCTGTCTACCAGCTCCATCTGTTATGCAGGCTGGGACCTTACCTGCCTGCAGACTGTCTCGCCAGAGTGGTGCATGCTCTAGTTATCTCCTGCTCTACGTGGGGCTACCTGTGAAGGTGACCCAGAAACTACAATTAATCCAGAATGCAGCAGCTAGACTGGTGACTGGGAGTGGCCACCGAGACCATATAACAGCAGTCCTGAAAGACCTACATTGGCTCCCGGTACGTTTCCGAGCACAATTCAAAGTGTTGGTGCTGACCTTTAAAGCCCTAAATGGCCTCGGGCCAGTATACCTGAAGGAGTGTCTCCACCTCCATCATTCAGCCCGGACGCTGAGGTCCAGCGCCGAGGGCCTTCTGACAGTTCCCTCACTGCGAGAAGTGAGGTTACAGGGAACCAGGCAGAGGGCCTTCTCGGTTGTGGCGCCCACCCTGTGGAACGCCCGCCCATCAGATGTCAAGGAAATAAACAACTATCTTACTTTTAGAAGACACCTGAAGGCAGCTTTGTTTAGGGAAGTTTTTAATGTTGATGTTTTGTTGCTTTTTTATTCTGTTGGAAGCTGCCTAGAGTGGCTGGGGAAACCCAGCCAAATGGGCAGGGTAATAATAATAATAATAATAATAATAATAATAATAATAATAAGTGCTTAGAATGACTTAAGGGTTCAGGTAGAAAGGTAGGGGAGTTTGTATGTTCCAAGGTCTCCAACTGGAATGCATAGTTATCAAGAATGCTCATCCATCAATTGAAGTAAACAAATGCAACTTAGAATTTTCTTGCCCCAGATACCCTTGTTTGATACACTACCTACATATAATGTAGAGATTACTTAGGTGTACTTAAAAGTAGCAGTGCTGCTGAATTCCTCTGATTAGTCTTGTATTGTGAGCAGCCTCCATTCGAAGAGTTATTTTTTGAAATTTCTGCCTTTTGTAGAACAAGATTAAAAGCCAGCTTTATGAACACACTATAAGCCCAAATATTTTTGCATCCCTTGCAGTTCCTTACCTGCTTCCCACAGGTCCAGCCAACCATTTCACTCCCTTTTTTGGCTTTGGAAATGTCCTTTTGCTTCTCACATACTTGCTCCGTATCCCCATGAATATTCCTACACCTTTAGTTACTTCCAACCTCTGCAGAATATTGTAAATAAACAAAATAAAAAACAGAATAAAAAAAACAAAAACAAACCATCTACCATTAGTGGAGGTCACACCTGGATGATGTCTAATTTAATTCCCCATCTCCCTCTCCTTGAAATGGACATTGACCTGTTGCATAGCCAAAATATTGCACCTCTACTGAACCCCATGTCAGGAAAGTTTTACACTGCTTGTGATTAACTTAACACGCTGCCAAGTATGTAGGGTCTAGGTGACTGTGACTTGTCGACTATTTCTGTTTCTCTGTATATTGTTTTCACTCCTGGGCACAAGAGAGTTTTTTGAAAAGGGAAAAAGAAACACTTTAATCTTCCTCTTTTGATGCAGGTCAAAGTGGTGATGGTAGAACTCATCTGAATGCAAAATACGGCTATTAAACTTCAGGTGTTGGCTTTGAGAAGTGAAGGACTATAGTACCGCAATCACTACAGAGTAGAAGACTCCATTTACATGGCAAGCAACAAAATTGCTCATTGTGTTTAAATTCCTTTTAACGATTCCTGAGCCTTGCCACACATGCTTCTTCCCCCACTAAACGTGAATTTGTGTATATTGTGCATCAAAGTGTGTGTATATAGTAGTGAAAACTATGTATTTACAAAGCAAACTTATCTATAACAAGGCTGGCTTTTTACAATAAAAACTAAGAATCCAAGTGCTTTTCTTTCCATTGCAAGTATTGGGGTGGGAAGAAAGAAATCATACACTGGAGAGATCTAGGCTCAAACTTCTGTTTAGCCAAGAAATTCACTATAGGGCTGCTTTATTCATTATGGGTTTCCTATGCAGAAGGCAGTCAAGTGACGCTCATTTTGTTGTGTATGGCAATCCTGCATATGTGTATTTTGTTACATGTACATAGCTGATTTTAGGAGGGTTTCTCCCTATTTATTCCAACATAGACCTCTGCTCCACTTCCAGATTCCCTCAAAAATACAATTGCAAACAGTAGCCTCCAGATGGAGCTGCTCAAAGCCAAGCTATGTTTAGTTTTATTCTCCCTTTTATAACTTTGGTGCTGGGTTTCTGTGAAGGTTCTCCCTTTCGCCTCTCATCACCAAGTGAAATGCGAACACATTCATATAATATAACTTTATTATATTCACAACCTGAAAGGAAGAAATGCCTTCATCATTAGAAGTTTAGACAATTTCAATCCTACTGTTTACCATTTATAAAATGCTCTTTCTTGTTCATAAGTATATAATTTTTGTATAGTCCACTTTACATACATGTGCACCTATGTTCTTTTTAACTTCTAGTTGCCTAGGAAATGCACTCTTTTTTGTTGAGCTCTTGCGTTTCCCCTAGGGGTAGAGCAGCAAAGACTATGTCTTAGGTTATGTAAGTTGAGAGTGTGTGGCTCAGAAAGAGTATATGCCTTTCTGTATAATGTATAATGTCACAGCTTCAATCTTCAGCACATCTAGTAAAATAATAATATTGATAACCTGGGTGTAGGAGGGATGAGGAAGATATCTGTATGTTTAGGGGTACTGTCATTTTCCTACTCATATTGAAATACTGCCCCTCAATGAGGCCAAACTTAGATTCACAAAATGTTTAGGGGTATGCGTACCCCCAGAAAAAAAGCATTGTGTGACATATGAGTGACTGTGAAAGATGCCTTATCAGTTCTTAAAGGTATAATCTTGGTACTGTTAGCATTTGGAACTGAGCTGAAGGGAGTTTTCACAAATACATATTTGTCCATCCCCAACTAACCAGTCCAAAGCAGTTAAGATTTACAAGATCACTTGCATAGTTCATAGTAACATGCTTCAACCACCTTAAATGGTAAATACATATCACATGACCTTGACCAACCCATATATTGGCAGCAGTGCACCTGAATTTCGCACAATATTGGGAATTCCATGTGGTCAGAAATCTTAAGTTAAAAGAACATTCAAAATACGTTGCTTTAGCTTTCCCTCCCCAGTTAAAGCACGGTACGAACATGGCTCACAGAAGATACTCTAGCACTGGTTTAGCGGATTAGACACCCATAGTATTGAAGCAGTTACAATGTGCAGGTGTGATTTGGTGAGGGGAAACTGGCTTCAGGTGAAGCATGTCCTCTCGGCCCAATTCTTTAAGTTAGAAGTGAGACAATTGCAGCAATCCAGACATTGGGCTCCAACTCCCATCTGACCCAGCCAGCATGACCAATTGCCAGTCTGGACAGGAGTTGTAGTTCATCATTTGGAAGGCCAAAGATTCCCCGCTTCTGCACTAAGTGAATATCAGACACTGTCTTTTCGGTGCCTACTGAAGACCCTGTCCTTTCAATAAACCTTGTAAGTTGAGATCTTTGCCTGCCTTTGTCTGTATTGGAATTGTTCTTGAGAAGTTTGATTACTTCTTGTGTGCTGCCCTGGACTCATTTGGGAGGAAGGGTGGGATGCAAATGTAATGACTAAACAACACATCCCTTTCCTGGGTGGACTAGCATTCTGTTATGCTCCTGCTTCTCTTACACAACAGGGGCTGCCAGATATCTTTGTCTTTCTGCCTTCTTTGAGCTCTGCTTCAGCTAACTCGCCCACTTCCAGGCCACAATTGTAGCCGGAAGCTGTGTAACGAGAGCACAGAGTTAAATGAAAAGGAGACGGAGCTCCTGGTCGCCTATAGCTCAACTCTGCACAATATTACTCAGCAACCTCATCCATCAGGAAGGAAATGGAAGCCACCTGGAGCCCCACACTAAAGGAGGAGGAGGAGAAAAAGTTAGTGGCTGAACATTAACATGGGTTAAGAGGACCAGGACCGAGATTAATCCAGACAGCAGTGTCCCGGGGTCAAATAATACCCACTGATCATTCCAGACTTTGTTTACTTAAATATTTATAAAATACTATCCCATACCAAAGATGATAGATTAGAACTGTGCTTTTGGAAAGGTCCTTTTAAAGAGTACTAGGGAAATTCATGTTTAGGAAAGAAGATACTTGTCGCGAGCCAGAAGGGTTGGATCATTAAAAGCAGAGCAAGCAGGAACAGACAAATGTAGCAGACCCCTTTATTTGTGAAGGTCCTTAAGTCAATAATGTGTAATCTTGCCTGTTAGTGGCAAATTGCCATCCAGACACTTTTCAGGCCTATTGATACTCTGCTGTAAGTAAAATGGTACTTTGCTGTCCGTACTAACTGCTACCCATTAAACTCAGATCACATGGGCTTTGTTTGTCCTTTTGCATACAAACTTCTGAAATCTTCTGAAACTTAAAAGTGTGTGTTTCATAGCTCTGCTTTTCCCTCCCATGTGAGTGGGTGGGAAGCTGTTATTTCAGAACCCTTTAAACAACCAGTGTGAATTTCACCCTCATAAATTTTCATCTCCCTCTGTTAATAAAATAAGCATATATTTTTCTTAAAAACAATTTGGCTTTACTGCTTTGACCTTTCCACAAACCATGCAGGATTTATCGTTGACTCAAAACACATCTCCCCAACCCAGAAGGGAAGCTAACTTCTAAAATGCTGTTTTTGTAAGGCTAGGTTTGGAAATGTCAAGTGGGCAACCAAATAGCATGAATCATAGGAACCAGTTCAGCAGGCAGAGAGCAATGTGTGTGCAATTAACACTAAAAGAGGTAGAATTTCATTGTATACTGAACAAATCCTTTTATCAGCTGGCATCTGATCTTTAGTTTAGCTTAGTGTTACTAGGCTTTTATACGTCTGAGTTTAATTCTGCCCTTCCTGTTAAAACTCTGCTGTTCAAAGTATGAAACATATTTCATACAGCAGTGTGAAGAGCAGCTAGGAGAAGCATGAGCTCATGGCTGACAAGCAACCCTGCCCTCCTGAAGCTCATGTTTGGTGTAAGTCTTGATAGGCTAGTTCTACCTTCTCTTGTCCAAATCGAAAGGGCTGCATGCATTTCCATCTTTACAGACTGACGGACTAGTTCAACAATTCCCTGTATGCTAAGGGTATAGCCCCTCTCCCCATCAAAGTCACACTTGTGAAACAGTGAAGCATTGTAATTGACCCAAACAACTCCTTTTCCTAAAATAAAAATTTGGTACAAAACTACAAAAATAAATAACAATGGAGAGAAAATAATTATCCATAATGTAATCAGGTTCAAAGTTGTATGGAAAGTTCATCAATTGACCTTCATTCCACCCAGAATACTCAGCCACAGTTCTCTGTATGTGACCAGAGGATTTCTAGCATTCCCTTCTTCAGTGGTGTATATAATAAAGGTAAAACGTGGGTGGTGCTGTGGTGTAAACCACTGAGCCTCCTGGGCTTGTCGACGGGGTGAGCTCCTGTTGCTCTGCCCCAGCTCCTTCCAACCTAGCAGTTCAAAAGCATGCCAGTGCAAGTAGATAAATAAGTACTGCAGTGGGAAGGTAAACGGCGTTTCCGTGCACTTTGGCACTCGTTGCGCCAGAAGCGGCTTAGTCATGCTGGCCACATGATCCGGAAAGCTGTCTGTGAACAAACGTCAGCTCCCTCTGCCTGAAAGCAAGATGAGCGCTGACTCCCATAGTCGTCTTTGACTAGATTTAACCGTCCATTGGTCCTTTACCTTTACCTTTTTTATAATAAAGGCATGTCACGAATCCTGGAAATCCAGGAATTTGTCTGATTCAGATCCTTTCTTTAGATCCTTTTTTTGATTCTGTGTGTTCGCTTTTCCATCAGTGCTAGATTCCAAACCTCATGATACCAGCAATGGAAGAGACTGACTGCAGGAGATCTCCAGTTCTTGGTGATCCCAAGTCATGGAGCAACAAAAAGAAAGGCTGCAAGATCTTTATAAATTACTGATTTAGGCTGCCCATAAAAGATGAGCAACAGTGCCATCTGTGGGTCAGAGAGTAGGAGTTTCATCAATTTCTTGGGAGACATCCCAAAACGAGACGTGGGGGACCACTGTTAGGATATAGTTCCGTTCCACCTTAAAAGGGTACAGGCATGACTGTTGTGTGTCACATGCCTGTTTACTTCCAGCACAGTTCTGCTAGGAACTTCCGTTTTGTATATTGCTTTTGTATAGCTGTTTTGCTGGACACGAAGGGAAGCAGACATGTTTTTTTCCTTTGTTCCTGCTGCTGAATAAAATGTTGTAAATATGCTTACACATGACTCTGTCCGCCACTTCCATTGTGAGAAGATTTATTCACTCTGCTAATAGAGCGTGCCGAGTCTCTAAATGTATCTGAGGCTCATGTCGCTGTTTGATGCTGTTCCAAGGGAGACCAGTGATCGCCCGGCTGCCGGCCTGCCTGATGCCCCCGTCTCCCCGGCAGTATCCCAACAACCACATGGGGGAAAATGGGTCCTACTCCCCACAGTCCCTCCAGCATCATAGTGAGACCGTATTGTATTTTCTGTGGAGGGCGATGAGATTGATGTGATGGCAGTACTTCTTGATAAGGGTGGCTGTTCTTCAATTAATAAGAAAGCAACAGTAGATCTGTGCAGAAGAAAGACTGTAACCTGACAAACACACACAGCTGCTGTGTTGAAGCAACAATCCATAGGATCAAATATATGGAGCCCAAGTTGTCCTCCCGTGTAGAATCTGACACCTGGCCACTCCAGAGCAACCGTTGGTGCTACTTCATCTATATCCCAGATCATGTGTGGTTCTGCTGATAAACTGCACAAAGAATTTTTCCAGCAGAAAGCTAATGGTGGCATATCCATATGGCATCCTGTTGATTAACCCTGTAGCTAGCGGTCCCAGTGCAACTGTGTAGAGGGAATATATGGGCCTGAACTGGATACCTTTGCCTGCATTCTGCAAGCAGAGTGGCCTGCTTTTGTTACTACAGCACAGATGAAACTGATTGTCCCTGAAGTAGCTAAAGTCAGTTCACAAGGATCAGGGTGCCAAGCTATGGGCTGAAAAATGAGCCGTTAGAGACCGCAGGATAGGACTGCCATATGTCTGGATTTTCCCAGACATTACTGGTATTTCAAAGGCAGAATTGATGGCTGGGGGGAATTTCCAAAAGGCAGCACTTTGTCCTGGATCTTAGGCAAGTCAATCAAAAAATCACGACTGCTCAACAACTTTCGGTTTTTCCTTTATAAAGTTCAACACGTGGCTTGCTTCTCTTAGGAGAGCACGTTCCTGCTACCTCGAGATAATCTGCCCTGTTTCTGAAGGCTGCCACAAATAACCATGTCAATGTGACATGACAAGAAATTTTCAAAAGGCTGGTTTTAAAAAGGCATGAATTACAAAGCCAATGATTCGCACAGGGTATTTATATCTGGATTCTGAACATGCTTACTGAGAATAAGTTCCATGGATTCCAAAAGAGCAAAGAGCCGTCTACCAGAAGCACACAGTGTCCCACTGGTTTGTGCAAAATACCTTCATGAAGCAGTGAAGTCTGAGTAAGGGAAAGAATTTAGAGTTTGTTGAGAGAGTGAGAGGTGGCAGTTGGGCAGTTAAGGAGACAGTTGAGGATAGGCGTTGCAGAAAGGAAAACCTGGTGAGCCAGGAATGTGGGGGTTTTCCTCATAAATGAATTTAATGAGAAATAAATAATGGGTTTGTATAGCTGATGAATAGAAGGGATGCAAGTTACCTCTGCGAGAACAACTGGATGACCAGTTGATGGAAAAGACTAGTAGGCAACATCCTGTCAAGCTGTGGATATAAATTTCATCTGACTGCTAATTTCCTGGGCTTTGAGATCTTTGGTAGAGAAAACCAAAAAGAGAAGCTGAGACTTAGAATGTCTGTATAATACTGGGTTGTGGGAAACTTTGTTGTAAACTTACACTGCAGGGTCTGTTATTTTTCACGATGGAGCGATGGATATCAAATTTTGCATCCAAAATGGCAGAATTTTGCAGCATGTGTATCTTGCACGTTTGTAAGCCTAGGAAACCTATTTAACCCTCATGTTAAATCCTGCAGAGAGCTCTCCAAGGTCTCAGGCAGAGGAGGGATTTATTAGTCCTCCTGGCCTGAGACCCTTTTCACTGGGATGGCAGGGCTAGAACCGGAAACCTTCTCCCATGCAAAACATGAGCTCTTCCTCTACCACTGAGACCTTCCCCATATGTTAACCCTTCATCATCTGTTTTGTTGCTGTTGTCCAATTAGAAAGAGACAAGTCATAAGGGATGATACTGAACCCCTTGACCACAAACCCTCACAGCTAGAAATCCTAACCATCCATTCCTGTCTACACTGAGATTTATTTCTTACAGATCACTGCCCGTTCTCTGTTGGCGCACTGTTTAGGGATTCCTGGCCTGGCAAGAAGCTTATTTGGCCAGCAACTGGGACAGAAATAGGGCACTGAACATTTCCTGCCAATCAGGGGAGCAATGAAGGAATCCTGAGTCCTCCATGTCAGCCCAGTGTCAAGTTCAGAATGTGTTAAAGAAAGGGGAAATTCAGTAGGCTTCTACAACAAGCAGAAGCTGTTGGAGCTGCAAGACTGTTAGCATTTTGCAAAAGCCCCAAAAGGAGTAGCATGTTGTAAACCAGCTAGTTCCACAACATAACACTCATAGACAAGATGAACAAAATCTCTTCTGGTGGGCCTATAAAGTACTTAGGACTCAGCTATACAGCTGCAAATAAAACGTTTTAAATGTGTTGGAAAGTGTGACACTAGATGGCGATAGTGAGCTATGCCAAATTCAATGTATTTTTCAAAAAAATATATTCCTTAAAAAAGCATTTTCACAGCGTTTTTAATATGTGTGCAGATTCCATCTTAGAATCTACTCTGTGTCAAAGTTTTCAGGTTTATCGTACTCAGGCAAACATATTCCTTTCATAGTCTTTTTGCCCATACTCCTTGCCAGAATAGATACACTGTTTTGGATTGAAAGCTTGAACCTTTTAAGCCTCTAATCGCTCCTTAGGTGTGTAAACAAATGCAGAGGTTGGAACAAGGTCAGTGGGGTTGTTGGGAATCTCTGAACAGACCCAAATAAAACCCGCTAGTCAAGGAATAAAAATAGAGATGGTCAAGGTAGCAATCAGGGCATATTGCTCCAAGCGTATTTGCTGTTTCTCTATCCCACTCCTGCCCACTTAGCACACAATGGCTAAGGTGATACACAAGGTGTACAAGAAGAAGGGTTGGGGAGGGAGTTAATTTCATGCAATCAAAGGTCAGGCAGAGTAGAAATGAAGGGAGTTTGAGGAGGCAAGAGATAAAGGCAATAGCAAGTCCCCCTTTAGATGTGGGGGGAGATGGGACAAGAGAGTTTTGCTGATTAAGAAACCATAACAGTTTGTAACGATCTCCAGCTGCAGGAATGAAAGGGCTGCTCTGGGATTCATTAATATGAGGAAAGGCCTCCAGTCCTTTCACGGAAAGCACAGACAAATGCGGAGATCAATTAAAAACCGGGGAGAGGGCACAAGCAGAGGAGATTATTTTAACATATGGCCTGTGTGAAATACATTCTTTGGAACAATGGCTGGCCCCATCTGACAGCACATGCTCATTGTCTAAGCCTTCTCCACGCCCTGGTTGCTATGTCAGAGGCCAAGTTCTTAGAGAGGTAGCAAACCTGTGTTGTACTGCTCCAAACTCTACACGTGTAACTGAACAATAGAGCGCCTCCAATCTGCCAGTATTTTGTGAGAGGGGTTCAAGAGCATACCAGAAGTTTTGATTTGCACGATTGGAGTCGATTATGAAGGAACATTCCCTTCTCTGAATCACCCCCCCCCCCTGCAGTCTGATGTGGTACAGTCCAGACACAGGTTTTGCTGCCGCAGAAAGAGCCACTTGCTCCCATACAGGGGAGCTCATGAGTGAAGATCCATGTCAGTGGCCTTGCTCTCAGTGCTATCTAGAGATATTTGGCAAGTTCTGATCTACCTGTAGTTCCTGATCTACCTTTTCCTCACTCCTGGTCTGAGGGGACTGAATTTGAAGTCCAGTCTCAGCCATGAAGTTCACTAGGTAGTCATCACGGTGTCCTGTTGCTCCAGAAGCGGCTTAGTCATGCTGGCCACATGACCCGGAAAGCTGTCTGTGGACAAACACCGGCTCCCTCGGCCTGAAAGCGAGATGAGCACCACAACCCCATAGTTGCCTTTGACTGGACTTAACCATTCAGAGGTCATTTACCTTTTATTCTCAAATTAATCTACCTTAAAGATGTTGTGAGAATAAAATTGAATGGTCCCACATATGCTACCCAAAAACTCCTTTCAGGAACTGTAGGATACAGATGTGTTGACTGAATTTCTGATGTCAGCCTAGATGGTGTGGTTCAAGCTTATGAAAGTTCCGGATTGTCTCCATGCCTGTAAGGTTTGCATGCATACAATTCAACAAAAGCCCCCCAAGGTTTGAAAGGTAGGGCTCAATAAGAGCTCAGAGGAGCCTTAACAAGAAAGATGAAGGTCTCAGCACTTTGAAAAGGGCCACATAATTCTTCGGGAACTCCCTTGTTGTCACTTGTACATTCAAGATGCCAAGTGAGTTCATCCGAAGACTTCCTGGAGCCTTGTAGCTGGGTTCAGAACCTCTGCCTGCAGGAATCCTGGCAGATCTCAAGATAGCCCCAAGAAGGGAATGTTAATGCAACTTTGACTGAAATATTTCAAAGGGGAGTTGGCTAAAGAAACATGTCTCCGCTAGGTTGCCTGGGTTTATCGTTTGCATCTCTCATATCTCTGGCCAGAGAGGAAGTTTCCTCTATTTTCTTCACAAACACATATAGCGGTGCCCAGTCTTCATCCAATTACAAGGCCCCTCACAGACTAAGGTTTATGAGTTGGATCCAGAATCACCCTTCAGTTTGCAGGAGGGACTGACTTCTAGCAGAGGAAGGGGGAGATTATTTTTATTTTACTGATTCCCCTTTCTCCTTGGGCTGCTTCCCATGTTGCTCAAGAGGGTTCCTCCAACTCTCTGGAGGAACTTTGCAGGGACCTGCAGAAGGAAGAAGCAATAGGCAAAAATCACCTCCTCTCCCTCCCTCTTTCCTCCATGAGGAACATCCCATGGGCAATTATCTAGGTATGGAATGGGGGGAGTTTTTCTGAAGCCTGGGAAAGAAAAGCAATGAATCCAATTGTCTCCCGCTGCTGATGGAAAGCTCTGTGATCCACCAGAGACTTCCATAAGCACTAAGGGGGGGGGGGGAGTGATGTTTGCCAAGTCCCTCCTTCTGCAGCCTCTTGCAGACCCAAAAAATCTGCTGCAGGCGGTGGTGAGATTCTTTGGAGCAGAATGGAAAGTGGTCATAACGGTATGTTTAAACTAAGCCTAAGATACATGAAGCCTGAAAGATGTAAGTACAGTGGTACCTCAGGTTAAGTACTTAATTCGTTCCGGAGGTCAGTACTTAACCTGAAACTGTTCTTAACCTGAAGCACCACTTTAGCTAATGGGGCCTCTTGCTGCCGCCGCGCCACTGGAGCACGATTTCTGTTCTCATCCTGAAGCAAAGTTCTTAACCTGATGACTATTTCTGGGTTAGCGGAGTCTGTAACTTGAAGCGTATGTAACCTGAAGCATATGTAACCCGAGGTACTAGTGTAATAGAACCAACACATCCTTGTGGTTATAACTAAATTGTAACTACTTTCAAGACAAGATAGGGAGATGAAGTTTGGCATGTTTTACTTATATATAGGTACACTGCTGATGGGATTGGTAGGTGGGAGATATAGAATGCCTGAATTTCTAAAGCAGGAAGTGGAAGAAGAATCCACGTTCTTCCTCTTCAAAGAAGAACACTGCTGGATCAGAGCCAAAACCCCATCTCGACTAGCATCCTTTTCTCGCAGGGGCCAATCAGATGTCTATGGGAAGCTTGCAAGCAGGACCTGAATGCAACTGTGCTCTCCCCTGCTGTGTTTTCCAGCAACTGGTGTTCAGAAGCATAGTACTTTGAAGGTGGATTATAACCATCATTACTGCTTTAGAAGGAAATGGTAAATATTTAGCAGCCATGCTGTGTGTTGTTTTAAACCAATACAATGGACGCTCAGTTTGCGAACATGATCCATGCGGGATGCACGTTCGCAACCTGCAGCGTTCGCAACCCATATCTGCACACGCACGGGTTGTTATTTGGTGCTTCTGTGCATGCGCAAAGCACCATTTAGTGCTTCTGAGCATGCACGACCACCGAAACCCGTTCTGGTACTTCCAGGTTTCGGTGGTCCGTAACCCGAAAAAACGCAACCTGAAGCTTCTGTAACCTGAGGTATGACTGTATATGATTTTTATATTGCATACGTGTATTGATGGCTGATGTGTTTTGCTTTGTGTTTGTTGTCTGTGCTCCTTTGGAAGAAGTGTGCTCCATAAGTATACCAAATCAAAAAGTAGATTGTGGTTAGTAGGTGTCAATAGCCTTCTCCTCCATAAATCCCTTCTCATCCTGCATCTTAAAAGAACCCATAGCAGAGCTTCCTCCAAAGAGCTCAAAGTCCAAGGAGGTGCTTTTGTCTGCACCAGACCATATGAGATATTAAAGGTCAAGAAGACCACTACTGTGAACTTTAAAGAATCAGTGATTATTTTTTTAAATGACCAGAGATCAGAGACAGTATCTGCTCTGCATGTGGGCCGTCTCAGGTTCAATCTTCAGCATCTCATGATAGAGGTTAAAGAGATCCTGCCTGAAAACCTAGAAAGCTGCTGCCAGCCAGTGTAGGCAATACTGACCAATGGTCTGATTCAGCTTCCTGCGTTCCACTGCATTCCATTGTCTGCCAGGTCTTGTTGAAAGCAGTTGTATTTTGTGCCTATTGCAGTTCCTTTTGAAAAGCAGCTCTGCTTCCACTAATCCCATCTAGAGGACACCAAGGAATGTATCATGTTGGGCCATGCAGTGCGCTCTGGTTAACAAATGCCACTTGGGTATCCAGGAGCCCAAGTTTAGAAGCACTCGCCAATATTCTTGCTTCACATATTCCAAGGTTGATCCCAGGCTAAGCTCTGATGATCCACAGGACTCAGATTAAAACCTGGGTGGAGTCCCTTTCAGATGCAAAGAAATAAACCGCTTGGTGTACTTTTCAAAACTTGATCTTCTCAGTCTTTGGTCTTGGCTCCGGGTTTCAGTAGTTGTTGCTCCCTGAGCATTAAATAATACCAGGGCTTTATTAAAAGCATATTTGCCAAGGTTTCACAGCAATTGGACACACATGCCTCCCCCACGTGGGAGCTCAGCCTTGATGAATATGGTTTCAATAAATGAGCAGCATTTCATTTACAAGCTATTACTGTGTTGTTAAATTTAAGATGAAAAAGAAACAAAGAATACCTCATTTGGAACGGTCATTCCACACGAAGCGATTACCTTGATAGAAATAGGAAGGTCGAGGCAGAGCAAGAAAGAGCAGTTGCAATGGAGAAGTGCACTTCTCAAACAAATCACTTTTGGTTTCACTGAACATCATTTTGACCCACACGGGAACCAGCGTAAGAAGCTACAGAGTTGGAAGATCAATGTTTGTTAGCCAGGCCCTCCCCTCAAAGTGTTTATAAGGTAGAGTAGGGGAGACTCAAGGCTCTCCAGTATTGGATTTAAAATTAAATTCAAAAGGGATGCCAGCTATACTAAAAAGTGCATGACTATTTGCACAGTAGCAGAAGATGTTGAAGGCTAGACCTCTTCACTCTCAATTTCTGCTGTCTCTCCCTCCCATACATGCACAATCACTCGGCTCAGCAATTCCCCCATTCAAAACTATGGAATGTTCCAAGGCACAGGAAGCAAGATGGTGCAGCTGGTTACTAGTTCCTAGAAAATGAACTGCAACTCTTCATCTTATTGATCAGTCAGCCTTGACTACAATAGCAGTCTTTTTTGGCTGACCGTCCCACGGCTACATATGGATTTGTACTCAGAGAATGGGTTTGCAGGGATGGGAAACCTGTAGTCCTACAGCAGTTGCTAGACTGCAGCTTCCATCGTTCCTGGTATTAGCCATGATGACTGGGGCTGATGAGATTTGGAGTCCAACAACACCTGGAAGGCCACAGGTCCCCCAGCCCTGTGATATACAAGTACGGTCTCTTCCCCTCCACACCCAGTCATCATGCCCCTTTGTGACCTCATAGGTGGTCTGCTGTCAGGAATGAGCTAGCTCCTAGTGGAACTTTACAGCCAGCTGCAGAACAGAGAGGGTTAGATCTGACGCAGACTGAACAGCGGCCAGTGCCCAGTGCGACTTCCTCAGACACTGGAATGCCGGTTGCCAAGGGAATGACTGAGAGCGGGCTGGAACACAGCCAAAGCGCTCAGAAAGCTCCAACAGCCGTGAACAGACACCAAGACAGTTTTTCAGAACAGAGAGAGGCTAGAGCTGATCCAATAAGTCCGAAGAGTCAACGAATGGGAGGGCTGATAGACAGGAAGCAAAACAAGAGACATAAGGGGCGACGGTTCAGTATATTCTGTAGGAATCGGAAGCAGTCTTCAGAAGGGTCATCTTGAAGGGTCAGTGGCTTCGTTAGGGCTGCCCAAAGCTATCTGTTTGTTTTTGCAATAAATCCTCCTTTTTAATTACCTATGCTTACCGTGTTATCAAGCTGGGAACCTGGACTCCTGACATCTGCAGCCAAAGGTAATAGCTGGAAAGGCATCAGCACAGCTTTCAGGTTTCATCTGTTCATGAATATCCACCAGTTTCCTTTCAGACATCACAGTCATGCATATGCATACACCATTCACAGTGACCACATTTGAAACCCACCCCCCACAAGCATATGCCAGCTAACATCCATGAAGAACACCAACATACATATTCACTGATAATTCACTCTCCGTTCAGGCCTCGGCTTCAACCCACAAATACCCACCAGCTGATGTTGACCAGCTTCAGCCATTTTACATCCACAAATATCAGCCTGCTTCAGCCTTGTGGCATTCACCGATTTTCAAATACAAATTCCACCTACCAGCATCCAGCATCTTCCATCTTCCACTAGGTCCATCTCTAGATATCATCCAGCTTCTGACCATGGATATCAGCTGCATTCAGGCTGCAATCCCACAACCAGATGGTAGCCTCCATTCATCTGCGAATGGGCCTCCTACAGATGGAAGACTGGGCAATGCAGGATATCACAGCTGTTGCCCACTCTACATTGTTAGGGAAGAGGAAAAGGCCCTTTTATATCCACTCATCTGCCATTACCTATTGTGACATCAGAGGTAGTCCCTAGCCAATGATTGCTAAGTTTAGTAATTAAGTTCACTGAAATTGTAAATGCTTCTATGCATTACTATGTGTTTAAATCTGATTGGCAGGCAACTGAATTCTAGAAAGTTCTCTCCAGTAGTTCTCAAGTGGTTGGCTAACATTGGTCACATGGGAAGTATCTAGTGAAAGAGAGACTCCATTCTATTTGAAGCAAGATGACTGTGTTTTAGAATCCACTGTAAACACTGCTAAGTTCCATAGAGTGTTGGAGTGCTTCTTTGCTTGAAAGAGAGCAAAGCTGCAGGAGAAGGTAAAAGTGGTTATCTCTCAAATGAGCTGCAAGGCATGGCCTAATTGTGATACAGAAGGCTCACTGCTGAGCTCTGGAAAAAGAGGAAAATACAGTTGTTTGGAAGTTAGAAAAAGAGACTGTGAGCCCGTGCTTGACTGTAAATATGTTTTGATTCATCTATAACTATATGTTTCTGTAAGTAAAGTTTTTGAATGTTAAAGTCTGGACATTGGTTTAATTTCCAAAGAAGGGTTTCAGTCATATACAGTGGACCCTCCGGATACAAATTAAATTTGTTCTGGGAGTCCGTCCGCAACCCGAAAAGTCCGTAGGCGAAGGCGCCGCTTCTGCACATGTGCAGTATACACTTCCGGGTTTGCCGCGTTCGTAACCCGAAAGTTACGTATCCAGAGCGGTACGTAACTAGAGGGTCCACTGTATATCATTTGAGCTTCTTAGCTGCGATTGCGCTGCCCTTACTTCAACAATGGTAACAGTTTGTGACACCTCACAATTGTGGATGTACCTCAGCAGCGATTTATTTGCGCACTTGCTTATTCTTGAAAATATTTATTATAGCCCACTCTCCATCTGTACTGATACCAAGGGAGACCAACCCATAAAACTGTTGTAGGGGACCTTTCCAGCACAAGGGCCGCATTTCCTTGCAGGGAACCTGCCAGGGGCCAGTGCAAGGTAGCCGTCAGAGGCAAAGGGGAGAGGAGCAGCACATGTCGCTCTTGTGTTTGTTCAGTGGGCTCCATTGCAGCTGCGCAAAAGCCAGCGGTTTCTACGCTGCAGCCACCCATCAATCTCTCAATCAAGTTCCGCAAGAAGCATCGTCACAGTTCAAAGAAACATTCCAACCGGAGAAAATGAGGAAAGTGTGGAGCAAGGCTAGTGAGGGGCATGGTGTGGGGAGCATCCTGGGGTCCAGAGAGAATGGCCTGGAGGGCTGCATTGGGCCAGCAGGCCAAGTCTCCCTTCGAAGAAGGTTGCAGAGATTAGTACTATGTGCTAAGTTCCATTGCACCAAGTGAGGTTTAGTTCCAAGTAAACATGCATATAGCGCATTGACCGGACAATTTTGGCTTCTCCATAAGGTGGCAAAACAGGTGCTGGATTTCAACAGAGAGGCAAGGAAAGAGCATTTCTGAATCAGGGGAAATAAAAACACAACACATCTACCCAGCCATTGACTGCATCCTTAGATATTTAGTCCACTGTGTGGCTTTCTGGCTTTCTTAATCCATCCTTTGTTAATCCACTACGAACAACTCCAGATTTCTGCTGAGACAATGAGTCTGAGGCCCTTTGAAGAGAATGGGCGCTGGTGAAGCAAACAATATATTTCCTAAAATAAACAGATCAAAGCATCATTCTTCCTTTCATATGTGGCATGAGCCCTTTCCCCCAAGAAATTCTTCCTTCCTTGCCACCATCACACACTTTAATTAACACATTGCAACCTGCTGACCCATGGAGGAGTTAACGCAGTACAGTTCTGGTATGGCACAGGTAAATATCTAACCACATACCAAATAGTAGGCCTTGTAAACATTATTTCACTTGGAATGTCAAGCACTTGGGAGTTGCAAAATGTCCATATTTATACAACTTTTAACCATCCTCCTCCTTATCCACTGAATGAAGAATTTCTCACACAAATAAAACAATCCAGTAATTAAATCCCAGAAGAATTGCTGTGTCAGGGGGTGCTTTGGGTTAATATTGCCTGCAGAAGCATGAATGGAAAAAGAGATGCTGTATTGCCTTGCTTGCTTTTTAATTTCTTATTACTTTTTTATCCTACCTTTTCCTCCAAGGAGCTCAAGGTGGTGTATATGGTTCCCCCATCACTGACTGGCAGAGGCTCTCCAGGGTTTCAGATAGGGCTCTCTGGAGATGTTGGGATTGAACTCAGCATCTCAGCAAAGCAGATGCTCAACCACTGAGCTTGTTGTTGTTTAGTTATGTTCGACTCTTCATGACCCCATAGACCAGAGCACGCCAGGCACTCCTGTCTCCAACCACTGAGCTACCCTTCCCCTAAGTCTGTGGGACAGAGATCCCTACATGCCTTCCCTTTCCTCCCATTTTCCCTGTCTTGGCCTACTGGATCCCAAAACCAAATAAACTTTCTAACACAAGTCAATTTCATACGAATATCTCTGAGGGAGTTTTAAAAACAAACCATGAAACCCAACGCAGGCCAAGTCCTAGCAAGACAGTTTGACACGTGGAATCCGGAGTGTTCTAATCTGTAGGCCTCAGTGTGAGCTGGAAACGATCATTGCTGAGCTGTTGTTGATTCATCTCGGCAAGCAAAGGAAGGGGGTCTGTGTTTGGACAGATGTAGGTTGTATATCACAGACAGGAGACCTAAACAGTATGCTGAATCCCCAGCTGTCTATTATGGATTGTTTTTACCTCCCCCGTTCTCCATGACAGTTTTTCAGGCTCCTTTTAAACATCTCCAAAGCTCTTTTATTCCAGTTGATGCTCAATGAACACTTTGACTCGCTAAAAGCTGCATGGTTTGAAAATTGTGGTTAGAGCCATGCCAGGAAGCCAAAACTGCTGCATCCCATCATGTAACCTTTCCCTTCAGAGTCACATCAAAATACTATTTTTTTAATGCAGCTCGATCAGACGCACTTGTTGCCATGCACAAATATATAAATATATAAAATATATCATCCTAAGGATGTCATCCTTGGAGAGGCAAAGTAGGTGAAACTGGACTTAAACCAGGAGGTTAGACTGTGTTTATTTTCAGTGGTCAGGACTCTCAGGCACTCAATGAAGGCTGTGTCCTGGCATGGGGTCCACCTCAGGTTCTCCCATTAACATGGGTGCACAGCCTTGAAGCCACTCTGGTGAGACTGTGCTCACCTGACACTACCTTGATGTCAGGTAACCCATCTTCAAAAGAAAAACTCTGGAGCGCACTCTTAAGTGCACACTTTCAAGTCCTGAGCCATTTCTGATGAGGTGGCCTTTGCATGGAAGTTGACGACGCCCAGGACAATCATCCAGCGGGTCCTCAGCACCTGATCCAAGACCAGCTTGGTGATCTCAGGGAGACAGTTTGGTGGGATGGGATGGGCACAACACCAACAGTATTCCCAACTTGTCCCACTAGAGCCAAGTGCAATTTCCTGAGCGGCAGCCATGATAGTCCATTACACCAAAAGCACCTTAAAGACTCACAGATTAAAGACTCACAGATTTATTTATTGTAGAATAAGCTTTTGTGGACTGAGGCCCACTTTGTCAGATGTATGAAGGAACATATTGCAGACTGACCTGGCATTCCATAGCAGCACCACAAGGCCAGAAGCCACACTGACACAGGGCATCTCAGATTTCCAGGGTAGCGGGAGATTACCAGATGTAACACAATTCAAAACCAGGCAGGGAGGAGCTCCCTTGAAATTTGTGATTCATTAAACACCAAGGACTATGTTCTGGCATATGCCTTAAAACCTCTACAAGACGTTGCCATGTTGGTAATACAGTGGGATTCAGATACGGCTTATTTTGAAATGAAAGCTCACAATTCTTAATGCACCAAGATGACAACAGCAACGACAAATTCAACGCAATATTGCATAGATGCAAAAGCCTACGCCAGATGAGCAGTCAAATGAAGAAAAATGTGGCGAGGTCCCTCCAGCTTGCCTCCTCCCATGACCAGCTGTAAATATTTATCTGGCAGCCTTTAATGAAAGACATGGGCCGAAACAATGATAGTTTCAACATGGCTGCCCTCCAGGGCTCCAAACTCGAGGGAGTTTGTTCTTCGCCACAGCTTTCTCAGCCGATGGTGCTGTAGGTTCCTGGGCAGTCAAGTGGATGCTTTGGGGGACGGAGGCGGGGGTGGGGTGGGGGTTGCGGGAGACCCATATAAAACCGCAAACTCTGAGAGAAAAAGTGTGAGACTGCAATGGAAGCCTGGCTGCCCTGCCTTTTAATGAGCTGGTGCTGTTTTGAAGCTGGAGAAACCTTCCAGGGGCGGGGAAGGAGCTTGCTTGGCAAAGGGGTTTTAGAAATCTTTCCCTGCAGCAACAGATTTAATGGTAAATAACTTGCATTCTTTTCCTTCTGAAATGCCTGATTATGTACACCCTCCAGATAAGTTGTCGCCTCTCTAGGGCAGCATGTTTGCTCATTTGTACCGTGTGCTATATAAACTGTTCGGAACAAGAGCTTGAAAAGAACACTTACTTAACACTTTCGGAGGCAGTTGTTAACAGAGTGGGAACACCGGCAGCTGACTTACACCGAGTTAGCTGGGTGTTACTACAGTGCTCTCCACGTCTGACTCAGTACTGTCTATACTAAATGGCTGTGGCTCTCCAGGTTTTCCGACGGATGCCTTCCCCAGTCGTACCTGGGGATGCCAGTGTCATAGACTGGCTGGATGCAGAGGAATGGAGGGAGGCAGTTGGGGAACCCCCGAGGGAACCTCCAAGAGAAGAAGGCTCAGAGCCAGGGATTGGTGGTGGGATGGCATTGGGTGGACAGAGGGGAGGTAGGCAGACTGGGAGCAGGAGCACAGCTGTCAACTTTCCCCTTTTTTTAAGGGAAATTCCCTTATTCCGAATAGGATTCCTCACAAGAAAAGGGAAAAGTTGACAGCTATGAGCAGGAGGTGTCGAATGCTGAAGAGGCAACAGGGTTTAGTGAGCTGGAAGAGGCTGTGGTAGACAGCAGTCCAGACTCAGAGGCAGAAGTGGAGGCGGGGGGGGGGGGAGAAGCAGAGATGAGGCAGGTTGCTGAAGAATTCAAGGAGTTTCCTCCCCACCCCTGCCCTTCAGACATGTGTCTGCATCATTGTCCCCAGGCACTGATGCACCAGTAGGCTTTTTCTTGTTTGATAAGCCCCTCTGCTCTTTCATCTCCTGCTGATGCAGTTTCCTCCTTTTTTTTTACAAGAACAAGGGCAGTTTCAGACAGGTGTTTATTGTGGGATGGGTGCTACTCATCTACGCAAGGTGTTTTGTTTTTTGTTTTGCAGAGCCCACATGATGTCCTTGCCATCAAAACACCAGCCTATATTCCAATCCACTTCAAATCCAATCCAGATTTACCCTGAGAGAAACGCAAAAAGTGCTTTTTAAAAACTGCTGCCAATGATCCATGTGTGATACCTGAATGGTCTATTTACAATGCCCTGTTTAGGCAGCCCTGCTTAGGGAAGCTTTTAATGTTTAATAGGTTGTTGTATTTTTGTGTTTTGTTGGAAGCCGCCCAGAGTGGCTGGGGAAACCCAGCCAGATGGGTGGGGTATAATAATAAATTATTATTATAATAATAATATTATTATTAAGCCCTCACCTGGAAGTGCGTCAGATCTACATCTCAATGGTGCTTTTGGTACTCAGGTTCTAAAGCAACCTAGCTAAAGCTCTGATCCTCAACTTTTAGAAATGAGTATTTTCAGAGGGAAGAATGGCACTCTGCTTTTGCTCAAAGGAACCTTTCCCCATTATGCCAGACTGTTCTTGGAGCAAGGGCTGATCATGGCATTGCAATCTACAAGCAGGGGAAGTAAAAGCAGTGTGTATCTCATGACATGAAGGAAAGCTGCAATGGGTTTGCCCACATCATAACCCCAGAAGTGGAGTGCATAGCAGAAATATGTGTTGGGGTTATGCACGGGGAGATAACCAAAGGGCTGGATTTATTTCCCTTGTCTGCTAGGAATGTGCCCTGCCCACGCCCTGCAGAGTCAAGGCTTGCTCAGCTGTAATTTTCTCATCATTCATTTTGCAACCTCACCTCCAGCAGGTGAGCACAAGGTAGATGGCCCATCTATCATTCTAATGTCCTTTAGGGCCGACTGTTACCACAGTGATCCCATGGACAAGACAGGGTGCACTTAGCCTGGCTGCTGCTTTCATTTCATTTCATTACCTTGCATATCCCGCCTTTCTCTCAGTGCAGGACCTAAGGCAGCTTACAGCATTGCTCCCTTCACTGTAATGTGAGAAACGGCTGCCAATCTGACAGCAGCCAGTTGGAGGCTGGTTTTTCCCCATGATCCCTTTCTTCTCTCCCGCAGCCAAGTGGGTGAAATGCCAGCTTGAGCCGTCACCACTCACACTTGCGGCAGTTCAAGGGCAGCATGCAAGGGGAGACACTGCTATGGCTTTCCGAAGCCAGACGTTGCGCACGATGCCAGCCGAGTGATGCAAACTGCAAATTTCAACAAACAGGCTGGCTGTTTTAAATCTTCTCTTAAGCACTGGGCCTGCAAGAGAAACAAAGCAGATATTTTAATGCACGCTTTTCTAGAACACAGATGAATGACGGAGACTCCTGTGGAATTTGAAAGCTTGTGTTTTTCTGCACATGGAGGCTATCATATTGCCATGGTTCTCAATGGTTTCAGCCAGGGGATATTCTCAATTTTATCTGGAGATGTAGTGCATCTGCCTTGCATGCAGAAGGTTCCTGGTTCAATCCTGGACATCTCCAGCTAAAACTGAGAATGTCCCCTGGCTGAAACCACGGAGAGCCATTGCCAGTCAGAGTAGACAGTACTGAACTAGATGGACTGGTGATCAGACTTCATATAAGACAGCTCTTATATTACTATCTTCCGCGATTGCAACGAACAGGGGTCCTGAATTTGGCTACCACATACCCCCAGCAAACAAGCTTGATTCAAGTTGTAATATATATTGTGTTATACTGTTGATGGATTGAAGCAGTTAATTTGAGCATGCTTGAGATACCTGTTTTCAAGGATCATAAAGAAATAACTCTCTATCACAGGAGTAGTCAATGAAGGCTAAGGCCATCTTCGTGAGCAATTTTTGTGGCCATTCAAATACACCAGGCATAGACAAACTCTGCCCTCCAGATGTTTTGGGACTACAACTCCCATCATCCCTGACCACCAGTCCTGTTAGCTAAGGATGATGGAAGTTGTAGTCCCAAAACATCTGGAGGGCCAAGTTTGCCTATGCCTGAAATAAACCTTTGGCCTTTCCAGCAATTGTCATCATCATCATAATTATTCTTATTATTAGTACCTGGCCTATTTATCCATCTAAATCAAGGTAAAGAAATTTGTGCCCTTCCAGAAGCACTCGGACTCCAACTCCTATCATCCCTAATTAGGCTAGCAAATGATCAGGGAGGATGGGAGTTGGAGTCCATCAGCCTTGAGGACTGCCAGCTGCCCAACCCTGATTTATGCCATCCATTCCTCTGTAGGGGTATGAATGGCAACTGCTAGACACAGCAGCCTTCCAGACTGAACACAGCACTGGAAAGAAGAGGACAGACAGCTAGAGAACTCCCTGGTATGCATATATCTGAATCCCAATACTCCTTTGTGGTTGTTAAGAGGTTTCTATTATTTCTGTCAGCAGTTAACAAAGACATCTGGCTCCAGCGATCTGTCTGTTCTGTGGATCTGTGCAAGCATGGAATTCTGTGCTGGATAAAAAATTCTGCATGCTAAAAATGCCAGCTTTTGCTCTTTCAAGCAAGTATGTGTTTCTGCAAATATAAGCTTGAAGTCATATGAGCAGTGGATGGCGATATATCAGAGGTCAGTCATGGATGAGGTCAGAGTCGTACTTCCTGTGGGTGAGTGGTGAGACTGAGGTTCAGTATTGTTCCTATCAATAGCAAGATGCATTATGCACACTGAGGGCTCAGCCATACTCCTACTTGTCCTGGGCCTAGAAAGCATGGCTCTAAGCAGTTTTGCCTTCGTCTTGCCGCTTTCCTCCGGAAAACCTGCTCTTTAGCACCAAATTGGAACGAACAGCAATCTGCAGAAAACCCAATTGCCATTTGTTTCCTGGGGAAAGCGGCAAGGCAATTGGAAGTTGCCCTGAATATTTTCAATTTTGCTTGATAGCAGTGATTTATTCAGATTACAGAAGCTGGATGAAGAATTCAAACACAGAACCTGTTTCTTTCCATCCTTTCCCAAAGAATGGAATGTACACAACTTGGGCTATGGGGAATCTAGATATTTTACCATACTTTCTACATAAGTGTTATACATCAAATATTTCCACAATGCTGCTTTTAACAGTCTACATTGACAAATACATGTTTGATAAGCTAGATTTGAACCCAGCCAGCAACAGCAAGCCTACTGAATCCTTGTTGGCCCAATCTGATTCCTACATAACCATCAACACATGTTTTGAAGCAGATATGAACCTGAAGGGAAAAAACAGACAGGTCAACAATAATTCAGTTGCACAATTGTCTGAACTGCTCTTGAGAAACTTTGAGGAACTGGAAGGGGAAAAAAGAACCTTCAGTGATCCAAATCAGGGTGTAGGTGGCTGGGACTCTTTCTTTGGCCCAAATGTCAACTGTTGTAATGTTGCAAGTTTCCTAGGCCTGAATCATTTGGTTAGTTTTCATAACACTGAGGTTTTATTTTAATTTCCCAACATCTCATTCCGAGTTTCCATTGCTACAATATCTAAATGCCACAGCTGGCCCAGCCATTGGGCAAGTGGAGCACTTGCTTCCAAGTGCTAGCTCTACAGAGGAGCTGAGCAGAGGGCTGAAGAAGGCAAATGAGGATTGCTTCCAAGAAGCACCTGGCAACTGGAAGAGACTAATCTGGACTTCCATGGATCTTCAATGATAGTTGCAGCAGTGGTAAGAAGACTACAGAGTTCAGGGATGAAGACTCAACAGCCAAAGACAGAATGGAACTCCATTCAGGGCATCACAAAGGCTGGCCCTAACTGCACTTTGATATATACAGCTTCAAATATAGGATACCTTGTGAAGTCAGTGGGATCCAAGTACCGTAGATTCCAGTGCCAGACAAATACATGCTTTTAATACTGAGCACTTTGAAAGTGCCAATGGTTTGGCTTTTGACTTGTTGTTGTTGTTGCTGTTGTTGTTATTATTTACTATTGAATAAGAACTACAATATTATGCCACCCACCTGACTGGGTTTCCCCTGCCACTCTGGGCACCTTCCAACATATATAAAATCATAATAAAGCATTACACATTAAAAAGCTTCCCTATACAGGGCTGCCTTCAGATGTCTTCTAAAGGTTATATAGTTACTCATCTCCTTGGCATCTGATGGGAGGGTGTTCCACAGGGTGGGTGCCACTACTGAGAAGGCCCTCTGCCTGGTTCCCTGTAGCTTCACTTCTTGTAGTGTGAGAACCACCAAAAGGCCCTTGGTGCTGGACCTCAGTGTCAGGGCTGAACGATGTTTAAATTACAGTAATTACATTGAAATATGCATGTATACATATACATTAGCATATGCAAATTATATGCAAATCTTCCCCTCTTTTGTCCTCTTTTACCAGGAACAAATTCTCCTTTTTGGCAATGTGATGGTGGGCACCCTGTGCAGAAGACAGAGACAATTTGACCAACCTGAGCCCAGAAGAAAGGTCAAGAGCTCCTGAAACTTAAGAGGAAGCCACCCTTTCTGGATTTGTTGACAATGCTCCAAAGGTTTGTTTTCCTTACAGAGACTAAATGGGTCTTCAGTATTCCCTACAACTTCACTGGCCTCATACTCGGAATGGGGCTGCAAGGAACTTCACGTAGCAGACAGATGGCTGCCCAGCCAATTCAGTAATTAGAATACTAAATTAGGCAAATCACAGGCTAAACAGCAACTCCCCAAGTAGCAGGAGCGGATTGGAGGGCTCCAATTGAAAATTAACAGCGTCTCCGAGGAGGGAGAAGCCATTGTGGCTAGGAAGCTGGCACAGCTGGGAAGCTGCAATGCGGCGGGCAATGCATTTGGACGGGACTATTACTGCACGTCAAAGCAGGAGAACACAATGTCTGGGACACGCTAATGACACCAGGGGAAAAAAACAGTAGCATTTTATTGTTCTTGGGTAGTAATTGCTGAAATGATTTGCTGTCGAGTCTAGGAGCGTAAGTGGCTTGATTAGCGGCATTGGATGCAAGAGAGAAAACAGTGGCTGCAAGTAGCTGTTGAGTTGTTCAGCAAGTGCTAGGAGGGAGCTCATTAAGAGAGAACACGACAACAAGGAAAGAAATAGAAATGCACTCGCCCCTTTGAAACGTTCGCAAAAGATGTCGATTCTCAGCAACTCTATAGCTGTAAAACCATTCAAGGTATTATTTAAGCCAGGGCTCACTGAGGGTTATCCCTGAGCCTGTTAAGAATCACATTTATAGTGCTGTGTTTAATCCAGTTTTTTTAGGGGAGGCCTTAAAACAAAATCTTATGCCACTTGGTAGTCAGCCTCCCTGGCTCCCCAAATTTCAAATTAAAGCTTAGGAGAAGATGTTGTGGGCTAAGTCCTCCTGTGGTGCTTTTGCAGATCAGGAGGTACAGAGAGCTGAAGAGGCTGGGGAATATTTCATAGGGGTGAGGGAAACACCACAAGAAAAGTTTCCAAAAAGGACAAGCAAAATTATCAAGTGGGTGGTGTGACGCCCTTATGAAGACAAGTTGCAGCATTCTAGGCTTTTTTAGTTTAAAGCAGGGGTCAGCCAACTTTTTCAACAGGGGACCGTTCCACTGTCCCTCAGACCTTGTGGCGGGCCAGACTATATTTTGAAAAAAATATATGAACAAATTCCTATGCCCCACAAATAACCCAGAGATGCATTTTAAATAAAAGCACACATTCTACTCATGTAAAAACACACTGATTCCCGGACCGTCCATGGGCTGGATTTAGAAGGCGATTGGGCCGGATCCGGCCTCCAGGCCTTAGTTTGCCTACCTATGGTTTAAAGAAAAGGTGAGGAAGAGGCAACATGATAACAGTTTGTAAAATTATGCACAGCATGGAGGAAAGGGATAAAGGAAAGTTTTTCTCCTGCTCTCATTAACACTAAAACTGGTAAAACAACCGAGACTGCAAGATTCAGGACAGAGGAAATAAATTACTTCTGCACACGGCACTTAAACTATAGGACTCACTTGCGCAAGAGTCAGTGAAGTCCACCATCTTGGATGGCTTTAACAGAGGCCTGGACAAATAGATGGCAAATAAGGCTACTTATATCTACTAGCCATGATAGTTGTGTTCTGCCTCAACAGCCAGGAGTGAGCTCCCGTTGCTCTGTCCCAGCTCCTGCCAACCTAGCAGTTTGAAAGCATGCCAGTGCAAGTAGATAAATAGGTACTGCTGTGGTGGGAAGGTAAAACAGCGTTTCCGTGCGCTCTGGTTTCCATCACGGTGTCCCACTGCACCAGAAGCAGTTTAATCATGTTGACCACATGACCCAGAAAGCTGTCTGTGGACAAATGCCGGCTCCCTTGGCCTGAAAGCGAGATGAGCACCACATGCCCATAGTCGCTTTTGACTGGACTTAGCGTTTCCGTGTGCTGCTCTGGTTCGCCAGAAGTGGCTTAGTCATGCTGTCCACATTACCCGGAATCTGTACGCCGGCTCCCTCGGCCAATAAAGCGAGATGAGCGCCGCAACCCCAGAGTCGATCACAACTGGACCGTTGTAAAGGGGTCCCTTTACCTTTAATAACTGTCCAGGGGTCCTTTACCTCCCCCTCTCCCAGGAAAATCAATAGCTTTATTGGGACCAACTAATGCTCACAATACCATGTGCAAACTTCTGAGTTATACAGAACTCATTCCCAAGCTGAAGATTTTTTTTGCTGAAGGGAAAACATATGCTTCTCAGTGTGGTGTTAACCGCTAGGGTCCTTTACCTTTCTACCTTTTACCTTGATGTCTACAAGCCATGATAGTCATGTTCTGCCTCAGCAGTCAGGAGGCAGTAATACTTCTGAATACCAGTTGCTGGAAACAGGAGAGAAGAGTGCTCTTGCGATGTGGTCCTGGCTTGTAGGTTGACCCCTCTGAGAACAGGATGCTGGACTCGATGGGCCATTGGCCTGATCCAGGAGCCTCTGTTTATGTTCTGAGTATCCATCCCCTTTTTGGAATCTAAATAAGCTGCTTTCACCTTTGAAGGGAAACACCTGCACGCAGAGGCAACAGGATGAGGGCTGGGACTCAAATGTTACTGGAACTGCTCTGGCTGTTAACCGCAAGCTCAACCGCCGACCAGCTGTACTCAGTTTACATCATGAAGCAACCTCTCTGAACAAAAGAGAAGGCATTTAAAACAACTGTCATCCTTTGGGCACATGCAGTAGATTTTGTACATATGAGCAGCTGCACAAATTAACTGAACTACAGCTCCTATGTTAGTACCACCCGGACTTCATTCATCCTCTAGCAGTTCAACATTATCAGAGGACTTGCTAAACCCCAACCCAAAGTTGGCATATGAAGCAGCAGCCTTGCACAAGACCTCTTGGGAAACTGACATATGCCACCTTGAGTTCCACCATAGATGGAAGTCAGGAGATGAGAAATATCATACATAAATGCCATCATAGTGAATCACAGTGGGAAAGGTAATCCAAAACTGCAGCCAGCACAACTAGCCTTTAAAATAAATACCGATTTGTTAATTTTTTTTAATTTAGCCTTTTCCAAAAAGCACATTAACTTGGCATTAAAATGATCATGCACGTTCAGGTCAGATTTTCATGTAGTCCAGCATTCTCTACAGTTCAGCTATACTTGGGACACTCGGACAAATCTATATGTTATTCATGCTTTTTAGAAAGCTTCATGCTTTTTAGAAAGCTTAACTGGGCCACTTTTATTTTAAAGAAAATGGTGTTGTTGGCAGGCTAGTCAGGGAAGAGTTTCCTATTCCTTTCAATAATGCCCCTCCAGCTGCAAACAGCACCTTGGGGGTAAACAGCAGCTCCTGGGGGGAGTTTTGGTGGGATCCTTGTGGTGGATGGGGAAATCAGGAACCTGGTGCTCTTCAAATGCTGCTGGATGACAACTCCCATTATCCCAGATCCTGACCATTAGCCATGCTGTTTGAAGCTGATGGGAACTGAAGACCAACAACATTTAGAGGGCTATAACTTCCATATGCCTTCTGTAATGTATAGTTTGGTACTCAGATACAGATCATGGGTACAGATGATCATGGGTGCAATTCTCGCTGATGGCATGCACTACTTCTGGACACAAAGGACTTGGCTAACACCGATAGCACTATTCTCCTGAAAAAGGGAGTAATATATGTATATGAAGAGCTTTCATAATTGTTCAAAGATGTTCACCAAATTTCACAATTGAGGCTTGCAGCTACCGAGTAGTCAAGGACTGATCAACTCCAGGCCAAACTGCTCATGCCTCAGACTGCTTCTGTGTGAACAGGATGGATAATTGTCTCTTGAGTATGAATGGTTGGATCTGGGGATGGATGATGAAGGGGGGAGACAGAAAGAGAGAAGAGGGGTGGCCCACCCAACTTTTGGTTTTGGCCTCACCCATCCTCAGAGTCACTTCTGCTCAACTCTGGTACATGATCTCCGATTCCTGTCCTCTCACCAAGGCTGTACAGCCCAGGTTGCCACCCTGGCCTATAGACCATAATTCCATTCTCACAGCAATGTCTCTTCTAACTTTCAACAGCAAACTGTTGGGAGACAGTTAATCTTTTCTAAGCATCAGCTGCAGGGAGTCACATTCTCAGTGCTGTGTGAACCAGTCCTTGCACACACACACACACACACCCTAATTCCTCGCTGCAGGGCAGTGTCCAGTCACACAGCCCCAAATTCCTCACTGCAGGGCAGTGTCCAGTCACCCCCCCCAAAAAAAATTCCTCACTGCAGGGCAGTGTCCAGTCATTGCAGGCTCTTGCTTCGTGCATGCGAGATGTGTAACCTAGTTGCTCACACTGACCTCACAACGCTGTGGAAATACCAAATCTGCTGTTGCATATAGGGTTGATGACTCCCTCTGGGGGCAGGGCAGAATCGTTGCTCATCAAGGCTGACCAGCAAAACGTGGCAAAAGCAGCCTTTTCTTTTATTACAGCAAAAACTGCAAAGGTCAAGCCCGTGCAACTTCCCTGAACTTGCGTGACTGATTCCAGTCAAGCTGCTCGGGTTTCCCTTGTTGTGGGATAAGGAATATTTTAAACATGGGAGTCCCGGGGGCCCTGTCTATTTTGAAATAGTACAGTAAACTAAAACCCTGCTTTTCGTGTCCTCAGAGACAAAAAAACCAGCAGTGAATATAGCAGCAGTTAAAATGTAACTTTATTGTTCTGATTGAAAAACCACAGAGAGAGAAATGTTACAAAAGTACTAAAGAAAGGCAACATTAACAGAGGTTTGTCTCCCCTCCATTCCTTCATCTTGCATCATCATCTGGGACGGCATATTCTGGGCCAATCAGAAATAGTCATCCTGCTTAGCAAAGGGGGGGGGGAGCGCTCTGTAGTGTCTGTGGGACAAGCAGTTGGCTCTAGGCAGGGGAAGTAGCACCCCAAACCTTTCCTGACCACGATTCATGCTGGCTGTTTGTAGGCCAAACCTAACTTGCAGAAACGGCAAACTAGGTTACATTTGCCCTTGTCATATAGGGAGGCTAAAGCCCATAAAGATTACAAATCCCACCATGCATTGTTGACCATAGAGCCTGCAAAAATAGCAATAAAAGACAAGGAAGCAAATTTCCCCTCTTTTAACTGGAAATGTTTCAAAAAAAGACCTGCCTTATTTCATTCCTCGTTGATTTTGTTCTTATCAGAGCAAGCCAGCGGACAAAAAGCAGCCTGCTTTTTATTTCATTGATGCTGGTGAAAAGAAGGCTGTGCGCACCACCAAATTTTTCTTTCATGGGATGGGGCAGTAAAAAAACAAACCAAAAACCCAAAGCATTGACTCCATTATCACAAACATTCCATCCACTGCCACCTATGTGCAGGGAGGACTTAAGGCAGCAGAGTCAACTCATACTCTTGGAAAGATTCTGGACTTGGGATTCCATAGGGAACATGAGCAACTGAGGTTGGCTTTTTCTATACAGAATATGTTCTATGGCCAAGATTAAGATTTAAGGCCCAGATTCAATTAACCCAGCATGCTAGCAGGAGCTAGTACAAAGGCAGTGCAATGGGGCTTCCCCCCTCCTCCTCCGCATCTCCCCCAAATCTGCTCTGGGGGGTTAGGAAGAGAACCCCCTAGAATAGTGTGTGCGGTGAAGGGGGTAATTTTGTCTGGCAAGCAGAAAAGCTTGCACTGATGGAATGATCAGAACAGCACGGCACTTAATTCCTCCCCAAGTTTCAGAGAAGTTGTTCATGCTAGGGCAGACTCACATTTCCCAAATATTGTTTTGCATATATATTTTTCAAAATTAAAAATGGTGATTACACATCAGAAGCGGGTGCTCGATTGTACACCATATTATTATAGTACACCGATAAGACTGATGTCTGAATACACATCTTTGAAATCACAGAACTAGAGAAAACAGTGTAGGCCCAAGAGACACTTGTTGATTTCTTCTGGTTTGAAGGGGACCCTGTAAATAGAGGCAGCAAATTCTGTGGCCCTCCAGATTTGGCTGGACTACAACTCCAATCAGCCCTAACCATTAGCCATGCTGGCTGGGACTGGTGGCAGTCCAACATCACCTGGAGAATCATAGGTTCTCCATCCCTGCTGTAAAATCTGGGCCATTTAACAGCACCAAAAACTAGCCTCTCTTATGTCAATGCAGACAAGCAAGAAGAAAGATAATCAATGTGGAGCAGTGGGGGCTGCAGTCGTGTTAAAGCAACATTCCAGCCCCCATAAAGAAGCTGTTAGTAAAATATATTTTGTCTTCCTCTTTCTCCCTCACTCAGATCTACAAAGAGTCAACTGAACAGCCGGCTGAGAGTCGATGTTTGCTCCCAGTGCCTATTATATCTCAACTAGTGCAGTGAATATAAATCAAAGGCAACCCAAGCACACATTATTCTATCCCCTGCAGTGCTAACCCATGCAGCTGCAGGATGTGAGCAGTGTGATCACAAGGATGGAGCCAGACACATGGTTGGGAACCCAACCATGCGCTTATGATTTTCATACATATTCCCCAGCCAGATGGGGATGGCGCCCAAGGAAGTGATGCTCTCATGGCTCAATAAGGGGTTTTCTAGCCAAAGTGAGAGGAAATTGTGCCTCTTCCAGCCCCATCTTCTTTCCTGAGTACTTTCTGGCTAACATCTGCCCAGACATAGAACATCCTGGGGCTCGATGGCATATTCTAGACTGCACAGAGCAAGAACATGTAATGCTAGTGAACTCGGCAGATGAGAAAATCCTTTGGGACGTACTCTAGAAGTGTGTGTTTGTGCCGTGTCTCAAGGCGACCCTGGGACTGCACAACCTCAATGGGCTTCTTGTTCCAGCCTTGTAATGTGGTTGCACGAAGAAGATCTGGTCCACCCTCCAGGGGCAGCTAAGCCAGATCCACCTTGACCTTTAGCTGATGAGACCAGAGAGCATTCTAATTCTTGGCAAGGTTCACGGGGCTACAGAGAACAACTCCCATTAGATTTGGGGAGGGAAATGATAGAACCCTGCTTATTCTTCACATTCCACCACATGGATCACTGCTCATTCATTAGGGCAAGATGCCAACTTTTAATTGTAAGAAAAACAGCTTTCTGCGTTATCAGACACCATCTTGATAATTGTACTATGGCTTATGAGCTGAGCTTGCTCAATGCACAGACATTCCCTTTCTGCAAATCTTCAGAAGTTACGACGGCATGAAAAACAGGCAAGAGAAAAGCCACCCATCTCCTCTTACCAAGAATCTTGGTGGTTATTGCAAAACAAAACAAAAAAACATGCCCTCCCACACCCAGTCCCTGCTGGGAAGTTGGTTGGAATGATGATTCCTGAGAGTTTGGCGTTATCTCCTTCAGTAGGCACATGATGGTTCTTCAACTGGAGCTATTGGGCTCAGAGGCTTCAAGGTGCTCAGGGATTGGAAGGCGAAGGCCGAGGGGTCGTACACAAAGTGAGGTGGTGGTCGGCTCCCATGGATGTGCTGCGCGGAAACGATAAAGGTGAGAAGGACAGGTATCAGAGCATGTGAGACTAGTGTGCACAAGGGAAGCTGGCAGTGAGCACCCTATTTATTTAAACGAGCACAGAAGAATCAAGGTGGCCCGCCCCCTTCATAATACAAAAGAAAACCAGCGAAGCAGCAATCATAAAAGAGTAAAAATGAAAAAGCAGGGAAGTGCTGAACACCAGCCATAAATCTGGCTGATATTCAGGCAGCACCACTGAAAAATACATCTAAACAAAGGTGCTTTGAACAAAATGTCTATAGGCATAGACAGGGGTTTAGCTGTATTTCCTGTTGCAAGGAGTTCCATAGTCTGAATGCCGCCACCAAGAAGGCACCTACCCTCCTTCGATTCCCTCCTGCCACATATTATCCAGGCATAATCTTCACTGTTTTTTTAAGAGCCTACCAGAGACCTTCCTCTTCCAACAGCCCTTTTAAGTGGAGCTCTTCATCCCAGTCTGTTGTACTGAAATTATTTTAAACTGTTCTTACATGTGGAGTGGGTCTTAAATGTTTGTACTGTTTTCAATATAAGTCATTGTTTTCCATTGTTTCTACCAAGGCTTTTTTTTAGCCAGAACTTACCAAAACTCAGTTCCAGCACCTCCATCGTAAGACAACAAGGGAGGCGTTCATGGTGAGTTCCGGCACCTCTTTTTTTAGAGAAGCAGCGCTGGTTACTGCACTAGTGTTTTGGTTGTAACTGTTTCATTTGTTTTATAACTGCATATTTTATTTTTGTGGTGAAAGGCGGGCAAGAAATCTTACGAAACTAAGTAACGAAATAAATAAATAAATGTGTTGCCATTAGCTGGCATGAGCTCTGCCAAGTAAAGGTGGGTTATACATATTTTACAATGGAAATTGGAAAATAAATAAATGAAAAGGGAAGTGAAGACAACACGTAGGGCTATGCAGGGGATATAGCAAGGTACAGCTTCATCCTCATCTTAATTGTATGCTGCCTTTCCACAAAAAGGATCGTGCTTAGAGCAGCTTACAATGAAGAAAAAAAGAAACACATCTCCAAATCAGTCACAAGAAGGATTCCATAATATTGCGATAAAACAGCAACATAAAAGCAAATACAGCAGCATACGGAAAACAACATTTCAGTACTATAAATGCAACATCATCATCTTTCCTGGCAACAGCAGAAATAGCAATGCCCCTTGAGTTTCCCCTTGGTCCTATAAACACCTTTCCTGTGATGTTGCTCACAGCCATTCTCCTGCAACAGCTTCTTATAAGGATTCCAAGATGGAGAGGGGGGTAAGGCAACTGGAAACACCTATCCCATAATGTTGCTGCCATGATGTTGACTCTAGACACCCTGCTGTTTCTTTTCCTGCTTGCTTGCTTCCTTCCCTCCCTCCCTTCCACACACCAGTGTTCCTAAATGCTAGCGTTTACTCAACCAACTTGAAGAGACGGCCCTTTTGCTAAGCATTGGGATTTTCCTTTCCTTTTCCGTAGCGCCAACTAGCAGGTCTTTTATCCCGAAGTGACCTCTGACACTTCATGGCCATGTCTGTCAAGAGGTGGTCACTGTATCCGGAACCCCAGTCTTTGATCCATGCATCTTCCCTAATGGATTCTGACTTACAATCAAACAGTGAAAAGGTCACAGACAGAAAGGTCTTCTCTGTTGCTGACCCTGCCAATAGGGTCAAATCCCTTTGTCAGCAGGGGAAAGGGTCCATTAGATTATCTGGTTCATTCCCTGGTTCTTAACATAGGAAACGGGAGAGGCCCTTGGTTCAATGGAAGACAAAGATTCAGCCTTCTGACAGCACTGCTGTATTCTGCCTCACTGATCTAAACATACAGATTTCTGCATGGGCATTGAGTTAAGAGTTATGAGTCCAGATTTTGTTGCATACACTTTTGGGGGGACCTTTAAGGAAAGAATATTGGTTAATATCCAATGTGAGTCATTCTCAGAGTAGACCAAGGGGACTCAAATTACTTCAGCTGGTCCATTTTGAAAATGACTTACATTACATGAGACCCATATCATATTTTATTTTTTCACTTGTACAGACTACATTAATAAGCAATATCAAATAGGTAACATCTATAGGGATGAGTAAAAATATATGTAAGAAGCAATGTCTAGGTATACTTACCTATACATTGATGAACAATACACCAATTTTGAAAAAAGGGGTTTCTTTCAACACCAATTTTGAAAAAACAGGGGTTTAGCCCAAAGCCATGCATTTATATGGTTTTGATGCCTTCTCTAGCTCAGGGGTGGCAGATAGTTTGGACTACAACTCCCATTAGCTCCAGACAGCATGGCCAATGGCCAGGGATGATGGGAATTGTAGTCCATAACAACAGGAAGGCACCACATTAGCTACTCCTACTGCAGCATCACCTATAGATCCAATATAGCTATTTTATCCATTCCTTTTTGATAATGCATAAAACAAATTGCCAGGACAGAGTTGATATGCGAAGTTGGGCAAAGCAACCATCTTTCTATCTTCCATGCTCCCCATATCAAAGGGGGGAAAGGACAAACATGTACTTTCTCAATGTATCTTCAGCAACCTGGTTAATGGTATTTTCATTTCTTCCCATATATTTTGGTGCGTGAAACAAGCAGAGAAGAGGGTCCTTGCCAGAGTTCAGAAAATTATCCTGCTCAATGAGATGCAATGAGTAAACTTTGGATCTTTACCACATTTATATCAAATCTGAAATCCCAATAATCTCATGCTGTTGAGCACTCACACTAGGTATGAAAAAGGGCCCGTATGTCCACACACTATGCAGCATTTTCAGGTTATGCTGTTTGTGAATTCTATGTAACATAATGAGGTTTGTATAACAATTAAAACAATTTCTAAAGCGTTTCCTGCAAGTCTGTGTGGATAGTTGAGGCATTTTGCTGTATTTTTCTTCACTGATCCTCTTCCAAGTGGTCTCTGAAATCTGTAACCTTCAAGCTGGTGCATGTAAAGATAATGTACAGATTCAAGGGAGTAAATCCTTGGAGTTTATAGCTGCAGATTAAGACTTTTTCAGTGAATATTAAATCTGAAGTAAAAGGGGTTGTGTGTGAAACTGCACCAGAAGGTGGCGCAATTGCAGTAAAGCACACAGTGACTTGAGCACACATGCTTTTAGTGTTGTGGTATAGGTCTCTGGAATTCTGGTCACCACAAGAGAAGTCAGCCCCAACATCGTAAAATTTTTGTTTGTTGAAAACTTTTTGTCCCTCCCCTCAAGTCTTCCCAACTTGGCCCATTTTATTTCTGCAGCTTTTAATACTTATTGGCTTTGTTTTATGATTTACACTATGACTCACTTTCTCTTTTTGTGCACCACTTGGGTATTTGTAAAAAATATGTACAACGAAACAAATAAATTGAATATATTGATTAAACAGTAACAGCCTCTGTTTGTCTCTGTTAGAACTTGTGGGGGTGGAAATAACCTGTTCTTGCTCTGAGAGTCAAAGATGTGCTGCATTTCCTCCCCATTTCCCTGTTAACTAAAACTCAGTCTAAGTTTTAAATCAATGCAATCCAGTGGGAACTATTAAACAGAGTCTAGGAATTAGTCTATTTCTCTGTAGCACAGGGGTAGCTAACATGTCGCCCTTCAAATGTTATGAACTACAATTCCCATCATTCCTGTCCTTTAGCTATGATGGCTTGGGCTGATGGGAGTTGCAGTAAAAAAATAAAAAATTGGAGGGCCCCACTTTAGTTACCAGCTGCAGCCACCAAAAACTGGTAATCGCAAGATGGTTGAAAGACGTTGTAAGTACCGGTATTTCCTTCATCCTGTACTACAGCATTCAATAACATCCAGTGGGAGGGTGTTCCTCTTGTACCAGTCATCTCTACTATGGCTGTACAAACATTTGCAAATAATCAACTATAATTAAAATTTGGGAAGCTGTATAATAACCCAGTCTGATGGGACAGGCTGACCAACCTTAGATATAGAAGGTTGTAATGAACATTTCTCTCCCCACCAGGCATAACCAATGTGATGTTGCCAAACATCATTGGCGGATGGTAGCTGGAGTCCGACAATATCTGAAATCCATTGCATAAGTTACCCCAGGTTCTATGTGATTCATCTGCCCATACATATAAAGGTGCTGTTATTCTAAGTTCCAGTTGGACAGGTAGTTCTGCAATGCTTGAAAAAGCAATAAAAGTTTTTCCTCTTTTGCAGTTATGTGGACTCAGAGAGAGATTCAAGTTACCAGCCTTTTGAATCCTTCTCTACTGTGACAGCAGCCAGTAGTTAAAATTATTAATATCTCTGAACTTTGAGGAAGTCTGACCCCAGGTGCCTCTGGGGTTAAACAGTGAAAGCGCCAGGAAACTTCTCTGAACAGGTGCCATGAATTTAAATCAGCAGCACTGGCTTTGAAATCCAAAATATTTCCAATTCAAGATGTTCCCATTTCTGTACCGGGAGGGCAGTAATGGAATAATACTGAATGTGACTCTGCACACTTCTTGGTCCATCTAACTAACGTTTAGGCCTCTGAGGTTAGCATTGTCAGAGAGCTATGACTGAAGATTGCACAGCCACAATGGACTTTTTCACCTGTAGAATTCCATTGGCAAAGATCACTGGTGATTAAACACTACCAAACACCCAATCAGGGATAGGGAAGCTGAGGCCCTTCAAATGTGGGACTCCAACTCTCATCAGCCTCAGCCTACTATAATAATAATAATAATAATAAATTTTATTTATATCCCGCCCTCCCCAGCCAAAGCCAGGCTCAGGGCGGCTAACAACAAACAAATAATCAAACAATCAGATAATCCAACATTCTAAAACATTTCATTATAAAAATTAATTAAAATCAAATTAATGGCAACCGTTAAGCAAAGTTCTGTGCAGGTTGCCAGAGGTGGGAGTCAGGCTGGGCCCTGACCAAAGGCCTGGTGGAACAACTCTGTCTTGCAGGCCTTGCGGAAAGATGTCAGGTCCCGCAGGGCCCTAGTCTCTTGTGACAGAGCGTTCCACCAGATTGGAGCCGCGGCCGAGAAAGCCCTGGCTCTAGTTGAGGCCAGCCTAACCTCTCTGAGGCCTGGGACCTTCAGGATGTTTTTATTTGCAGACCGTAGGTTCCTCTGCGGGGCATACCAGGGACAATAGTCACGGGAACTGTAGTCCAACAAGGTCTTGTGGTCCAACAAGCTCTATATGCAGAATGCCTTGCTTCAGCTGCTCTGAAAAAGCTCTGACCAAACACCAAATTCAAATGATAACAACTCCAGCTATCATCATTCAAAAGGTTATCCTAGCATTCACTGACACAATAGCCAGTGGGTGAGTGGATAGATCTAAACACAGGGGGGAAATGCTAGAAATCAGTCATAAAATAAATTGTTACAACGAAAGGAAAAAAAAAACACTATGCAAAATTGCATAGAAACGTTTTGTGCTCTACACCGCCATCTGCTGTTGTATGTTTATAACACATTCAAAATGCTGGTTTTTTGACTAATGTAGCTGAGTCTGGCGTCTGGAGCCCTCGGCCCAGTGAATCATATCTCATGTTTGCTTCCAGTATTGGCAACCAAACATGAATCTACAACTACACTAAACCTGATTTATCAGAGACTGCAAAAATTTAGCTGACTTGAAAGCATAGTAGTACAGTGGTACCTCGGGTTAAGTACTTGATTCGTTCTGGAGGTCCGTACTTAACCTGAAACTGTTCTTAACCTGAAGCACCACTTTAGCTAATGGGGCCTCCTGCTGCTGCCGCGCCGCCGGAGCACGATTTCTGTTCTCATCCTGAAGCAAAGTTCTTAACCTGAAGCACTATTTCTGGGTTAGCGGAGTCTGTAACCTGAAGCGTATGTAACCTGAAGCGTATGTAACCCAAGGTACCACTGTAAATGTCTTTGAATCCTGATTGACAGGGGAATTTGACCTGTAAGTTGATGGACGCATGGAAATCTTCCTCCAGCTTTAGAATCACTATAGGTTTGCACATACAGCAGAAGGAGATGGTTAAATGAATAGAGCACTTCACGTAGCATGGAGTGGGGTGCAATTTTTGGAGCGCTCCTCCACGTAGAAACCTCCCTGCAAGCAAAAATCTAGCACTACAAAGACAACTTTTTTGGCTCAGCTACTTCCCTATTGTCTTTTCACTTGTGACAGGTCTTCTTTTGTTCTGCTATTAATTTACAGCTTATCTTTTTTAATCATAATCATCCCATTCTGCATTCCAAAGCAGTATCACCCATTCTCCTGGCAGCCCCACCTAGCACAGCCAATGGTGAGAGATTATCTGGGGGCTCACAGGTCCCTGCTTTCAGAAACTAGCGATATCAGCGAGGGTGGCAGTGGGCATCCGGCCTGCTCTTGTCCACGACTGAGCATGGTCAAGCAGCAGCTTTTCATTACAAGGATTCCGATATGAAACCCGCTTTGAGAGAGATCCTCCCAAGCTGGCATTTTTATGAAGGAAAATCCTAGTGCTGCAATGTCTGACTATCCATAGCTCTGCCCCCCAAAGTCATGCCCAACACCCCCATGCACACACCCTGTAACCTTGGCGAACAGCAAGAACACAGCAGGAGAGGCACATTTCGAGAGCACTCACCAGCTGCCTGCTGTGGCATTATGGATGGTTGTATGCACTGGCAGGCCTCAGAGTGGGAGGGTAACATAGCAACCTTTATTCAGAGCTAAAGGGGCAGAATTAATCAGACAGATTTGTCCCTCTTCTGAGCAATGAAGCTGCCTGCCAGTACAGAGAGAGAGAGAGAGAGAGAGAGATGGAAATGGACAAAGAGGCTGGCACTGCCCTCCATTTTAAAATGCCAACCAATCAGGATCAGTGAACATGCAGCAGCTGGATGTGGGGGTTTTTGTGCTTTTTTTGTTAGTATGTGGGGAGGGGTGGTTAAGTTGCAGGTAGACAATGTAGCTGACAGGCGAGGGAAGGATGACACTTGTTAACAACTCAAAACTCCAAGACGCAAGGCAGAATAAGGTCTGGAAGCTCTCATGGGATCCCGATAATGGGAAACAAGTCTTCACAGCAGGAAATCTAATTTGGCAATAAAATAAAATAAAATACATACTGTGGTAAAAAGATATGGCAAAAGCAAAGGAGAGGCTTCAGCAGAAGTTGGCCTGCGATGATAGCCACTTATCAGGCCTCTACAGTTTCAACTATTTATTTATTTATTTATTTATTTTGCCAATTATCACTTCACCAAGGGCATCATGTTGAAGGTTACCAGGTCTCTCCAGTCTTCAAAACATGGCCACCTGTTTTAACACACCACAACCCCCAGAGGATTTCAAAGGGTATCCCGAACAGGCCATAACAACATGAAAATGGAGAGAACCTACGCGAGCCAGGAATCCATAAATTCTTAGCTTTCAATTTATTTATTTTTAAGAGTAGGTTTCAATCATTTGTAGACCCTGACATATACAGCAAAATGCACAGGCACTATTTTACTCCGTTTTGTGTTGTTTTGTAAGGAACTAGCCTGCTCTCCCGGTTTGTGTTTTACTTTGCTACCACCCCCACTCCCAGACGGGGGTGCAACCCTGCATTTTTGTCTGTCAACTACAGCCACAACCAAGTACACAAACAGACATTGTGGTGTGTGGTTTTGAAGAGAAGGGCTGTGGCCCCAGGCAAGTGTTTTAGAAAGAAATTCTAGGCTCAGTGACCAATGAAGAAGAATAAGTGGAATCATTTGGGTAGCATAACATCCTAGCTCTCCTAGCACTCATTACTGACATTACTGACATTATTCTTCTCCAGCTTACTCTTCCTTTCCCTTCCTGTTTTATCTTCTTTGTGATTACACTGCAAGCCCTCTGAACAGAGACCTGTCCTCTCATACTGCAAAGTGCCATACACGCTGAAGGTACTGTTAGCAAAACCACTTGCATAACACAGACAGAGTCCACAGAGAAAAGAAATCATGATAAACACTATACTGAGCGGTATATAATTTGAGGAACAGGGAGGTTTTGTCTTTCTTACTTTAGGCCTTGTATATAGCAGATAGGCATTCAATCAAATGTACAGAGGAAAGACTCCCTCAGAACCACACAGCCAATGAGGGCATGTGCTACCTCAGCAAGCAGCATCCCACTCTGGTTGCTAAGCAACACATCCACCTGTCACCCCCTAGGCTAGCAGAACTTTGACACTAGTAGAATTAATTCTTAAATTACAAACCAAATGACGCATGCTGCAGCACTTGCAACAGTTACAATAAAATTATTATTAATGAAATAGGAGTTGGAAGAATGAATGTACTGTATTTATTGCCCTATAGGACGCACTTTTTCCCCTCCAAAAATGAAGGGGAAATGTGTGTGCGTCCTATGGGGCGAATGCAGGCTTTCGCTGAAGCCTGGAGAGCGAGAGGGGTCGGTGCGCACTGACCCCTCTCGCTCTCCAGGCTTCAGGAAGCTATCCGCAAGCCTTGCGCGCCCAGCGGGAGTTCCCGCGGGCAGCAGCCTGCAGCCCGAAGCACGGGACGCCCTCCGGAGGGAGTTGCCGTCGGACTCGCAAGGCTTGCGGGCAGCAGCCTGCAGCCCGAAGCACAGGGCGCCCTCCGGAGGGCGTCCCGTGCTTCGCACAGGTGTCCGCAAGCCTTGCAAGCCCGGCGGGAGTTGCCGCCGGGCTCGCAAGGCTTGCGGATAGCAGCCTGTTCTGGGGGCTGGGAGAAATAACTTTTTTTTATTCATTTCCCCCCCAAAAAAGGAGGTGCGTCCTATGGGCCAGTGCGCCCTATAGGGCGAAAAATACGGTAATTAGCAGGGATATAAAAATGAAAACAAGGAGCAAGACTATAGGTTTTAAATGTAAGAACCAGGGATTTGTGCTAGATGCAGAAGGGAACAAGGAGCTAGGAATGCCAAACTGTGAAGGACCACAAAGTCTAAGCAACAACCAGTTTATTTTTTTTAGAAAGCCAGTGTTTCAAAGCAACGCCATACAAAACTAACAGCTGTTTATTTACATATACATACTACTTTTAAAGTTCAGAAAGAAAGTAAAACAATGCCAATTTTCTCCCTGCTCAAGTTCTTTCCTATTAAGGTGTCTCTGTACAAAGTGTCCCATTTTTTTATTCAGCCTTTCACAACCACATTTGGAAAGTTTTGTATGCTGTCAAGTCCACCGCTTGTAGTACCTCCCAGACCTTTGGTAGCCCATTCAGTTTTTAGAGGGTTTAGCTGCCTTTCCCCCAATGTCTTGCAAATACTATTCTCACTGTGACTATTAAAATCAAAACCACAAGTTGGTCATTATCAAGTGGGCATTGTCTTATGTGAAAGTCCCATTTAACTCAGGACTTATTTCCAAGGTAACACGAATGAATAAGATTGTGGCCCACATTAAGTCTATGCAAGACTGCAGCCGTAGAGAACGGATCGGTTGCACATACAACTCTTAACATTTCTTCATCACATTGAGGGTATTAGTGAAGCAATACTCAAAGCATTTTTGAAATTTCCACGAAGATTGAACCAATTCCCTTTCTTTTAATGACAATGTCAACAACAGCCATTGCTGGTCCAGAATATCTTCTGTAGAATCTAAAGAGTTGGGTGCCATTATGTGGCCATGCCAAGGTTTTCTTAGACTGGAATACAGAGAATCTCAGCTCCTTATTAAAACAAAAGTCAAATTCCTTTACAGGCTCTTCGTTGCTTCTTTCTGTCATTTGCACCTCTGCACTAACCACTGATAAACAAAGCTTCCTCTTAATTTATTTTTCAAAACTGAAGCAGGTGCCTTCAAATAACTGGCTAGCTTAAATAGTAAAAAATAAAATAAAACAAAACAGTGAAACTATTGGTGAAACAGCAGAAAAACACGGTATGGCAGGGATAAGGAACCTGTGCTCATTCTGATATTGAAGACCAGGGTTTCCCGAACTTAGGTCATAGAATCATAGAATCATAGAGTTGGAAGAGACCACAAGGGCCATCGAGTCCAACCCCCTGCCAAGCAGGAAACACCATCAGAGCACTCCTGACATATGGTTGTCAAGCCTCTGCTTAAAGACCTCCAAAGAAGGAGACTCCACCACACTCCTTGGCAGCAAATTCCACTGTCAAACAGCTCTTACTGTCAGAAAGTTCTTCCTAATGTTTAGGTGGAATCTTCTTTCTTGTAGTTTGGATCCATTGCTCCGTGTCCGCTTCTCTGGAGCAGCAGAAAACAACCTTTCTCCCTCCTCTATGTGACATCCTTTTATATATTTGAACATGGCTATCATATCACCCCTTAACCTCCTCTTCTCCAGGCTAAACATGCCCAGCTCCCTTAGCCGTTCCTCATAAGGCATCGTTTCCAGGCCTTTGACCATTTTGGTTGCCCTCCTCTGGACACGTTCCAGTTTGTCAGTGTCCTTCTTGAACTGTGGTGCCCAGAACTGGACACAGTACTCCAGGTGAGGTCTGACCAGAGCAGAATACTTCCCTTGGGCACTATTACTTCCCTTGATCTAGATGCTATACTCCTATTGATGCAGCCCAGAATTGCATTGGCTTTTTTAGCTGCCGCGTCACACTGTTGGCTCATGTCAAGTTTGTGGTCAACCAAGACTCCTACATCCTTTTCACATGTACTGCTCTCAAGCCAGCTGCTTTTGGAGTACAGCTCCCCTCATCCCTAGCTAGTGGTCAGGGATGATGGGAACTGTAGTCCAAAAACAGCTGTCAACCCAAGTTTGGGAAACCCTGTTGTAGGCTCTGAATTCCCATCTGCCCATGGCTGGCATGTCCAGCAACATCTGTAGGGCCACATGGGCTCCCTATGCACGAGATAAGGTAAAACCTGAACACTCTGAGCATCAACTCAGCAGGTTTGTCCTGGATGTGCAATATAAGTACGCAAGAAAAGCCTGCTGGATCGGACCAATGGCCCATCTAGTCCAGCATCCTGTTCTCACATTGGCCAACCAGACGCCTGTGGGAAACCTGAAAGCAGGATTCAAGCAGAACTGCACATTCCTCTCCTGCGGCTTCCAGCAGCTGGTATTCAGGAACATTACTGCTGCCATGGGTCAGCTTTGCCTGCTGAACAGAAGCCTGGAGAAGGCAAACTGATACCACCTGCAGCTGATCAGCCTTCAAGGACACAGAGAAGGCACTGATGACAACCAGCCGGCTCTGGCCTTCTTAAACAGAACTCTCAGCAGTCATCAATGCTCGAAACAATGCCTGTGGTTCCTGGCCCTACCTTGCTGCATCCTGCTCTCCCATTGGACCCTTGGCTCTGTGATCATCTGGATTCCCTGATGTCTGGATTGTCTGACTATGCTGACTGCTGCCTGCCCAACCCTCAGAATGGACTTGATTTCGGATGTGGATTCTGCTCTCAGGCCAGTGTTCCTCAGAGACTCCTAGCCCCTGCTTACTCAGAAACGGGACTACAACAGTAGCCATGATGGCTAATAGCCACTGATAGCCCTCTCCTCTGTGAATTTGTCTAATCCTCTGTTAAAGCCATCTAGGTTGGTGGCCATCACTGCCTACCGGGGGACTGAATTCCATTGTTTAAAGATACGCTCCGTGAAAAAGTATTTTCTTTCAACTGTCCCGAATCGTCCAACCATCAGCTTCTTTGAATGTCCACAAATTCTAGTGTTATGAGGGTGGAGACTTCTCTCTCTCCCATTTTCTCCAGGTCATGCTTAATTTTATAATCTGCTATCATGTCACCTCTTACTTGCTTTTTCTCTATTCTAAAAAGTCCCAAATGATGCCAACTTTCTACACAGGGGAGTCTTTCCAGCTCCTCGATCATCTTGGTTGCCTTTTCTGAACCTTTTCCAATTCTATAATATCCTCTTTGAGGTGAGGCAACTAGAACTGGATGAGATGAAAGCCTGCAGGAAATGGCATAAATGGGAGTCATTAGGAGGGAGCTTTTATGCTGTGACTTTTGTATGCCTTATCACCTTCAGTTCTGGGAGCGCTGACAAGTGAAGACTACTCTTGATGTACGTACTTGTCCATTTATAATCGACCCATTTCAGATCAGTTAATTTTAAGCAGATTCAATTCATTGAAACTCATGTGCATGAGGAAATAGTCTGAAAGAAAGCATTGCTGTCAGATGATGCACACGTGTGTAGTGGCAAGCACAATCTGAGATGAGACGATCCTCGCAAATGCAAGAAGGAATGTTCTTAAGATGGTGTAGTTTTTATAAGTACTAAAACAATCAAAATATATAGACTGCTGACTTCAGAGACACTTTATTATTATTATTATTATTAAAGATCAACTAATCAGCTAGTCAAAAAATTATTAAAAATCCAATACTGTACAAATTGAGAAAATGCTACCAAGGATGATTATGTTTTAAGTACTTTTCTGTATCTGAAACCCCCAATCCATTGATTGGTACTCAACACAACTTCTGCCATAGCTGTTTTAGCATCTTATGACTACTTTTACTGGACTGTCGTTAATGTTCCTTTAGAATGTTATTTGTTTTAACTTCCACCCTAAGCTTGCCTGAGGAATGGGAAGGTATAAAGTAGGTCTAGTAAGCCGAAAGTTATTCCATCCCTAAACTGCACAGCTGGACTTGTTCAATGTTCCACAGAGTGCTTTGCTTCCCTTTCCTGTGGGCAATCTGCGTACCTGCTGATAACGTGGCCCTTCAACTTATTCCTTATCTGAACACTTTCTAAACATTGGCACGCATATTTAAGCTACAACCCAACTCTTCTGGCTCATCCTAGAGTTTAGCATCCCAAGGTCTTTCTGTTCTCGGGTTTGACACCCCAGTGTCTTTTCCTCCTGCTGCCACCTTTAGAAAATTGTTGAAGCCAATGCCATAAGCAGAGAACAAATTGCTGCTCAACTCCCCCTTTGTATTTCTGCAATGTTGCTAGGGGGTGGCGCCATCTGAAAAGGTCAAGTAAACATACCAGTGTCCTCGCTATAAGGGGGTGGGGGGGGGAGAGAAGCACAAGTGTGTTTACAAAGTTGTCAGGTGGCCACTGGCAACTGTACAAAGGGGCAACTAGACAATGTTCAAGCTTCTTTGAAAAGCTCTTCAAAGAGAAGCATTATGCTCAGCTGCACATAACCAGGCATAGTAGGAAATTAGCCAGATCTGGGTTCTCACTGACGCCAACTCATGATAGTCTCATTTCAACCCCTAATGCCCTCTTTTTTTGGCATGGTGCTTGCATTAATAAAGCACTTCCACTGCCCTATGATGTAAAAGAAGCTTTCCAAAAGACCATTTTTTACATGTTTCAGCTAAATAAACCCCATGTGCTGAGCATTTGAAGGCTTACATGCAATAAAAATTGTTTACTTATCTACAGAGCATAGCAGTATAGGTGAAGAACACCGTTCTAAAAAGTAATTTAGTCATGAATTACTCTGGTTGTTGATAAACCATTTTTCATGCATTGACTTGCATGGAAATCGGAAGGGCTGTGGCCTATCCACTTTCTGATTTTTCCTTACTTGGGGAATGGGGACATTGCTCCTGAAAATAGGCTACACCATCCCTACAGCACTGACCTTGCTTATTTTGTCTCTCCATCTGGCCAGTCTTTATAGAGCTCTCAAAAAGCAAGCTCTTGGTACTGCCGCACTGGTAGAACACACAACAATATGGAAGAGCCATACCTCAGTGGCAGGGCATAAGCTTTGCGTGCAGAAGGCCCTGGGTTCAAACCCCAGCATCTTCAAGTAATACTGGGAGAGACACCTGCCTGAAAGCTTGGAAAGCCACTGCCAGTCAGAGGAGACAGTACTGAGGTAGATGGACCAATAGCATAAAGCACCACTCAATGTTCCTAAGCTTAAAAAGGTAAAGGGACCCCAAACCATTAGGTCCAGTCGTGACCGACTCTGGGGTTGTGGTGCTCATCTCGCTTTATTGACCGAGGGAGCCGGCGTACAGTTTCCGGGTCATGTGGCCAGCATGACTAAGCTGCTTCTGGCAAACCAGAGCAGTGCACGGAAACGCCGTTTACCTTCCCACCGGAGTGGTACCTATTTATCTACTTGCACTTTGATGTGCTTTCGAACTGCTAGGTTGGCAGGAGCAGGGACCGAGCAACAGGAGCTCACCCCGTCGCGGGGATTCAAACCGCCGACCTTCTGATCGGCAAGCCCTAGGCTCTATGGTTTAACCCACAGCGCCACCCGCGTCCCTTGCTCCTAAGCTTATTGTGCTTTTAATTGATCAATTCCCCTTCAAAGACATGCTGCATATGCAACTGGGGCTGCAGTCTTTCTCTCTGTCTTCCTTTTTCCCAACAATTTTTTTTAGTAAAAACACAATACAACATCAAACACTAAAAAAAATTCCCCTGAACAGGACTGCCTTCAGATGTCTTTTAAAAATCACATAGTTGTTTATCTCTTTGACATCTGCTGGGAGGGCATTCCACAGGGTGGGCACCACTACTGAGAAGGCCCTCGGCCTGGTTCCCGGTAACCTCACCTCTCGCAATGAGGGAACCACCAGAAGGACCTTGGAGCTGGATCTCCGTGTTTTGGGCTGAAGACACCCCTTCAGGTGTACAGGGCCAAAGCCATTTAGAGTTTTAAAGGTCAGCACCAACACTTTGATTTATTCTGGGAGCCAATGTAGTTCTTTTAAGACGGCTGTTAATAGTCCCAGCGGCCACTCCCAGTCACCAATCTAGCTGCCACATTCTGGATTAGTTGTAGTTTCCAAGCCACCTTCAAATGTAGATCCACACAGAGTGCACTGCAATAGTCCAAGCAGGAGATAACTAGGGCATGTACCACCCTGGTAGGGTCTCAGCCGGTGTACCAGATGGAGCTGCCTTGGATATAGAGCATAGGAACATAGGAAGCTGCCTTACAACAAGTCAAGCCATCTGGCTTTGAACCATCTGTAGGGAGTGGCAGTAATGGAAGAGTTGTTGCTCGGTGGCAGAACACATGCAAATCGTCCCCATTTCCATCTCCAGAACCTCCAAGCAGGGCTGGGAAATACTTCTGTTGAAATGCTGGCGATCTGCTGCCAGTCAGCAGAATGACCTTGATCAGTAGTTCGTCTCCCTTAATCTCCAGTTAGGGCTGGAAAAGATCCTGGAGAGCTGAAATACAGACCATCAGCATGTGCCCTCTGCCACTAAGCTACGGCATCTTTGGCACACCAGTACTCTGCCAACACTGGCACAAGTCGCTTTGAACGGGTACTGCTGGTACATGTGCTTGTAAGACTTTATAGCCTTTATGTCTAATGCAAATCAGATGCTAGCCTCGGGATCTGCAATACACAGAATGAATGGCTGCCTTATGGAGTAAATGTGCAGGGGGGTGGGTGGGAGAGAATATATGCAAGCACCCTGTATACACCCTGCAATTTGCATTAGGCTCCAGGCACTGCAGTTGCTCACAGCTAACAAACCCAACACAGGCAATATTATGCATGTAGAAAGAATCAAAACTGAAAAGAACAAAGTGCATCTTTATCATCTTTCTCTAACCAAGGCTGTTGGCACAGGGACTACACATGCCGACACTAGGCCCTTGCCTCTGGATAAATCACTTCCCTGGCAGAGGCCAAGGATGAGAATCATGGGCACAATGTACAGCAGAAGAATTAATGAAAAGGAGATCCAGGTTCCCACACTCATCAGAAAGATAGGCAAATATAGTTGACAGACTATGGTGTGGAAAACTGTAACCTCCCTGCAACCCAGTCTTTGGGGAGGGGGACCCCCAAAAAATTCATATATATGAATGAGAGCCATTGATTTGACCTACATCTCCTGCTTCCACTCCTACAGCAGCATGACCTTAACTTTTTTACTCTATTCCTACATTTAATTTAATTGTTAACAAGGCCCCAAATGGGACAAATTTCAAAAAGCCTCTGGGCTGACAGATAATGCCAAAATTAAAATAAAAGGCAAGATTCAACTCCCACCCTCCACCCACGTAATGAAATGATCAAAGTCTAATTACCACCCTGCTGGAGAAATAAGCCACGAAGAAATAAGCCTCAAACTCGGAAGAGCAAAGAAGGACACCCAAATATTTGCCCCTTCCATGGAGCATTATCTGATACTGATGGCTCTGTTAGCAAGAGCATTTCAGCTCTTGTACATGAAGTTTCTGCCTCGTATCTAACTTAGCCAGTTGGCTTGTTTGGAGGACTAAGGATTCCATGCTTAGTTAAAGTTGCTCTCTATTCCGAACAGAAAGAACTTAGAACTGGTGCAGAAGAACTATCATTTGCAAAGGCAACCCATGGAACCGCAGGAAACAGATTGCTATTCTGTGAGAATGAAGAGCTTGAAAGTGAGTGCAGGTCTACAAAACAGGTTCCACAGAAGATGAAATGAGTTGCAATAATCTACATCAACTCTCACCAGAGATTAGGCTTATTTTCAGGAAATCCATCAAGGAGATGGCGCTTCTCTTCCTATTTTGTATCCTTCTCGTTCTTGCTTTCAAGCCTCCTCATCTCTTGCCTTATCCATTTGGTCATTTCCAATAACTTTGCTATTTCAGCTCAAACCTGGAATTTTATGGATTACTCAAAATGGCATCACCTGTTCTCCCTTCCTCCTGCACAAGGCTAGAGCTCCCATCTTGCTACACTATTTTTTCTCCCACATGTGGGTAGTGAAGCCAATGAATTTGTACTGGCATACATTCTGGATAAAATAATACTATGAAAATGTTACATAGATGGTACTATACCCTTTTGCATGCAGAAAAAGTCTCACTAATTTTTTGGAAAGGGTGTGGAAAGAGACCTATATATATTTGGTTAGAATGTCAAGAGGTAGAAAGGTATTGAATAGAGTGTTATGTGAAACATCTAAAACATAAAGCATATGACTGATTTCTTTGAATATAGCACCACACCAGAAGAGTTGGTAAAGTAGCAAAAAAGCTTACCTATCAGATATGTATGATCAAAGGGATCACAAAACCAGAGTAATACTTTGCTGTGTGGAAGGACTTTATTTCTTACAGGGGAAAAAGAACAATGAAACACATGCTTCAGTTTGGAAAAATCAAGTGGGATCAACATTATAATTTGCAGTTCTTGGTGTCTGCAACGAGGGGCTGGAAAAAGGACCTCTGTTGTTTTTAAACAAGAGATAAAAAAGACGAAATGCTATTTTGTTGTTAAACTGTTGGCCATTTAGAATTCTGCACTGGAAAGTTTCTTAAAGAAATAATAATCACTTCCTCTCAGAGGATCCTTTGAAACTGCCAAAGATCCTGTACTAAGTTCTACTGCTTTAGTTTGCTTAGTGGTTATCAGCCACTTTACAGCTTTATGATCTCTCAGATTATGCCCACAAGCTGTTTAGAGATGAGATTTACATAAATGAGCCACAAACTTCCTGTTTATTTGTCTTGGAGAGTTAGGTCATATCAATCATCTTCCTTATTTCTGTGCTTCAGTCCATATGCAGAGTTAAGAAATTATTTTCTAGTGCCATTTGTGAAAGGGATGCCCACCGCCACCCCCCACAATAAACAGGAGGTACATGCTGAAATTACCATGAAAAATTACCCAGCTGAAATCTTTTGCCTGGAGAACTCAGCAAAATCAGGGGAATGTTTTGCAAAGTAGCAAATGGGATTTTAAGTTAACTTTTCTCAAAAGCAAGTCAATTACTAAGAAGAATGCTTACAAAATTTAAGGAGGGCTGTACCACACACTGAGAAGATAAAAGAAGCAAAAATCACCAGGTGCAGGAAATAATCTATTGCCAAATCGATTCCCAGCACATTTCAAACATTCATCTTCTTCTTGGGAAAGTGCATGGGAGAAGATTACTTTCACATCTTAGCTCTCGCTTCCCCGCCCTTATCACAATAGGAGGATATTATGTGATGAAAGAAGCATTCCAAGAACACAGCTCTGCTGTGGCATTGCTGGCCACAAAAATGCTACCTCTATAACAAATTATTGTTTTAGTTAAGTGGAAGGGGCTGCAGAAAATATTCTTGCCATCATGACCAACCCAATCTAGTACTTATTTTTTTTAAAGACACTTTTGTGCTTCAGTGAAGGACTTTAAGTAATTATCTGCTCCTCAGCTATTCTCTTCTTTCCGTCTTACCTGCTCTCACGCAGGTATCCACACTGCCTTGAAGAAATGTGTATTAGCTTCCCAACTTCCCTCTCTAACTCACCCTAGCATCCACATGTCCACCCGGCCCTTGCCACCCCCTCCTCTCCATTTTTGGAATTAGATCCCTCCTTCTACCACAGGGGTGAGGAACTGGTTCAGGTGGGGGGACAGACAGTTATCTCCCCCACCCCTCGAAGGCCAAGCGTGTCAGGTGGGCAAGGTCTCCCACCTACCAATCACCTGACATCAGAATAGCACCAGGTGACCCACTTTTGTCTGCTTGGTTCTATATCAGACTCTGCGGGTAAAAGCACAGCCCACGAAGCACCAACAAGAGGCCAATCAGCACTCGCAGAGTGCTAAAAATGGAGCTTCCTAAGACCTGCTGATCAGTGCACAGAGCTTTGGAGGCACTGTCAATCAGCTGATCAGCAGTGGCTGCAAACCCCATTTCAGTTGAGCTAGGTGAGTGTGGCTTGGCGGAAATGGAAGCTGCATGGTACCAGTTCAGATGATTTGTCCATCTAGTTCAGTATTGTCCACATTGGATGTCAGCAGCTCTCCAAAGTTTCAGAATGGGGACATTCCTAGCCTGGCCTGGAAATGTCAGGGATTGAATGTGAGGCCTTCTCTGCATGTGAATCAGATACTCTACCAACAACCAATTATCCTTATTACTGAATGAAGTGATAATCATCTATTTCAGTTCTTCCTAATGGGCACAACTAATGCGTAACTGATTGTATACACCGCATATCTACATATTAAGCATGCATCCAACGATGAAATGATTAGCACTAATGCTGTGATTAATGCAAACCACCATCTAAGGATATTCAGATGTTATTCCCAACTGGCAATAATAGTAATAGAGTGGCCACATGTTCTTCCATTTGAAGGGCTGTCAAAGCCAAGTATGGGTTAAAGGCAAAAAGCCACAATAAGGGACAGCTGGGGCCATGGAAGTTGCCAGTCAGGCGTAAGCAGAACAAACTGAGCAGGCACACAGATCACCTTGTTACAGTCTTCTTCCTACCTGCGATGAGAGGTGTTGCGCTTCCATTTAAAATTATAGTCATTATTTCCCTCTTTGTCACTAGTCTCAATAGCTAGCAGTGTGTTTTATCAGCTAGAGCTAGGGTGCCAACTATGTCCATTCTTGGACAGGGATAGCCTGTCGGTGGTGATTCATGCACTTGTGACCACAATGCAATGTGATCTATGTGGGGCTACCTTTGCACCTCATTTGGAAGCTCGACTTGGTGCAAAATACTGCAGTTACAGTGTTGATAGGGCCAGCCTATCACCAGCACATTGCTCTGGGGCTCAAATGCTTGCAGTGGCTGCCCATACTCTACTGGGCCAGTTTGAAGGTTCTTGTATTGTAAATTGTAAAAGGTTCTTGTATTTACAAGGACTTTAACAACATGGTCCAGAATATTTTAAAGACTGCCTAATCCCTAATATCCCAGCCTAATCACTTAGGACTTGGGGGAAGTCTCTGTTGGCGGTCCTCCATGGTTCATAACTACTAGATGCAGTGCATTGGGCGTAGTTGGCCCCAAAGGATTAATAGATGTGGATAGAAGAAAGCAACCAAATTATATGAAAGTACATGCAAGCCCTTTCTTCCATGGAGGTACATTAAGGCCCTTAACTCAGGTCCCTTCTCCCAATCTCACACATAATTCTGTTGGACAGGGAAAGGCTGGCAATGGTGATTCATGCATCAGAAACTTCAGGATTCCTGCACATGGCTCAGAATATACAGATGAACTCCCTGATGCTCAAGTTCAGGAGTGTCTAGTTTCCATCTCTGCCTGCAGTCCTCACCCAGTCTTCACCCTCGACTCTAGACACAACCCCTTTCTGGAGAAAAAACCATGAAAGTTCTTCTGAGGCAACTGCAACAGATTGAAGATCAAGTTTTCTGCTATTTCAGAAGTGGACCTGAGGAGAGCACAACATTTTGGATGTCTCCAGCCTGCCAGTGTTTTGTGGGAGTAATTCAGCTGCCTGCCAGGACTTTAGGTTTGCACAAGTGAAGTGGATTGAATAGCCCCCATCACCCGAGCACAACAAATCCACTTTAAAATACACAAGACTTTTTGCAGTTTGGAAAGTGACATGGAAATATAATGAAAAGTGTGAGCTAAGTGAAAGACGTGTAAACATGCTGCAAGGAAATCAGGATGAATGCAAGACGAAGGTTCATTGCTATATTACCATCCCATAAGCAGGGAAACTTCATTGCCCAACCCCAGGAGGAAGAAGACAAAAGTGAGAACTGTCAAGCAATAGCTACTTACCCGGATTTTGATGATTCTCGTCTTTGTGCCACAATTCTTCTTAAACAGCATCTTCTGAGAAAGAAGCAGAATTATATGGTAAAAGCGAGCGAGCAGATATGCAAGATATAAGCAGTGTAGCTGCACAATTAATTTGGGTGTTAAATAATGCTGGAGTGCTTGAAGTGAGTTGGAAGTCCAAACAAACATTTAGAAACCACTACTAAGACCCATGGTACCAATTGGGGTTTTCTTCCTATTAATAGGTGGTGGCATCCAATCAGAACAAAGGCTTTAAAAAAATCCTCCCCCTCTTTCTTATGGGGCTTGATGGGGGAACACTGGCTATTTTATTCTGCTTTTTAATGAGTTTTGCAATAGCAAACTACACATTCAGTTTAGCCCTTAAATACTTTGCTCTTAAAGGAAGTTCCTGTTTTCAGAGCAACTGCGTGGCAGGCAGTCATTCCACAGGACAAACTTGCATCACTGCTAAATCTGATGGGGGTGGGTTGGGGGGAGAATGCATTTCCTGAATTTCTCCTGGCCATTAACTTTAAGAGGCACAAAGGTTAAGAACCTTGCTTGAGAGTTTCTGAGAAACCTCATAACAGAGAGTTATGGAACAGCAGGCCACCAGAGACAGGTCCCTTCATTACCAGCCAACAGTGGTGTCTTTACAAGAGATTAAGCTACAATTTCCATTTTCATAATCTGGAGGTGGATTGGAATAAAGATGGGTTCTTCAAAGAGTCAAAAATAATACAATCCCCCAAAATATGCATTCTCTGTGTATATGTAAAGCAGGGGACAATATGGCACTCTCCAGAAATTGCTTGATTACAACTCACATTATCCCTGACCATCAGCCATGCAGGCCGAGGCCAATGGAAGTTGTAGTCCATCAACACTATGAGGGCGCCATGTTGTTACAGAAACTGTATGACATGTACTAGGCTCACAAATGCAGCTTCTCCCATAAGAGTGATGCACAGGGCCTGGAAAGCACCTGATCTGTACCTTCAATGCCCACCACCCAGAGGCACGACACTTTTTAAAAGTGTATTAAAAACCGACATATAGGTAACTGTATTGGTTTCTCCCAAAGAATACCTGAGAATTTCACTTGGGCAAATGCTGATGTTCCTAGCCCTTTTCACAGTTATTTATCTATTTTGATATCCTAATATACTCATAAATTGGTTCTCAGGGGGAGAAGGATAAACTATTAAACCTGTATAAATCTATGGCTTTGATATGCTGTAAGAATGAATCAGCAATAATAAAAAGCAGTGTAGGAATTTGTGGAAAAACTTTACTGGGGTTTCACGTTAATATATTCACTGAAAACCTATGTAAAATGCCTTTCCAACACTACCGTCACTGAGTCTTAATTTTAGCATTGTAATGATGAAACTCTTAACACATTTGTTTTAATATTTTTATTTTTTTTAACCTAAGGGCTGAACAAGCACCATGGATACTCGAGGCACAGATTGTTCCTTCCCTAGAGCAGGGGACTTGTCTGTTTGATCTGTGGAACCCTAAATGCAGTGTGATCTTGTCTTTTTCATTCTTTGGGACCAACAGAACTGCAAGTTCCACTATTGTGAAGTATTCTAATGTAACTTTTGGAACAGCATAACGGGCTGCAAGTGAAACTGAGATGTGTTTAAAAACGATGGACACCGATTCTGCAATGCTGCAATGTGTGAGTAAAATACAGAGCTTGTGGTTATGTTGATCCCATAATGAGAAAGAGAAAAGAAACTCGAGAGATACAAGAAGGGACCAGCAAAACCGCACACTCTGCTATTAGGTGGTTTACCCACACGTTGCCTCTGCTCAATGTAGCATTACAGAAACAATGAATATATATCCTTTTCAGTTTTATTCTGAGCCCATTACAAAATGGCAGCCCTATTCCAAAAGTGACATCATAACATTTCAGCATGAAACAGAACAGTTTAGTACTGTTCAGCAAAACACTCCAGTACAAATGAGATCTTTCAGAAGCGGCACGCCCAAAACATCCCTACCCAATTAGGATCAAAGCGAGCAGAGCACAAGAGAAAACTCCACAGCCAGAAACCATCAAGTTGTCAAAAGACTCTACTTCAAACTTAAGCAATTCAGCGTTCAGAAGTCTCTTTAATTAGAAGTCTGATCAAGCAAGATTTCTCGAACCAAAACAACAACACTGACAGCCAGAAATGCGAACCACCCAGTATGAATCCCATCTTGCATTGCAAAACCAATTATCAGTGTGAACCAAATTAACGAGCATTTGGAACTTTGCCCATCAGTTCTCAAACTTATATCAAGTTATTACCTTAGCAGTGTTCTAAAAGGCAGGGAAGGGTAGATGACAGATTACGCCTCACGAGGCAGTTTCCAGTAAACCACTTACTACTAGCACAAAACATGCACTCTACCAGTTAGCTCCACCTCCTGATCATCCAATGGAGCATCTCTCCACAAACTCACCAAAACATAGCTTGCTGCTGGACCCAAGCAGGACTGCCAGCTTAATATATCCCTGGCTCTTGTGCCCTTAGCAGCAGCTTGATGTGTATGTACAAGCGGCACATGATAATCCCTCTTGCCATACCGTGCAGTGTTTCACCTACTGCTTTTTGCAAATTAAACTTATGTGAAAGGCACTGGAGCAAGAACACAGTGGCTTCTTCCCCCTCATCCCAACTTGAGTTCCAAGCCTGTGGGCTAAATTCATCCCCAGAGCTTCCAGGACTAGAAGGGGTTCCCAGGCAAAATACGCCAAGCGGTTGGAGTGCTGTCCCAACCCATGCATGCAACCAGCCAACTCTGAACATAATTTTCCTGGAAATGCCTGTATAAAACAAACTCAGGCTTTGTTTCCAGCGCTGCTGTGAAAAGTATCATCAAGCTGGTATTTACTGGGCAAGCTCAGCGAAAGGAGGGGTTTGTGGGCACAGAGAGGAGGGGCAGAGGCCCTAGAGTAAATAATAATAATAATAATAATTTTATTATTTATACCCTGCCCATCTGGCTGGGTTTCCCCAGCCACTCTGGGCGGCTTACAGCACATAAAAAATTGTTGTGTGTGTGTTTATATCTATATGTCTACGTAGTGGACACACACACATATAGTGGAAAGGCAGGTGATTACACAGAATCGAAGAAACTTGACGTTGGCATGTACTGTCTATAGCTGTTCAATGTAAATTTAAAAAAACCTCCCTCAGTATTAATTTGGTGAGATTCTGAAGAGCCGGAAGCAGATTTCCCCTTACAAAAATGCCAGTACTAATACTATCATCGGGAGAAAAGGTCATCAGGTTTACAATATTTTTTTCTCCTTGCCACAAAACCATGGGCTTGTTTTGAAATTCCCCAGATGAGAAGGCATTTATTTTGTCACTCAAGGGCAAGGCCCAGCTCTCACCCCTGCTTGGCATCTCAAACTCCAGGTGGACACCAGAGGCCCAGGCAATGGGGAGAGAGAGAAACACCTGCATGGCAGTTTCAAGTGTGGGACTCTGAAAGCAAGACAAAATGCTGCTTTTTTAAAGAGAGAGAGAGAGAGAGAGGAAACAGCTGCTGGGATCCCTTTACTCGCTCTTGAATGGAGCTCATCAAGCAGCAGCCTCTTCCCCCAGCATCTGGCCTTTGGGTCAGTGTCTAAGGGAGACACTGTGTGTGTGTGTTTCAACAGAGGTGAGGGGGGAGAGCCAATAAACAACTCTTGCAGCTTTTCAGTTTAGAAAACTGACAAGTAAGTGGGAACATGATAGAGCGGGCAGGGAGACCTTCGGAATTCAGGGTCATCCAATAAAGCTAATCCACTGACATGAATGTCATTAAATGAGAAGGTGACAAATTCAAGGCTATCTATAGCCATTAGCCACAATGGTTATGTTCTGCGTCCACGGCTGGAGCCAGTGGCCGAGACTCACAAGTGGGGATTGCGCTCAGGTCCTGCTTGGGTGCTTCCCACAGTCATCTGGTTGGCCACTGCGAGAACAGGATGCTGGGCTTTTGGTCTGATCCAGCAGAGCTCTTCTTATGTTCTTATCCACAAATTCTTGTGTGCAACAGCATGATGCACACTGCCTAGGGTTGCGGTATCTCCAAGTCCCCCAGATCTGGGCAGGTTTTAGGCACATTACTTTCTACTCAATGCAAATCAACTTGCTGCCCAAATTAGCACATATGCTCTCTTTTTCTCATCTGAGCAATAAACCAATCTTTCCTACTTTCTGGTGTGATGTGTTCTTTACCAGCTATGAAGGTGAATTGGGGTGCATTTATTTTAAATGGGCACAAGTTCCAACACGTTTCCATTCCTCTCAGGGTGTAGGTTGCATTCATGTGCATGGTGGACATGTATGTGGATTCTGACATACACCGCCTAACATCCTGCCGTTATCACTGCTTCAACTCCATTTGCCAAATTCACTGTTAGCATCTTAGCATCTACATTAATTAACTGGCTTATAATTTACCCAGAGAGTATGATCTTTACAAGATTTAGGAGAAACAGAAATATATGCATCATACTTTGAACCTGACATTTGGCCCCTGCACTTTCCCAATCTTCATTATATAAACAGCATTCTTAATTTCTTCCATCTGTAATGGTTTTGCAAGAATTTCCTTTTGCTGTGTATTTAAGATGAAGGAGAACCAACTGGGGAAAAAATGCTTTCAAAGTCACACACCATGTAGGATCATTATCCTTCCTATGTAATTTGGAGTAATACTTCTGAAACTCTGAATTTATTTCATTTGGTACTGAACAGACCGTATTACACTCACCTCTAACCAACAACATATCGTTCTGACTTTTAAAAAATGAAAAGTCCCTTATCTGATCCAGTCTCTCACCCCTTTCCCAATAGATTTGGTGCATACATGTAAATCCAAATTCTGCCCTAATTTAATTCATAATTAGCGTGTTGCAGATGTTTTCTATAAAGACCTGAGAAAAAGGATGTTACAAATTGATTTAGAAGAGAGACTTCGCTGTTTTCTGAAAATTCTCTTCCTGCAATGTTCTAATGCATTCCTTATGGAAGGCATATGCTATAATCCTGCTTCAAATGTAGCCCTTACACGCTTCCCATTCAATGTCACGTGAAGAAGTTACAACCCCATTAAGTTCAAAACATTCCTGAAGTCCAACACCTATCTGTATTTTACAATTTTCATCATTCAAAAGTCAAATATTTAAACACCGCAAACCATAATTTCAAACCCCATCTGTTAGCTGTGTTGCCAAAAGATACTGGAGCATGATGTGGAACAACAATTGTATCACCACACACTATTACTCACTGGGCAAAGAAACAACCATATTGTGAACCGAAAGCAAATTTGGTGTACTAATGAGGAAAATGTCATGTTCTTTGGGATCACCGGAATGCCTTCTACCCATGATTTGCATTTGCCCCCAGACCTACACCACAAAAGTTGAAGGTGGCAGCAGAAAGTTCTGACCAGTTGCTCATGTCAGGGAAGAGCTGTCCTTCTCCTATGTCCTGCATGCCTTTCTTCTCCAAGTCTCATAAACAGGCTGCTGGGTCCCACCAGTTGTGCTTCTGGTGTTCCAGAATGTAAAAAGAGCCCTGCACGATCAGAACAAATGCCCATCTAGGCCACATTCTCACCAAATGTTTAAATCTATGGTACCACTTTAAACAGTCCTGGCTTCCCCCAAGATATTATGGGAGCTGTGGTTTTTTAAGGGTGCTGAGAGTTGTCAGGAGACCCCTATTCCCCACCCAGAGCTACAATTCTCAGACTGTAATTTAACAATCAATCCCTCTTCTGGGAACTGCAGTTCTGGGAAGGTAACTGGGCTCTCCTAACAACCCTCAGCACCCTTCACAAACTACAGCCCCCAGAATTCCTTGGGGGAATTTAAAGTGGTGTCAGCATGGTGCATTAAATATATGGTGCCCTTTATGTGGCCCTAAGTCCCAGCATCCTGTTCTCATGGTCACCAACCAAATGCCCATGTGAAGCCTGTGAGCAAAACCCAAGAACAACAGCACTCTTCTGACCTGTGATTCACAGAAAGTAGTATTTCAAGGCATGTTGCCTTCAACAGTGGAAGCAGACCATCACGTCCCAGTTACTAGCTATCCTATAAGTTGGAAAGTTGAAGAAAAGCTCCTCAGTTCAGTTTCCCCCCAAACCATTTCACCACACTGGTTTCCCCCAGCAAATTGTGAAAACAATAGCCCGGTCAGGCTGAAAACAAAGCCAGAGGTTTCCCTCATGCATCCTCGTTGTGCTGTTAACACTTTCTATTTTAAACCAGGTGTTGGAACTGAGTTTTTGACGTTTTGCTCCTGGCACTGCCACAAGGGCATGTCATTGATGATTTGACAGGATCCCTGCTGCTATTTCTCCACACACAAGTCAGGCCGCAACCAAGTTTCCAAGTGCGAGAAATTCCAGAAGCCCACTGGCCTCAGCCACAAATAATTTTAGGGGAGCAACCCTAAGAACACTTAATCTGGCAATAAACCCCTTCGAAACGCAGCCAGCTTACCTTCCAAGTAAACATGCATAGGTTCCACAGGTCTTAATGCTTAACCAAATCGAGGCTTTTCCAAGGCCTGCAAAGCTGCATCATAAATCTTTCTGTTACCAAAGCAGGCTCTTGTCTGAAACTGCGTTCACTTCCCATCTCTACTTGGACTGGAGATAACTTAAAACAGTAGGTGTTGACCCCATTCATTTTTACTGCATTACAAACCTGCCAAGAGCCCCCGGGAAAAAGGGATGTCCCATTTTTCTGGGCGAGATCGTGGCAGCCATTTTGGTTGCTGCGCTCTTGCCCCGAAAAAAGCATTTTTTCCTGGGCCGAAGGCAGGCATGTGTCATGCGACTCACCCAGAAGTGAGTCCTGGAAGACACACATCCTGGTTTTGCATCTCCAAAAGTTGGGCGGAATGCTGTGTGAGGAGCCTGCAAGTCAGATTGGAGCAAAAATGGTCCCCAGGGAAATCCTCTTGGGCCAAGATGTACTAAACTAGATTCAACTACATTGACATAGATTTGCATCCCTTCCCCTGAGCCATTTCAACCCCCAGACGGAGTACTGCCTTATACAGATTAGCAGTGAGAAGCACCCACAGTTTGCCTTGCAAACTCTGAAGGGCCACTGCAGCATGTTCTCTCTTGCCTCTGCAGAGCTTTCTTCAGCTGCTTTCTCCACTTCTCAGGGAAGCAGCACAGCATTAGTTTATGTAAATGCACACAAATGGCATAGATGAAACAATATGAATCTCGCAAACCGTGGCACTATATAACTTTAGAAGGCAGATTTAAGGTTTAATGTTTTATTATGTTTTAAAATATGTTGGAAGCCCCGCAGAGTGACTGGAGCAAGCCACGCAGATGGGCAGGGTACAAATAACAAGTTACTATTATTTATTATTGTTAGCTGCAGATGTGGGTAGGACCTGCATTCTTCAACCTGAGTCGCTGAGCTGGCAAGTCTAATACAGTTTTGATCCTACCATGAATTCTTAGTGAGAAGTACACAGACAGGCGTTATGCCTGAACTGGGAATTCCAGTAATGAGCAGAAGGTATGGGGAACTCAGCACCCCGGCTGCCGATGTCCCTGTGGGCAGAAGCTCCAAGCTGTTCCCAGGGAAAGGGGAGAAATTAGGGTCATTTTAAAATGTGAACCAAACTCATTTGCACTTCCCAAAACAACGCCAAAACCCAAACACAGGCTGTTTCTGAAATTTACACTTCTCCAACTATTGCAAAGTAAGCTCCTGACCCAAATGTGTACGTTTGTGTCAACGTGTGAAAAATGCATGTATTGGTGAACATAACAAATATTCATTTTATTAGACAAAACAGCATAGAAAAATATATATTGGCAGAAATGCACACTAGACATTTTTGTGAGGATTTTTAAAAAAATGAAACAGAAGTGTGGCAAGCTGAATATAAGATTGAAAGAGAAATTGACAGAACTCTCCATGCCTAACAACTCTACCCACCGCCTTCCCAGACTGAACCAAACACACTTTCAACCCCGCTTCAGACCTTCCCACAGCAGCACTGCCCTCTTCCCACAGTTGCAATGAACACCTGAAGAGAGCTTAGGAGAGGCAGCATTCTATTAAGAGTTACCAACTTTTTCGTGGCATGGCTCTCCGGCTTTTTAACAGGTACAGAAATGCGTCAGGCAAAAAAAACCAAAAACAAATCTGATAAAGAGATGCTGTAATGGGAAAAGCCACGTCTCAGAATTACGGTAGTAATTGCTGCTAGAAAGAACTGAAGCCCTGTTACAGACCAAAAAGTGAAAAAAAGGGCAGGAACCCTCAGTTCTGTTCTGCAAGCTCAGTAAGTCAAGCCTAAGTCCATCTCCTGCTTCTAAAATAAAAAAGCACACAGCACTGAGACGATTTTACGTTAGCACACTTTTAAATTGCTCCCACAGGCTTTTTCTGTTCACATGAGGAATCTGCTGCCTGGTTATCTTCACACCTGCTGCTACAGCAGCTGCACAGGGCACAGAACATGGAAACCAAGCAAGGGAAATTTTGCCATGCAAGGTGGAAACAGCCTGACTGCCTGTTCACTGTTTTAGAACCTTACCAATCTGTTAAAGCAAAGTTTTTCAGTAAAACCAACCTGCGGCAGTCACTGCCTTTTGGGCAGGAAACCCCGATCCCAACCTCATTGGAGCAATTTTTACATTCTGAAGATACGCTGCTGCTGCACAGGCAGAATGGCTGCAGAATCCAATGGAGGGAAACATAAACCAGAAAAGGCAAAAAATAAAAATAAAAAAGGTAAGCAATGACAGACACATCCTTACATGTTCCTGGGAACGTCACTAGTGCCCACCTATCAGGGATTGCCACCACTCATGGAGGCAAACAATGAATTTCACTGAAGGGGGCATCTCCCCAGCACTACATACAATGCTGAGACACCCCAGTCCTCTAGTCCCAGTAGTACAGCCTGCCAGAGAGACAGGGGTTCGAATACCCCCCCATGTTATTCACACACTGTTTCAGAGCACATCACACACAAAGGATGGGGAAGACACAGCATGGCACCAACATAGGGACAAGAAGCCTACAGAGAGAACACAAGTCGACGTCTGCTGTACTTGTGCATGAGAAGTCCTTCCCATGACACACTTTTCTCAGCAGCATTGAGAATGTTCTCTCACAGCTATAAGCAGATCTGCCAAGAGGAGAGAGGGAGGAGGCGGGACTCGCGAACTAAGCAAGACTTTTCTGTGTTTGCAGGAGCTCTCAACTTAGTCTTACCCAACATCCCTGCCGGTGACAGTTGTTAGGAACAGAACACAGAGCTAAGCAGTAACACACTCAACCCAAGAAAGGAGAGCCAGTGAAGAACAATAGGAAATAGCTCCTGCCCACCACTCTCCCCATCCCTGTGAAATGTTGTGTCTGGCACACAGCATGCCGGGGGTTAATGCCTGGCTAGGGATGGGAGCAGCTGCAGCGTGGTGGGCAAATGAGGTCAGGCCACCAGACAAAGTGGCTATTGTGAGGCCAGAGGCTTCTGTTTGATGGCCTCCCACCTACCATCTCACCACGTGGCAAACTGAAACAGGCCAGGGAGCGTGTGCGCAAATATTTGTGTGTCTGTGTGCACACACACACACATATATATGCATGCACATGCACACGCATGCTCAAAGAGAGAGGGGGCCAAATACATATTATTTGCCTGCAAGCAATTGGCTCAAAGAGGAGAATTCTTTGCTGAGTTTCTCCCTCCCTCCCCCATAGCCAATCCTAAACACAGAAGAACAGCTCCCCACTGTCAGATCCTTTTGCTCCCAGTTACAATTTATGACAGGCATAAGTTGCACAACCTGTTAAGGTGTGACAGGAGAGCTCCTCCCTCTGAACTTTTTTTTTTTAACCTACATTTTCATCCCACCTTTCCTTCAAGTTGATCAAGGTGGTGTAAACAGAGCACCACAAACACACCCCAGCAACCTTGTGGGGCATGTTGGAGACAGCAAATGACCCACGGTCACCAAAAGAACTGCATGGCTGAGTGGTGATTCAAACCCTGGTCTCTCAGCTCTTTAGTCCAGCACTCTGGCCACTATGCCAGGCAGAGAGGGCACTTTTTGTGGGTTTGCATTAGTGGCAGTCAGATCTTTTATTTTTTTATTTTTACAGGTGTGCATCTTTTCTTCAAACTGTATGGAATTCACAACAGCAAAACACGCATCTCACGGACAGACAGCCCCAATGCCAGTGAACTAGAGCCCTCTATTTTCTGATTTCTTTTCCTCTAACAGCTGTGTTTGCCACTGAATGTCCATGCACCAGATTAGGACTGGCTGAACCCTACCGCCATCATCATAATCATCACAATTTCCTGCTCTTAAAGCAGCTTTAAGTCAACAGTCAATGAAATACACATTAATAAAACAATAAAACAGATACACACAAGGCAGCTGCCATTAAGCAACGTTTCTAAAGGTAAGCAGATTTTTTAAGGTACATTACGGGGCAGGAAATGCGTTCCCCAGGTGGGGAACTGGATCTGGCTGGGGTGGCCAATTCCTTATCTCTCCCCCATATCCCCGGGGCTAAGCTCGACAGGTGGGCAGGGCAAGCTACCTGCCAGACTGCTGACATCACAATGGCATCAGGTGACCCATTTCTCCCCCAAGTCTGTGAAATCAAACAGTGTGGGCGAAGGTATCATGCTTTGCAAACCCTGATAAGCAATCAACGGTTGGGGCTCACAAAGCACCATGCGAGTGCTGCCAATCGGCTGTGCCTGCAAATTCCCTTTTGGCCCAACCATGTCTTAATTTAATTAATTGCATTTCTATCCCGCCTTTTTCTCCATGGAGCTCAAGGTGGGCTGTTGTTTTGCTTTTGGTTTAGCTATTTATTTTGTGCTTTTATCCTGTATTTTTATCTTGGCGAAGCTCCCCAAGATCTTCAGCTGAAGGGCGATAAATTTAAAGAAAGAAAGAAATGTTCTCTCCCCTTCTCATTTAACCCCCACAACAACCCTGTGAGGTAGGTTAGGCTGAGTGTGAGCGACTGGCCCAATGTCACCCTTCATGGTGGAGTGGGGATTCAAATCCTGCCTTCCTGGCCCTTGTCCAGCACTCTAACCACTACACCACACTGGCTTTAGCTTTACAGTGGTTTCCTTTGAAGTGATGGAGGAGCTAGAAGTCTCTTAGCTGTTATGACAAGCCTTGAGCTGAGCTATCTATACCTATCTCATATTAAGAGGCCTATCTCTCAGCATCAGGGCCCAGCTCCACCTTGGAGGGACCCTGGGCAAAGTGTCCTCTCAGTGCCCTGTCCCCTTCTCTGTCAGTGGGTGCTGGTGGGCAATGAAAATCTCTTAAGGAAAATTTATTATCCAGGGGCCACAGTGGCAAAAATGTAGTCTTCCCAAAATGAATTTCAATTTCATTCATAGGGAACCCTAGTGGTCCCTACCAGAAGATCCTCCCTACAACAGCTACTGCAAAGGGGGATTTTGAATCTTTGTGAGGACTAGCCCATTGATAAAGATAGATAAAGATATAAAGATAAAGATAAAGATAAAGATAAAGATAAAAGAGACCCCTGACCATTAGGTCCAGTCGTGACCGACTCTGGGGTTGCGGCGCTCATCTCGCTTTATTGACCAAGGGAGCCGGCATTTGTCCACAGACAGGTTCCGGGTCATGTGGCCAGCATGACTAAGCCACTTCTGGCAAACCAGAGCAGTGCACGGAAACGCCGTTTACCTTCCTGCCGGAGCGGTACCTATTTATCTACTTGCACTTTGACGTGCTTTCAAACTGCTAGGTTGGCAGGAGCAGGGACCGAGCAACAGGAGCTCACCCCGTCTCAGGGATTTGAACCGCTGACCTTCTGATCGGCAAGTCCTAGGCTCTGTGGTTTAACCCACAGCGCCACCCACGTCCCTTAGCACACCCACGTCCCTTAGCCAGTGTGGTGTAGTGGTTAAGAGCGGTAGTCTCGTAATCTGGGGAACCGGGTTTGCGTCTCCGCTCCTCCACATGCAGCTGCTGGGTGACCTTGGGCCAGTCACACTTCTCTGAAGTCTCTCAGCCCCACTCACCTCACAGAGTGTTTGTTGTGGGGGAGGAAGGGAAAGGAGAATGTTAGCCGCTTTGAGACTCCTTAAAGGGAGTGAAAGGCGGGATATCAAATCCAAACTCTTCTTCTTCATTTAGTACATCCCTAATTATTTCCTAGAGCCTCTACCATAACTAATGCAAGCAAATGCTCTTATTCAACAATAATTAAATTGTGTAAAAAAGGGAGGGGGGTTCCCTCCAGCAAGCATTTCTCCCACACAGATTAAATTTATCATTCCTATTCCAGGCCACACCATTGCTATGCTGGCTGGGGATGATGGGGAATTATAGTCCAAAACAGCTGGGGGGGCACCAGGTTGGGAAAGGCTGATCCTACAGCACAGCAGCATAAATGCCTAAGAGTCAGTAAACCTTCACATGCCGCTATGTTTATTTTTGCCGCATTAGACTCATTTGTATAATATGCAAACAATCAGCTTTTTGCATCAATAAGCAGCGTTGTTTGGAACCATCAGCAAAGACGACGAACGGGGTGAAGAGTCTGTTTAATATCATTAGGAGCTTCCTGAGGATGACAGCAGAATAATAATTAATTAGAAAGAGGAAACATCATGGACCATCCCGCCGTTCTCCAGTTTCCATCTCTGCTATCTTGTTCCCACTGAGCATCACGTACATATTGAATGACACACAGGGGCCCACGGGAGCCATAGAGGGGCTAATGGGATAAAGGGATCTCGCTCTCCAGTGATTTGATCCACTGACGCAACATATAATTAAACGGCTGCGATTGGAGAGAGTTTTCTCCCTGATGCTCACCAGATAATTGCTTGACTGCCTGTACTATGCCTGATGCCAGGTAGCGGGGTCAGCTACATACAGTGGTACCTCGGTTTAAGAACAGCCCTGTTTACGAACTGTTCGGTTTACAAACTCCGCAAAACCGGAAGTAGTGTCCCAGTTCGCAAACTTTACCTCGGTCTAAGAACAGAAGCCGAATGGTGGAAGGGCACCGGCAGCGGGAGGCCTCGTTAGGGAAAGTGCGCCTTGGTTTAAGAACGGTTTTGGTTTAAGAATTGACTCTGGAACGGATTAAGTTCATAAACCAAGGTACCACTGTATTCGGAGTGTATTTTACTAGGCCTTAAAAATAGCTTTGGTGTAGCGCTGTGCTTCTCAAAGGAGACAAACTCCAGAAGCTCCTTCAACGGGAGATTCTGCTGTCACAAATAGATGTGGACTCAATTCAAACTAGGTTTGGCCTTAGCAAGCAACTGCAGAGAACCATCATAAGGATGAACTCCTTCTGTTAAAGAGTGCCCATATTTGTTGCCCCCATGAGCTCCAAACCTCTTCAAATGGCTGCATTTTCCTCCCTCCAATGATGGGTTTGTGTATGTGCAAGGGATGTTTCATTCCCCCCCCCCCCAAAAGGGTTTCTTATTCCCAAGTCACATTTTGTGTACCGTGGACAAAGGAGAGAGATAAAGTGCATCTTTCAGGGGGAGGAAGGCAGAGCTCGCCCTCCAGCCATTGGCTGCAAGGTTAACTGGAGTAAGTTCTTCTACGGCTTGGGTTAAAAATCAGAATCAAAGAAGAACTTAGGGTCATAATGTTCCTTGCACATCAAAGGTAAGCATTATGAGTTCTCAAGAATAATAGTCAAACTTGTGATTTATGCACTTCAGTGTCATCTCAACCCCAAATGCTGGGATGGGTGAGCTATGACAGGGTATACCAGAGGAGAGAATCTCTGTCAACGAAACACAGCGGGCATTATAAATTCTGAAAGAAACTGTGCCCCTGAGAGAGGTGAATGGAAATTTTGCCTTCAACATCAGCAAATCATAGCACTCTTACCAACAATGTTTAGCTGCTCTCACTCTGCGTTTTTTATTTCCCTGTAACAACGGCATCTTCACAAAAGGCTGCATGCTTGGGAAAATAAATGGAAATCTTGCAATGTCTTCAGCACCATCTCCTCTCACACAGAAGTCAGTCATTCAGTGGTAAGTCGACTGCCAAACGCTTGAGGAAATCCCTACATACACACACACACACATGCCTGCCAAAGTTTCTGTATGTAAATATAAGGAGTCCATTCATTAATTCACATCCACCCAAACTCCTGATGACTTCTATAACAAACACTATAGACGAGCATATTGGAGCCAGGTTTCCAGTGTATAAATAGGTTCTTCAACAGACAACAGAAACTTTCCATGGCTGGGTTCAATTCCGTATTAAATATTCCACTCATTTGTAAAGGACCATCTCATTTTAAATTGTGCCTCTTTATCTGAGCTATCAGGGCAGTTCATAGCATTTTAAAACAGCAACAAGATATAGAACACAACATAATTAAAGACTGGCTCACACTTGACAGGAGCCTTCACACAAACACATTTGAAGTACATAGACTTCTCCAGCCAGATGCATAGGCACCATTTGTAGGAATCTATCCTGTCTTATGGGGAGTTCTGAGAAATGCATCCAGGGCAGGGATGGGGTGCCTATGTCCCTCCAAATGTTGCTGAACTACAACACCCATCAACCCTGATATTGGCCATGTTGGCTGTGGCTGATAGGAGTTGTAGTCCAGCAACATTTGGAGGGCCACAGGTTCCCCATCCTTGATTTAGGGGCCGCCACCGGGTATGATTTGATCCCAAAGTAAGCAGAGTATTGCCATCAACCCTGGAAGAAGCCCAGGATCATGGAGACATCCACAACAAAGCTTATCCTTCATGGATGCACCACTGCTTAGGAAACCTGTTTTGCATAGGTTTTTGTCACATCTTTCTCACTTCCTACACTGACAGATCACAGGAAAACAGAACGGGAAAACTTGCAGGTATATTAAAAAACCAAGCCAAACACCATCTGCCAAGCAAAAAGGGTTTTCTATTTTTTAAAATAATAAAAGTAGTCCTGGAACGCTTCTGTAGGATTTCCCTGAAGATATGGGTTCTGCAGTTGGATGCACATGAAATGTTAGACCTAACATGCCAGAGTGAACATACTACACCAGCCCTACTGGCCCAACTGGGTTGGCCACCAGTAAGATGTAGGAGAGGAAGCTGGGACTCTCCCAAGAATTCATTTGCCAACATTTGCTTGAATGATGAAGCAGCCGTTCCCAATTTCTGAAGTCATTGAGATAACCCAATCTCTAGGTGCATTCCCCGTGGCTTCAACAAACAGAGCTAACAGCTTGTTTGGCACACAAGCGCACATTCAGTCTAACCCAAGCAGTTGTGGATACTGACATACAAGCACTCCAAAGAATGGGCGCATTGTTTACGTGGATTAAAACAAGGAGCACTGTGTGTGGAGTGGTTTGAGTGAATTGCAGAGCAGGTTGGAGAGTGTTCACACCCTCAAAGTACGGAGGACACACCACTCTGGCACCACCCGGATGCCAGAGTATGTGCAACAAGGGCTGCCAGTGTGACCTTTCCTTCTGGACGACAGCCAGAGCAGCAGCCCAAAACTAATACCCTCTTACCAGGCTGCTGAGCTCAAGAGTCAAAAGGTGGCCACAAAGCCGGGAAAGATTCCAGTGAGCAGGCCAATTCCATTAAAAACAAAACAAAAAAACCCCCTGATGGCTTCAGCTTCAGAAGTATTATTTATTGCCAGATGCTGGGATCGCTTACAGGACAGTGCTAGCGAGTCAAGACTGCTCTCGTATCATTTTCATGCAATTAACCAATAATTTCCTTCCATCTGACGGGACATCCTTAAAAGTCCCACTTGTTCAGGCCAAAAGCCAATCTAGACCAGCACTATGTTCTCACAGCGGCCAACCAGATCCCCGAAGGAGGCCCACGAGCAGCACCCAAGAACTAGAGCAATTTCCCCACACCTTTGTGAGATATATATATATATATATATATATATATATATATATGCATTTGATCCATAAGAAGGTTGTGGGCTCCCTCCCTCCAATTTCCCGACCTCCCATGATCCTCTCCTTCAAAATTAAACAGTTTAATCTGCGAGCCTAACCTTTTCTCTTCCTCCTCAACCAACCCAGAAGAGCTCAAGCCAAGCCTGACCTAGGCATGCAGGAGAATGAGGTGGGAAAATACCTTTTGGATGTTCCTGTTGGAGGAAAGCGAACACAAGTTCCTGCCACTAAAGTCTTGCACATTAAGTAGAAAACAGACCAGGCAGACTAGATCTTCTTTGCTTTTTTGTTTGTTTGTTTAAACACATTCAGGTGTTTTCTGTATTCATAATAATAGAAATGTAGAGTTGGAAGGGACCTCAAGAGTCATCTAGTCCAACTTCCTGAAATGCAGGAATCACACCTAAAGGATCCATGACAGATGGCCATCCAACCTCTGCTTAAAAACCTCCAAGAAATGAGAGGCCACCACTTTCTGAGGTGGTCTGTTCCATTGCTCTTGCCATAAGAAAGATATTCCTAATGTTTAGTCACAATCTTCATTCTTGTTATTTGAATCCATTGGTTTGGTTGGTCCAGCTTTTAAGAGTAACCCTGCTGCTGCTCCTGTTAAAAATATGACTGGTGCGGGGAGGGTTACAATTCTGTTAATCTGGCTATGCTACAGCTACCTGTTAAATGCCCTTGAATCTAACTCTTCTGGCTCCTCTTCATCTGCTTAAACTGCAAGATCAGACCAGCCTACTTCATCTGTTAAGAGCAAGAGCAAGCGCTCACCAGGGCTTCTGTTGAATTTCTGGAATTTTGCTCCTTCCTCTCCCCACTGACCAGATGCCAAGGAGACCATCCTCTTGCAATTTTGAAGAGAGTTGCAACAGCAAAGAGATATTCTAGCAGGTGACAAAGTTTCTCTTCCCCTGCATCACAAGTTGTGGCTTTCAAAACGTCATCTTCTACACAATTTATTACTTCTTTACTTTTGTTATTATTGATTCCCTTTAATCCCCGCTCTCCTCCATCAGGTTCCAGGATGGGTTACTTACACCCATTTAAAATCCAATATTAAAAACATTAAAAACAAATGACAGTCACAGGAATGGACTGGGTCCTTTAAAAATCTCTCTCTCAGGTGTCAAAGCCCAAGACAAAGAGGTGCATCTTCAGCATATGGTGGAAACTATATACAGTCGTACCTTGGCTCCCAAACGTCTTGGGAGTCGAATGTTCTGGCTCCCAAATGATCGGAAACCAGAAGTGATTGTTCCTATTTTCGAATGTTCTTTTGGAAGCCAAACATCTAACGGGGCTTCCGATTGGCTGCAGAAGCTTCCTGCAGCCAATCAGAAGCCACGGTTTCAATTCCAAACATTTCGGAAGTTGAATGGACTTCTGGAACGGATTCCGTTTGACTTCCAAGGTACGACTGTACTGAAGCTGTAAGATGCACCTCTGTCGAGAGGGAATTGCACAGCCTAGAAGCTGCCACAGAGAATGTTCTCTGCCACCACAACCTGAACTTTTGAGGGTGGTGGAACTACTAAGAGAGCCCTCTCTGCCAGTACCAACACTTGAGAGGGTCTATAGGGAAGGAAATGGTATTTGGGGTGTTTGAGGCCTACACAGTTTAGGACTTTAAATGTTAATGTGAGTACCTTGAATTGGGCCTGGAAAGAAACTGGCAACTATGACAACTACAGGTGCTCTTCCACCTCTTTGCAACGGCCATCACCTCAAGTCAACCAAAACAAGTTGTCTGATCTCTCTCTCTCTCTCTCTCTCTCTCACACACACACACACACACACACACACACCATCTGCCTCCTGTCCTACAGCACTTCCCCACAGGCTCCCCTGAAAAGAAGAGTCTGTCCCCTCCATCCAGAAGCAAGCAGCGGCCCTGGGCTTTCTGGGACACGAACACAAAGGCCTCATTAAAATGCATACGGCTGGCAGCATGTCCTGGGTGTAATTAGGACGTTGCCCAAGGACAGCGATCAAGGGGTGGAAGGAGACCACTGAATACACTGTAGATGTATCAGTGCCTTTGTACGCAAGCCAAGCTGTTTCAGCCCCATTTAAACAAAAACAAAATGGAAAGGGACCCGAGGAGGGAAGAGAGCCAAATGCAAAGGAACATGCACACTGAAGCAAACACTCCTCTGCAAAGGCACCACAAGCAGCCTAGCATGACAAGCAGATGGGGCAGCTGCTTTCTCCAACTGATTACAGGCAAACAATACGCCACCAAGCCCAATGAGCGAGGCAATGGGACACCGGTGGCCCCCGCCAATGAAACCAACAGGCTGAGAACATGAAGCGTTTCCAGAAAGGAGAGAAGGCCAGAAAAAACGGAACCCCTGGCAAGTGAACGCAGGAAGTCAGATTCCATGCAGTGCAGAAGGTAGTTACTAGACCACCAGGAGCTAAAGCAGGGATGGAGAACTTCTGGTGCTCCTCAGATGTTCTTGAGCTCCTCAACTCCCATTAGCCCCAGCTTCCACATCCAAGGATGAGGAACGATGGGATATCTAGTGAAGCTATATCTGGTGAGCCAGAGGTTCCCCATCCCTAGGAATAAAGGCTATTGGGTTCTAGGGAGCAAGGGAGCTCAGGGTAGTCAAAGCAGTTCCAACTGCGCCTCATTCCAGGAGGGAAAGTCTGAGCAATTATTCTACCACATAATTTGTGAGACTACTGGCAGAGAAACTCTGTGCGCCATCTGGGGGTGGCTCTTCCCACCTGCCTCATCCCATCTCCCAGACCCAGGAGCCTTCCTAAGGGAGCCTCAGCCAGAAGGAGGATTGCAAGTGGCCTCCCAGACCAGTTGGGTTTAGGTGCAGAATAAGAAAGTACATATTATGGTTGATTGGCCTATTTGTAAGCTTTTAACGTTCATTTTTTAACATAAATGTAAATTTTAAACAAGAAGTCTTAACGGTTGAATTGCCAATGGTGTTTCATTTTCTTTTCATTTGTATACCTTTCTATATGTATTACTGTCACAACAGCCTGCTTTATTTTTGTGAACTGTGAACTGACTACAAATGGAATCAAATCAGGTAGAACTTTCTGGAGGAAAGAGCTGTTCAGCAGTGGAACGGACTCCCTCCAAAGATAGTGGACTATCCTTCACTGGAGGTTTTTACGCAAAGGTTGGATGGCCATCTCTTATGGATGCTTTAGTTGAGATTCCTCAACCCAAAGGGTTGGGTTGGATGGCTCTCAGAGGCGCTTCCAGCTCTGCAGATTCTAAATGCATTCGTAGAATAGTTCGTAGATCAGCCAACTGACTATCAATGCAACATGGCCTTACCTGCTGCATTTTTTCCAGGTCAAGGCTGGGCCTTCCGACTTTGTCTCCATAACCTTGCCGGTGCCGCTTACAAGGCATCGCTTGCTCATAGCTGGCTCCGACGCTCGTGAAGATGAGAGGCCGGGACGTCGGGGTCCGTACCAAAGGCTGGAGTCTCTTGGGAGGGGAGGCACTGAAAAGCACTGGGCTAGGGGTGGCATGCAAGCCGTCCGCCGCTTCTGCCACCGGCCGGAACGACATGCCGCACAAGTTCTTCACCTCCTCGTCGCTTGAGGAGGTATTGCAGCTGTCGCCGCAGCAGGAGAGCCTGTTGACCTGGGACCACTTTCGCTTCTCAGCAGCAAATTCGCAGCTAATACGTTCCAGCTCCTCTTCAGAGCTGTGGCGGTCCAGGCCAGGAGGAAAATGGGCTCGTACTTTGCAGCACTGGTTTTCTTGGTTCTGCAGCTGATTGGTTGCCAGGGGGGTCAAGGTGCAATTCCGTCTTCTCTCTGCAGAAGTAGATTTTTTAAAAAGTGACTGAAGAGATCTCGGTCATGGCTGTCACATGATGGGAAACTGACCACGCCAGTATCCCTCCTTCCCATCAAATGACTACTTCACCAGGGACCCTGGAAGGGGAGGTGGGGAAAGATTATTTATTAATTGAATAAATAATAATAATAATGTCCACACACACCCCACTTTGGCCAGTCTCCAAGAACCCACTGGTGACTCTCCTGCAAAAGCAACAGCTGTTGAAATCAAGGCTCATTTGTGGAGAAGGGAAGGTCCAGCTGGTTTTCTAGGACCCAGCAACTTGCTCACTTTACCTTCAGAGCAGAGCTTTGCAGAGGCAGAAGAAAGTGAGCTGAGCACTAATACAATGAGAGAGAAGAGACAAGAGTTGCGGGTGTTAGTGAAGACACCAAGCCTTTTGAATACTGAGCTTCGACCATTCTGTAATTACGAACCTTTGTCTATTCCTTTGGGATCCCTTTTGAATATAATTTTTTAATTTAATATTGAGGTTCCCCAAGGCTCTCCACCCACCCACCCAATATACATCCAACAGACACATTCTTGTTGCCCCTGAACTTCACTACCCTTACCCATAACCAGGGTGCCTGTAGGGTCCTCATACATTGTTTGAGCTCCTATTTCCCACAGTACATTTAAAGAGCATGGCTGATTCTTGAAAACCACATGCATATCTAAAGTGGAGAGAGAGGTTGGGTAGAGGAAGAAGTCAAGTAGAAACTTAAACACAAGATGGTTAGCTATTTGTTTTATTTTAGAACTTACATCCTGCCTTCTTTTTACCAACTGAACTTGCAAAATAGCGTAACTTTTCAAGCAACCGCAACCATAAAGGAAACGGTATGAAAAGAATGGCAAATGAAAGGTTCAGTCAAATGCCATTTTGAACAGTAATGCAACATTCCCCAACTTGGCAGAAATGCATACGGCACAGAATTATTGTTAGAAGGAACTTGGCATTTTATATTTTTTACACGGTGCCAACAAGCGGTACCAGATGTTTTGCATCTACTGTGCATTTCCAACATACGGTGCTACAAGGACTATTCGTACAATGTATTTCCCCTACAAAGTGGCAAAGTACGTGGACTTATATTTCGTAACACATGGTTGGGCCATCAGTATCTCATGGCCAAGTATCTGCATCAAAGCCATTGCACTATGGGTTGTCGATCACAGACAATATATTCTTGCCACCTTTGATACCTTACAAAGGTAGGTAAAGGTAAAGGACCCCTGGACAGTTAAGTCCAGTCAAAGGCGACTGTAGGGATGTGGCGTTCATCTCGCTTTCAGGCTGAGGGAGCTGACATTTGTTCACAGACAGCTTTCCAAGTCATGTGGCCAGCATGACTAAACCACTTCTGGTGCAACAGAACACTGTGACAGAAACCAGAGCGCATGGAAACACTGTTTACCTTCCTGTCGCAGGGGTACCTGTTTATCTACTTGCACTGGCATGCTTTCAAACTGCTATATTGGCAGAAGCTGGGACAGAGCAACAGGAACTCACCCTATCGTGGGGATTCGAACCGCCAACCTTCTGGTCAGCAAGCCCAAGGGGCTGAGTGGTTTAGACCACAGCACCACCCCCGTCCCATACGATACCTTACAAAACACCACACTGTTCCCTGTACAGAAATTCAAGCTCCACATATGAAAGAGTAAAGCAAGCAGCTCATCAGCCAGAAGAATCTAAACTAGAGCGGCAATGCAGATAGAGGTCTACCATGGTGTGAAAATTCTGGCTTCAGGAGAGCAGATCCCAGCTGCTTTGCTCTTCCTTGCTCATTTTACTGCTGTACTGCACTGAACCAAGCCACAGTTTGGCTTGGTGTGTCGTCTGAACCCCCACTTAGGGTTTACCTCTCCCAGATGAAGCACGGGCTGTAAGCCATGGGACAAACCTTGGTCACCGCTCATGGTTAGCCTGGAGACAGCTAAACCGCAAGCCTTGTTTTGGATGACATGCTAAGCCGAACCATGGCTTCAGCTTAGCTCAGTGCAGCATTCCAGCAAAACAAACAAGGAGAACTGGAAGCTCCACCCAACTATGCAGTTCACTGGGTGGGCCATGGTCCAACCACCATCATACAGCCCAGGCTACCGCCATTGTTACAAAGATAAAAATGGAGTTACTGCCCTGAGAAATCTATGGGGGTAATAAACAAGCCACACTTTATGTGTTCTTGATGCATTTTGCAGTCTCAGAGCTACCAAACGTGGGAAAAGTTCTGTGTAGTAAGGGGTCAATGGAAGGAGGCGTATATGGTGGAAGTTACATATAACAGAGTTGATAGAGCATGCAGGCATTGCAGATCAATAGTGGATAAGCCCTGCACCCTACGTGCTTCCCAGTTTACCTTTGTCAATCTGAGCAAGTTCCTGGTTCTCTCCCTCAGAGTCATCACTGTCTTCCTCATCACTCGGGGGATAGGAGATCTAGGAGAGAAACACATTAGGAAATAGTTTAATATAAAACAGGCATGCACAGATGAGTGTAATTCTGACCCTGGTCCCTTTCGCATGCCTTCTGTCCTCTTTCAGTCGTTTTTTGGTGTGTTTTTAAGGCATGCATCACATTTATATTTGACTTTCTTTTTTCTTAGAACTTTATTAAGCAATTGAAATAGTTTGCAATGAAGCAAAACACAGAATCAGGTGGCAACTTGCTATTATTGGTTGGATATGACAATGGAACATGAAGTGGTTCAATCTAAAGTCAGACAAGGAAATAGGATTATTTTTCTTGAAGGAACAACGAGGGCTAGTAATAGCGGATATGTGTATGTAATCAACACCAAATTAAATCAATGAAAATGTCTCATCCTTAAGCATAACAGCTTTCAACCTGCTGTTCACAGTATTTCTTTATGCTCTTTAGCTTTGTTTTATTTTGATTATTAATAAAAAATAAAATAACTTTCAAGAAACACTCACCCACCCAAGCATTTTAAATGAATGTTCTATTTCTGCCACTGCTGCTTCAGTTTTGCAAGTCACTTTTATCTATTTTTTTATTCTTGTGCTGTTGTTTTTATTATGTCATGTCAGCAGCTTGGCGGGGGGTGGAATTTGAAGGACAAGATTTAACATTTGCTTGAACTAAATAATATCTATGCCATCTCCCTGGAGAGCCATGGGAACTGTATGACCTGGGGATAGCCAAGAATTCTATCACCTTCACCAGAATGAATCCCCCAAGAGTCTATAGACAGCCATAAAACAAATAAAACTGCCATAGTGTAATATAGATAAGCTCTTAGCTAAGCTGAATGATTACACCAGAACCCAGAGAATAGTGGTTTTCCAAACAGAGATGCTATTTCAAGAGCTCGGGTCCCCTTAGATCTCACATAATCTATGTTCGAAAACTGCTGCACTGGCCACACGTTCATTTCTGGGCCCAATTCAAGGTGCTCACGTTAATGTCTAAAGTCCAAAGTGACAAAGTCCCCAAATATCTGAAAGGCGGCCTTCTTCACTGCAGACCCTCTCAGGTGTTCAGTTCTATTGGGTGGATAAAAAATTAGTATTACTCTTATACAAAGGCACCCAGAACCTTTAAATAAACATTGCTCAAAGTAGAGAGTGTGCATGCAATTGTTTATATGTGGCCTAGTCAAAGAAAACCAATATATCAAGTGTGCAGACGTACACACTTTTGCACAGAAATGGGAAAGGGGAAAAAATAGGATGGAGGCTGCTTTCCAGAAGCACGCATGTGCTGGATCAGGGATATGCTACTACTGTTCACAGGATTCCCTGAGCTATCGGCTTTGTCTCAGCAGAAAGCTGCAGCTGTGTTTATTTAAGGAAGAAACTTGGACTGTAGCTGGAGGGCTTTGCTGCTGCAGCCTCGTTCACTCCTTGTCTCCGCTCAAGGCTGGAAAATTCCCAAGTTTCCTCCAATCACAATTTGGGGGTGCCATTTCCCCATAAAAGTGCATGCTGGAAAGCCTAGAGGAAAAAAAGGAGTTACAAGCCTAGGGAAGCCGAGTTAATTTAAATGTTTAGATCTGGGGTAGCCAAGATGGTACCCTCCAGATGTTACAGACAACAACTCCCATCAGCCCCAGGCAACACAGCCAATGATCAGGGATTATGGGAATTGTAGTCAACAACAGCTGTGAATCTCTGTGTGGCCCAGGCAGGGCCGGATTTAGGTTTGATAAGGCCCTTAGCTACTGAAGGTAATGGGGCCCTTTGTATGTCCAGCTGTCCTTTGTCAACAACAAATTGTCACTGTTTTTTGTGTTGAATATATGCTATATGGTAATTTATGGACCTAATAGGTATGTAAAGCCATTTGCACATAACAAAATATGTTTTTTATCATAGTAACTGTTGAACTGAAATACAATTAAGAAGTATATTAATAGTGAAATACAATTAAGTATATTAATAGTAAAATAATTATTAAGCTCTGACTATGTAAGTTTGATTTTATTTGTTTTTTATATTATATTTAGGAAATGTACATCCAGTGGTTTTTTTCCTTTAAATTTTTTTGGGGCCCCCAAGAGAGTGGGGCCCTAAGCTATAGCTTGTTTAGCTTATACAGTGGTACCTCAGGTTACATACGCTTCAGGTTACATACGCTTCAGGTTACATACGCTTCAGGTTACAGACTCCGCTAACCCAGAAATAGTGCTTCAGGATGAGAACAGAAATCGTGCTCCGGCGGCACGGCAGCAGCAGGAGGCCCCATTAGCTAAAGTGGTGCTTCAGGTTAAGAATAGTTTCTGGTTAAGTACAGACCTCCAGAACGAATTAAGTACTTAACCTGAGGTACCACTGTACATAAATCCAGCACTGGGCCCAGGGAACAGTGGGAAGTCGCTGAAAACCATTGGAAGAGCTGGCCTCTTGCCAAGGGAACATGCTGAGCACAAATATTTATTGAGCAGGTTAAGCTGGTGGTAAGGGTCCTAGGGAGTTCTTGTTTAAGATGCCAGCATCATTGTTTTCTCATGATCAGGCCTCCAATGTAATAAAAACAGCCCTAAGCTAACTATCTGGGGCAATTATATTGGCTCTATTTGTTGGGTAGGGCAATAAAGGGTTTTTTAATTTTCATATTAGTTTTCCGCTAACAAAGCTTGCATGTGTGGTCTAAACTGTGAATCAAGACTACCCATGTAGGATCTTTCGCGAGTTACGCTCAGATTGTGTGGATGGAGCATTGGCAGGTGGGGAACAGCAGGCTTTTGATTCTCATGTTGGGTAAAAAATTCCTGCATTGCTGGTGGTTGGACTATATGACCCCCACCTCTACCATTCTCTGATTCTCTTATTCTATACCCCCTACTTTACATAAGTTCCTACAGATTGAAAAGCAGAACACTAAATGTTTGATGCAGTTTGATGCATAGACAATTTCTACATATTGCCCAACAAGGACAATGTGCTCAAAGCACAACGGACTGTTAAAACAGTCAAATATATAAATAAAAGTTATAATCACTGCCGTTTAACACCAACCATTCAACAGTTAACGGTGTGTGAACTGGGCCTTGCCTCCAGTACTGTTTACAGGTAGTGCAATACTAAAATTAGTCCCCAAGTTCGTCCAACAGAAGCAAAGAGGGAGGAAGTATTCCTCTTAAGGGAACTCATTTTCTAAACAGGAGGGGGTGAGAATAAACTAGAACACAGATGAAGAGCAAAAGGAAGAGGGTGAGAGAAATAGCCTCTCTGGGAGATGGGAGGATGGAAACAAATCCTGTTGAGCAAGACTTTCATCAGCTGAGTGAGAAAACTGCCTAGAGCCCAGCGGAAAGATCAAGCAACAACTGCACAACCGACCACAAGAAAATTCTGAATACTCTTGCTTCTCCAAACAATACTCCCAAGCATCCTGTTCAACTCTGCAAATGAACCAAGTAACAAACTGCACAGGAAGGATTGTTCAGCAGACTGGGAATTGGGAGAGACAGGGAGCCAAACTGCTGTAAATGGTTAGAAAGGTCACAGTTTACAGCAAGGGAGTCTCCAAGCTAAGATGTTAACCTTGAAAGTGCTGCCTTCCAAGCTTGTGTCCAATTAGTATGTGGGCAGGAGCCAGTGTTCCAATCATTCCTGACAAAACTATTCCAAATTACAAAGTAGGCCAGGGGTAGCTGACATGGTGCTCTCTGGATGTTGCTGGGATTCTGACTCCCATCAGCCCCAGCCAGGATGGTCACTAATCAGGAATGATGGGTGTTGTGGTCAAAGGACATCTAGAAGGCACCATGTTTGCTATTCAAGTCATGGAACATGCACCTAGTTTCCCACAGGTGGCAGTCATGGCCACCAACTTGGATGGCTTCAAAAGAAGAATGGACAGATTAATTAGAGAAGGCTATCAATGGCTACTAGCAGAAATGTTTCTGAATACCAGTTGCTGGAAACTACAGGAAGGCGAGTGTTCATTCTCTGGTCCTGCTTGCAAATTTTCCTACAGGGATCTGGTTGGTCACAGATAGAATAGGATGCTGGACTAGATGGGCCACTGGTCTGATCCAGCACTGCTCCTCTTATGGTCATAGACCGTAATTCTCAACTGCTGTCATGGTGAGTTTTATCTGGGTCACCGTGCCAGTGGTGGAAGACACCCTTTCTGAAGGACTGCCATACATGCATATGGCCAGCAGAGCCAATTGAGAAGAAAGTGAAGAGAGATCAGACAAAGGAAGAAAAAGTAAAGGAAGATAAAGGAGTGTGTGTTTTTTAATGGGTACAGACCAAGAAAACAGATCGTCATGGGAAGTTCTTTTCTGTCACATAGTCAACTGTGGATTGGCATTGGATTTCTTCCTTCTTTGTTCACTCTCATAATTGTAAATTTGCTGTTACTTGCCTAAATCCATAGCATGGAGAAATATTGTTAAACATCTGTGTTATGTACTGAGTTGAATAGGATCCAAACTGCAGCAGTCTGATTGGTCCTAGAACAATAGGATCCAAAATGCAGCAGTCTGATTGGTCCTAGAACAACAGGATTCAGAATGCAGCAGTCTAATTGGTCCTAGAACAATGCAGCAGTATGATTGGTTGGCAGGAACCACCCAATCATGCTCCAGATAGAAGTGAATCCACAACCTGATTGGCTTACAGTAGAATTCCGGAATTAGCCAATCACGTGCAGCCCATTGTGTAAATAATGTATATAAAGCAGATACTTTGAGGGGACTTTCATTCATTCCTCCTCACCACTATGAGCTGAATAAAGAGCATGAAATCACTTTGCGACTCTGAGTATATTTCAATCTGTAAGACTAAAGAGCGGCTGCCAATCTGTCACTCCCCGTCTACAACAGAGGTCTGTGCCCATTTGGTTTGGGTGGATTTAACCAACCCACTTCTGCATTTACACAGGGTGGTTTTAGCAACGGTTGCATATATGATCCCTATCTTGAGAAAAACAAGCAGTTGAACTGCACCAAGTACAATTAGACAACAGGCAGCACCCAGAACTCCTGCTTCAGAACTCAGAGGTGGAACCATGCAAGGTTAAAAAAAGGAGGAGGTCCACTAGCTCAATAATGTTTGCTCACTGGTCCTCAACCCAACAGTTGACACAAGGGCAGAGGAACATTCTTCCTTCTTGCAAGGATAAGGAAACAGGCTGTCTTCTGGCGCAGTCATGTCACGGATAAGAGTTTACAACTACCCTGGCAACTCTCCCTCCACCTCTTCTCAGGAAAACTCCCTTTACACTGTGATAAACCAGAGCCCTAGGATCAAGGAATCAAACATCCACACCTTAAGATAGCATAGAGATCCAATTATGCCACTTAAGTTCACACAAGGATAACACGGCTGCAGAATGACCTCGCAGGAATGGAGGCACTGATTAATGGGGGTGCTATCTTTAATAAAACCTAAGCCCTCTTAAGGGGTTGCAAGGAGAGCAATGGGATTATGTGAGGGGGGCGGTCTGGATGAGTGCTAGCTCAACCCCTTCCACCACCAACTTCGTCACCTTCCAACTTGTGAACACGAGTGTCTGAGATGGAGAGTGTTCTGTATCCATGGAAAACTGGGGAGCTAAAACATGCAGGGAGCCACTACAGACACAGAAGGCTCTCTACTGTGATGGAAAGTGGAAAAGCAGTAAGAACATTTATACATATTTCCCCCCTCAAATGCTCTCATTGTCCTCTTTACAACTCTTGGAAGAGGGCTGTATCCTGATGTTTTTAGACTACAGCTCCCAGGGCCAACAGAAATTGTAGTCCAAAACATCTGGACCGTACCAAGTTGGAGAAAGGTAACCTAGATGATTCTAACAACCATTCTGACTGAAAGGGAGCGGCTTTCCTAACACCACCAGCAAGTTTATGGCCAAGTGGAGATTTGGACTACACTTCCAAGCTCACATTTTGCACTTTTGGGGATCACACAGTCACCCATGCTTTCTGTTTAAGCAGTTGTCTATTAGGACAGAGAAAGAACGAATATACAAAGACAAACATGACTTCAAAACACAAATGCGGGGAAACTTACCTATGGAATTAACTGCTCCAGGATGAGGTTTTGGCCAAGTATATAAACATGAATTTCTAAAGAGAGATTTTGAACCATGCATACTTTTTCATGGCTCATGCTTATTATATTTTTCTTTCCCCTATGCGAATACAAGCATGTATTCCCAGGTGTTAGGAGAGGAGGATGGTGGCAGCCCTCAAGGTTTCAGATTACAAGAGATTATTCCTCAGAGACACACTTCTCTCTCCGGGTATTGGTTTATAGAAAGTTAGTCAAGACATGTTCCTAATATCTATTACTTTTTTGCAGGTTACATCTTGGAGATATCCAAGACCAGATTGAGGCTGGACAACCAGAAGCGTGTAACAGGCATCAAATAGTCTATCCTCTTGCATAGCAATCAGGTAGCAATACAGCTGCCCCCATGCAAATATACCAGTTGATTCAAGGGTCCTGTCCTTATTTTAAAATCTCACGTTGTCAAAAGTTCAGTGTTTCTATAGTTGGGTGTGAAGGAGCACCGATCTTTCTACTCCTCTGGCCATTCTGGCGACTGCAAACCATTCATTTTTGCAGCTGCTATCAACAAAGCCTGCAACATCATAGCCTAGGCTATGATTCTTTGTGTGATTGCTCAGGTGAGAGACAACCCTATAAACTGACTTTTGTGTACAACTGTAGTTACTTTGGGGCACACCTCCATGAAATAGACCCAATAGAGATTATAGATTCTGTCCCATAACATATATTTTTTCAAAATTGTATTTAGGTAAAGGTAAAGGGATCCCTGACCATTAGGTCCAGTCGTGGCCAACTCTGGGGTTGCAGTGCTCATCTCGCTTTATTGGCCAAGGGAGCTGGCGTACAGCTTCCGGGTCATGTGGCCAGCGTGACTCAGCCACTTCTGGCGAACCAGAGCAGTGCACAGAAATGCCGTTTACCTTCCCGCCGGAGCGGTACCTATTTATCTACTTGCACTAGCGTGCTTTTGAACTGCTAGGTTGGCACGAGCAGGGACCGAGCAACGGGAGCTCACCCCGTTGCGGAGATTCGAACCGCCAACCTTCTGATCAGCAAGTCCTAGGCTCTGTGGTTTAACCCACAGCGCCACCCGTGTTCCTTTTGTAAATACAAAATTGTATTTACTACCAGCTAAATCCTTTATCCAAGTGAAACAAAACATATTAATATGCCAGCTAGCCCACAACCACTGGATATGAAGAGACATTTGAACATCAGGCACCATTTTGTTCTCAGAAGTGCATACTTTACTGTGTCCCTTTATGAAGTGGGCAGCATCATTATTTCCATCTGCTTTTTTTTTTTAAGCAAAAGTTACAAATTTCTAGTTGCCTATGTTCAGAAGTTTGTTTCAACACTCCAAGCCCGACTCAGTGCTATTAACTAGAAGCTATACTAAGAACCAGAGGCCTACTGTATATATTCCCCATTCCAAGACATATTTATCTGGAGGGGGAGGGGAGAGGGGAAAGAAATCAAGTTTGAACAAATGCTGAACTTTTTCTGTTCCCCAGCTTGTGCAAGTCTCCAACGCCTTTTCCTCTCCAACTGTGTTCTTTTGAGAAGAAGCAGTGGCAGCTTTACAAGAACTTGTGCTAATTCCTTCAGGACAGCTGCTTAAAACCAAAGCTTGGCACAAAAACTTGACAGACGCTGGCTCTAGAAAGCCAATCTAGACCCACACATGCAAGGTATAAGGGCGGACCTCAACACTGCTCAGTATAGGCAGTCACAATTCCACCCCCAGCTAGCTCCCACCCAGACACTGCTCTCCTAGAGACGCCTGGAAACCCTTTGACTTCAGATAGCATGGCCAAGTTCACTGTGGAGTCTGGAAGAGCTTCCCCAACATGGTGCCCTCCAAATGCTTTGGACTACATCTCTCAGCACACCTATGCTGGCTGAGGGTTATCTAGAGCACCCACAGCTCACTGGGCCTTAATCAAATGTTATATTGGGGGGGAGGCAGGAAAAGAAGTCTGGCCCTGCAGACAGGCCACATTTGAAGCACATGGTCTCCTCCAAAGATTCCTGGGAACTGTCATTTGTTAAGGGTGCTGGGAGTTGTGGCTCTGTGAAGACTAAACTACACTTTCCAGGAATCTTTGGGAGAAGCTTTTGAATAAATGTGCGTGCAATATGGTGCAGATGTGTCTGGAGTCCCTAGCCTTTATGAACTCACTGACAATATCCAGACAGACACAGGCAAGTCCATAAAAATGAATTAACTTGCTCAGTAATCTGCCAACAAAGAGAGCCGTAAGGGGCAGGTAAGAGGTACGGCCTGATCCACTCACGTTTACTCAGAAGTCAGTCCTGCAGAGCTCAGAGGCTTACTCTTAAGCAAGCACCAGACTGTAACTATACCATGCAATCCTAAACATGTTTAGCCACAAGTAATTTCCACTGTTTGTTTTATTTTATTTTATGGGGGGGGGGGGAGATATACTTACTCTCAAGTAATTTGGAAATATCTACAGACTTAGAACAGACAAGTACAGTCAAAACCCGTGCCTAGCAAAGCACTTCACCAACTTCTAAATATTGCCCAAATGTTTTATTTATTTTCAGAGCGGCACAGCCCCCTCTCTTTGCAGGAGCCACTCTCGAGATCAAAAAATGTCTCCCTTCAAATATAATCCGCAACACACAAAATATGCACTTTGCTAATAACCCTTGCATCCACACAGTGCACTTTTCGAGGCTCGAGGCTGTCCAAGGAAGTGCAAGGCCTCCTCCATCCCTTGAGCTGCTGTGTGGACAAAGACAACCTGGCCCTCGAAAGGAACAGGCCTTATTCAAGCGCATACGCAGCTCTCACGGTTAACTCGTGCCACGAGCAGGATGCGAAAGGCAGATAACGAGCCCTGGCCATGCTAACAAGAACAGTATAGAGTTTCTGCAATCAGTACAGCTCAACGCAAAAATAAAAAATGAGACGTGCTTTGGAATATACAACCAACTCCGCGCTCCCTTTTTTTTTTTACCTTTAACTGGAAGGGCTGGATCTCATTCAAACTCTGATTCCTGAGCTTCTTCGTGAGGATCTTGAGCATGGTACAAATCCAGAGAGCCGGGAAAGAGTTAAGCACCCACGCACATCTAGATCGGCTGCCGCTGCCGCCGCCGCCGCCACGCTTAGAGGCACTCAGAATAGCTTGCATTCAGCAACTTCAGGTACACCCAACTTGTAGTTTGGAGAGGGCAGGATCTGCAGAGAGAAATTCGATCTTGCGCCCCTTTCCTTCCAGACAACAGGCAGGATGGGTCTGGGTTTTGTTGAAGAAAAATACTGCCACGCACAGTCTTTGGTTTTTGGTCCCCCCCCCTTCCTTTTCTTCCAAAACGTATAGATATTACACAGCAAATCCTTTCATTTGCTTCGCAGACTGCGGAGGCAACCGAGGTAAAGGAGCAGCTATAGCGGGGCTTCTGCTCAGCAAGAGAGGCAAAAGGGGAGCAGCAGCAAGAACTTAGGAAGAGATGAGCAAGCTCTCCCAGCAGAGGCCCGGGGCTCCGCTCATGGCAGCGGGTCTAACGTGCCATGCCGCTCACTCGCTTCCCCGTCGCCGGCAGCCCCTGGGCAGCATCGCTCCTCCTGGGCACACGCGCTCTTCTTCCCTCGCGCACCCGGCCCGGCTCCTTTCTCTCTCTTCCACGCTCCCTCTCGCTGCCTTCGAGCTGCGTGAAACTTGTAACAAACAGAACACGCATCCGAGGCGCCCATTGGCCCGGCCGAGGAGGACTGTGTCAATTTCAGTGGGCGGGGCTTCCATTTAAAGGGAAACCAAAAGGAAGAAGGGGAAAGTCGCCTTTCACGCGCGCGCGCACCCTCCCTCCGGGCTGGGAGATCCAGAGGCGGCGGATGCCGTAAGCCCTTGCAGCTGCAGATCCTTAAATCCGAAAGGAGCATGTTTAACTAAATGAAAGGATAGGTACATTTCTACGTAACTACATACAGTATGTGTGCACGTGCTCCTTTTAAAGGCAGAGACAGACTACCATTCTGATCGGAGAACATTGCCACACTCAGTTTGCTTATTCAGGAGACTGGGGCAACCAGCAAGGGGGGGGGGGGGAGAAAATCCTCAAAAATTATTGGAAAGCATTAAAAATACTCAATTAACTGAGGTTCTGCCCCCTCTAGCCAAAGCCTGCCCCCCATAATATCCTCTTTGGGAGGGATTTTTACCTGTTATCTCCCCCCAAAAGCTCAACAACTTTTGGGGTCGATCTCTCTCAAAAAAAGGCTCCCCCTAACAAAACTCCTGGCCATGCCCAAGGGAACCAGCAGCAACTAGGAAGACAGAGCAAGGACATTCTCCTTCCTTGAAAAAGGGTTCCACTTGTACCCTTACAGATTGCAAAAGCACAGCAGGCTTAAAAGGGGAAGTTACACCAGAGAAATGTTTGTCATACACAGCCTTGTGGTGTGTCCTCTTGAAGAACCCAGGCAGGAGCGCCAAAGGAAATTTGCTAATGACCTTGCAAATACTCCCTGAGCACCGTTATTATCTGATGGGTGCTGGGCACTCTGTGCAGAGCAGAGCGGAGCAGCTCCATGCTATAATTATTATCTCACGGCTGCTCATCTGTCGAGTTCCAGCAGGTCCTGAGCTGAGGTCCTTTCAGCTGAAGAACAAAGGCACTTACCACTGAACTGCTCCAGGAAACCTTGCAGCATATGAAGATCATTCTGTTGTTCAGATCTGGTCTGAAGGCACACAAGGCCATTGCCTTGCTGGAGCTGTACTAACCTGGGTCTGGGTAGTGCCTGGATTGGATAACTGTCTGGGAACCATCCTACCTTGGATTCCATGAAGGATGAAAGGTGGGAAATAATTGTAAGAAAATAAATAAAGGGCACTGTTGTTCAGGCCTTGGCTGTTTATGAGATTCACATGCTGTTCCTGTTTTTGGAAACACTCCCATGAGCTAGTAGATGGATTGGTATTTCATTTCAAGCGAATATTTTGCATTGGCTTTTCAGTTGTTATTACTCACCCTGAGACTTCTGGAGCAGGATGTCTACACACACCCCAATAAATAGAAAATCAAAGGCCTAAATTAAATACTTAGATTTTATTATGCCTTACAAGTAGGACCATGTCAATGTAAAGTTCATCCAAATATCTGAATATACAATGCTAGATGTTCCCAAAGGCTAATCAGATTTAACCAAATAGCTAACTGTATAAACATTTGAAATTGTAGTGAACTAAGAATCAAAATACAGGCATATGCTATCAACAGTGTACGTTTCCAAACTTAAAAATGGAAAGCGCAGTGCTGGTGGTCAACAAAAGAGGTTTAAAGACTCAAGGCAAATCTAAAAAAAAATGTAGTATAAACACAGACAACTGGGAAACACTGGCCTGTGAGTGCTTCAGTTGGAGAACAGCCTTTACCAAAGGTGTCATGGGCTTTGAAGATGCTCGAACTCAGGACGAAAGGGAGAAACATGCTAAGAGGAAGACATGCTTGGCAAACCATCGTCATAATCACCCCCTGCCCAGAAACCTATGACCCCACTGTGGAAGGACATGTGGATCCAGAATTGGCCTCCACAGTCACTTATGGAGTCACTGTTAAAACCATGTTTCTGGAAGACAATCTTACTTGGCTATGAGTGATCACCAAAGAGAGAAGAGAAAGAGAGAAGAGATTATTTTCATGCCATTTTTTTTATGAAGAAGGAAAAAAGCCTCTCGCCAAAGAACAGAGAGGGGTATTTAAAATCCAGCTACTAACACTTAACATCCAATCCCTGGCACTTCTAACTAAGCCAGTCACCATGCCACTACAAGAAGCCTCCTAGCCTCGTAACAGATGTGTATCAGGAGGTGGTGATTCAAGAAGTGCAGCTTCTTGAACTGTATCCATGCATCACAAAGAACTTGATCATTATGCAAGCCTAATGGAGGGTGGGTGGGAAGAGAAGAGCTCTCATGGAAGAAGGAAAGTCTTCTCTGGGGACATCTCCTCCAGCTGTTGTTGGACTCGAGCTCCCATTATCCCTGGCCATCGGCCATGCTGGCTGGGTCTGATGGGAGTCTGATGGACTCTAACAGTGTTGAAGGGATACAATGCTATAGCCACCCATGGTCAGTTCATTCCATTTCATCACTCCTAATTGATTTCCCCTCCCAATCCCAAGGGAAACAAAGGAATTGTGAAATTGAACAAGCATCTTCTGGTCTAGAAAGTTTCACTCCTAAGGGAAGCGGCATTCTTTGTTGCCATTTTAAGGACAAAAAGGGTAAGAGGATCTGTTGATGTATATGAATATATGCAAGCATTTTCATTTGAGAGGGAAAGTAAAATTCAAATCAACTCCCAGCTCTGTTGTGTTGAGGGTTCTTTCCCTCTTTTTTGACTAATCCTTCTCCTCTGCCTTTAGGAAGAGCAAGACAACAACATACATTTAAAAAAGTGATGGGGGGAATTTCTCGATGCTAGAGGGCTCAAGCACCATCTAGCGGCATCATCCATTCATTACATTGTCAATGAACATTGTTCCAAGCGTCAAAATCGGAACCCGTCATGAGCAACAAACCCCACATAAAATACGAATTCAGCTGTGTCTGTGTAACACACAAAAATAAATAAATACATGTTTAAGATAATTAAGACAGGCAAGAAACTAGAGATGTGTTTGGCCCTAACTGTGGTTTCCAAAAGCTTTTCAAAAAAGTGAAGTAGCAGTTAGGGTGGAGAGTGAATTTGGGCCTGAATTTAACTGTTAATCATCCTGTATATGTTCAAGAGGAGAAGCATGGGGTTGTAATAGTATTACTCATAATAGTAAAAAACAAAACAAAACAAAAAACTCTAAGCAGTTTATGCAAAAACAATAAAAATAAAACCACCTTCAATTTTTAAAGAAGTTGTTTTGTCCCCAGCCTCCTCCCTGCCGTGGGCTACAAAGGCCACACTGAGAGCAAGGACCACCCCTTGGGCACCTTTGCCTCAGTCTCCTTCTCCTGGGGCTCTTCCCTCCCCTCCCCCCCCCGCTACTAACTGCCTCTTTCCCCTCAGCCACCATGTCCTTTTGTGACATCAGAGGCAGTTTGTAGCTAATGGCAACAGCGCAACCTTCCTAGACCTGACAGTTGTGGGGGCACCACAGCAGTGAGTTGCTTATTATTAAAAAATATTTACAGTTCAACCTTCATATGTACGGATACCTATTTGTGCCCCAACTTCAACCCACAAATATCTTCCGTCAACTGGCTTCTGAAGGTAAATTTCAACAAGCGTAAATCTACAAACATCCACCTGCTTCAGTCTCATGGCATTTCACTGATATCTGAATGAGAACCCATTGGCTTCCACCCACTAACATCTTCCAGGTTCAGTTAGGTCCATCACTAGATGTGAGCCAGTTTCTGACCGTGGATGCCAGCCACCTTCAAGCCACAACTCTGCAAGTGAACTTGCCTTATTATTGTTCCACAGCATCCCACAGCCAGACGATTGCTTCTGTCCATCTGCTGATTCCCCTTCTCCAAGTGGCAGAGTGAGCGATACTTCCTGTCCCAGCTGTTGCCCACTGTGGTCTGTTGGGAAAGAGGAAAGGGCTCACTTTTATACCCACCCAGTTGCGATGTGCATTTGTGATGTCACAGGTAGTCCGTAGCCAATGGCAACCACTGGGGATGCACCACCAGAATCTCCTCAGGCCTCACAATGGTAGGTGCACCTCAGCAGTGATTTATTTGCATGCTTGTTTATTATTAGAATCATAGAACTGTAGGGACCCTAGGAGTCATCTACAGGAATCATAGCTGAAGAATCTCTGACAGAGGGCCACCCAACCTCTGTTTAGAAACCTCCATTGAGGAGAGTCAGCCACCTTCCAAGGCAGCTCATTCCACAGTCGAACAGCTCTCACTGTCAGAAAATTCCTCCTAGTTTTTAGTCAGAATCTCCTTTCTTGTAATTGTCATCCATTGGCCCAGGTCCACAACAACTCTCTTCCTCTCCCGTGTGACAACATTAGCTGGAAAGGAAAGGGGGGAACCTGGTCTCTTCCTGTTCCCAACATCCGTGGAGGCAGTGTTGCAACCCATCCTGTATAATACAGGATCGTCCTATATTTCAGTGTAAAATGCTACATCCTGTATTGATTCATTGCAGGACACAGTTTGCCCCCTATTTCTGTATTCTGCTGCGCACTCTTTCTCTCGGCCAAGTAGGGGATCCTTTCCTCATCCTGCCCCTGAGGAGGACCGAATCAGGGCAAGGCTTTCATGATGTTGCTTCCAGTTCCCTGCAGTTTTGGCTGAATTAAGGCAGCCATCTGCAGAGCGGCAGCCTGTGAGCTCTGGGCCCCATCCTTCAGAGAGCAACAGGCTCTGAGGCTCTAGAAGCAAGCCGCTTTGTGTCAGCGTAGCCCAGAAGCCCCATTTCTGAACAAAGTTACGATATTTGATGTGATATGATAAAGCATGACATTTGAGAGAGGAGGGTGGGGGGTGAAATAGTTCTCCACAAGGATTGCTCTCCACCTAATATTTTCTCTCTCTTTCAGAAATTTAACAAAGCTCATTCCCTCATCAGAATATGCCCTTCCCCATTTATTATTTGCTGTACAAGTGCATATACAGTGGTACCTCGGGTTAAGTACTTAATTTGTTCTGGAGCTCTGTACTTAACCTGAAACTGTTCTTAACCTGAAGCACCACTTTAGCTAATGGGGCCTCCTGCTGCTGCCTCGCCGCCGGAGCACGATTTCTGTTCTCATCCTGAAGCAAAGTTCTTAACCTGAAGCACTATTTCTGGGTGAGCGGAGTCTGTAACCTGAAGTGTCAGTAACCCGAGGTACCACTGTATGTGAAAGGGTACATGAAATGTCACGTATTTAAGCTCTGTGTAGCAAAGCACAGACAGATTTACAAATTCATGTGTGTGTGTGTGGCAAATTCCAGAGGGGCCACCCTGTTAGGCTGCAATAGATTGTAATGCATTGCTTTGTCTGCACCAGGTGAAAAAAATCCACCAGTGCACCCCCCCTCCATATTTTGCCAAACTATGGTAGCAACTCTAAGTGGAAGCTGCTCCACCTCTGGCTTCTTGGCTTCTTACTTAGAACTCCAAGGGGCGGCAGCACCGACTGACAGCTTCCTCCTCTTTAGTTTCAGTTTTGCAGAACACAGCAGGGAGGAGGATGGTCGGGATAGAAGCAGAAGGAGGTGGTTCTGCCTGTCATTGGCTCAGGTGGCACCTACCCTTGGTTCCCCTGCCTTCTGCCCTCTGGAATACCTCCTCTAAAAGTGTAGGCCATAGTTGAAGGACCTGCAAGAGAAGGAAACCACAGGAGCAAAATGCATATGTTTTTATGCTGGAAAGCTCTCCAGCCAGGTAAATTGCAAACGTGGAAAGGCAACCCAAACATAAGCCGCCTGTGGTATAGTTCGAGTTTCTGTTATGAGAAGGGCTGAACGGCAAGGGGCAGCATAAGACCTTCACACTCACTCCTAATTTATGAAATGCGTAATTGTCACCAGAGGGCAGCAAAGGAGCATTAATGCTTGCTGATGTGCAGCCAGTAGATGTGTTACAAGAGAAAAGGAGCTGAAGAGGGCATGGAGGGCATTCAGAACTGATTTCTTCTGCAAGGTGATGTTACCTGTTGCAGAGCTGGAAGCAGGAGTGGAGTAGTCTGCCTCAGAAGGTGGTAGACTCTCCCCTGTTGCAGTTGTGTAAGCAGAGGCTAGATGACTACATGTCGGAGATGCTGTAGCAGTGAACTTCCTACATGGACAGGGTTGAACTAGATGGCGTTTGAGGTTCCTTCCAACTCTATGATCCTAAAATACCTATTTGCAGCAGGGTTGACTCACCTGTGGCCTGCGAAATGTGATTGGACTTCAAAACCCATCAGCCCTGGCCCCTAGTCAGGGATGATGGGAGTTGAAGTTCCAGCAACATTGGGTGAGAGAGACACACACACAGGTGAGCCACTCCTGCCCTACGAGGTCAAAGTTCTTTCAGCGTCTTTCAATGCACCCTATTTTTTTTTTTTTAATGTTCATATTAAACATTAGGTAGAAAAGGCTTGAATTATCCAAAAGCATAGCTGCCTGAGTTCTCTCCATGAAGCTTAAAAGAAGTTACAGAGCTTCCTTTTACTGAGGACCCCCCCCCCAAGTGGTGGCTGGTGTGCATTGCAAAAAGGCATAGCAAAAGGTAGGAGGACCAACACTAGGTGGAACCAGAGCCAATAACAGGCAGAGTCAAGCAATTCTGTCTCCCAGCCAGCTCCCTGTTGAGTTCTATGAGGGCAAAACTGACACCAAGGAAGAGGACGCAGACAAGCAGTGCCACCCCCTGAACTGGCTGCTTGTAAAAAAAAGAAGACAGGCAGGTTAGAGCTGGCTGAGAGCAAACTGAGGCTGAGTGGGCAATGCTCCATTTGCCCTAATAAACCAGCCTACACTGGGCTCTCCAGACTGGGTTTTATGTTTGGCTTTCTGTAGGCGTTTCCTGCAAAAAGTCATTAGTGGTGGATTGATACTGGACTGTCCGCACATCGTTCTGTTTTATTAGTTGTTCTGCGATGCCTCACTAGTGTTCCCGTCCAGAGAGGCACTATTCTGCTGCAGCACAACGAAAGCAGGATGAAAAATATACTGGGACGTTCATGGTGCAGAAAGTTACAGGGGAATGTTTCGGCTCCGGAACACTTGAAGGCACAAACAGTTATCAAAAGTGAGACTCCATATAACTGCCCCGATACCCTCATGAGGAAATCATCAGGAATGCACAATAAAAAAGTTGTTTGGGAGGGACCCTGAGTCAGACCAGGGGCCATTTAGCTAACTCGCTGCTATCTATCCTGACTGGCAGCAGATCTCCCCAGGTAATGTTCTTTTCCTAGCCCTTCCACCCAAAAGGCTTTTGCTGGCAACGTCAGAGATTGAACTTGGCCTTTCAAACATATGCTCTGCCACTGAGTCATCACCTCCTCTGGGATTATTCCTAACCTTTTCTGGGTTCACCCTGTCAGCTTATCAACTGATACGCCACACGTGAGCTTACCTGCGAGGGGATTGCTTGGGTGCACGTACCCATGCTCTGGTAACCATCCATTTAGACCAGGAGGGGGGATTTCTCTCTCCCCCCCCCCGATGTTGCTGAACTCCCATGAGCCCTAGCAAGCATGCCAATAGCCATGGAGGATGGGAGTTGTAGTTCAGCAACATCAGGAGGGCCAAGATTCTCCACACCTGATTTAAAAGTACGTATTGAAAAATGTGTTGCCATTAAAAAAGACCCAGATGCTACCATTGATCCAGAACAGGGCTGCAAGGTTATTAACCTGGGCAGTTTGATCATATGGTGCCTGTGTTTTGTCAGTTGCACTGGCTCCATGCCGAATTCTGGTCCCAATTTAAAGTGCTGGGTTAAGCCCTTAAAGATCTCAATGGCTTGGGACCAAGTGGCCTGAAATACTGTTTACCTCTATATTCACTTACCTGGAACTTAAGTTCCTTTCCAGAAGACCTGCTTCAGTGCCTGCACCCAATGGAGGCGGGTCACCGCTAGGGAGAGGGCCTTTTCAGTAGTGGCACCCCGGTTGGGAACAGCCTTCCCTGGGAGGCTGGCTTGGTGCCATCTCTGTGGTCTTTGAGACCTTTCTGTTCATCCAGGCCTTTTAAATAACTTATAGCCAGAGCCACTCAGTGTATCTTGTGGAAGGTTGTCAGTACTGTCTATGACACTGACTGGCAGTGTCTCTCTCTCTTTCGGGCAGAGAGTCTTTCCCAGCCCTACCTGGAGATGCCAGATGGGGACTGAAGCTGGGACCTTCTGCATGCCAAGCAGATGCTCTAGTACTAGGCTAGGTCCCTGCCCTGTGTGTGCTGACTTCGGAGTCAACATGCATCAGACTGAGCGGTAAAACAGCCCTCACTTAGCGCAATGACCTCTTGCAGGGCTGATCTTGGGGAACAAGAAGTTTTAAAAATGTGGCATACTGAATCCGTTGTCTGTTGAGCAAAAGGTGAGCTTACATCTATATAGAAAGGGAAAGGTGTAATGTTGCTTTATCTGTCCTTGCTTTAGGACAATGGAAGCAGAGAGAGGGTGGAGAGGCTGGTGGGGTTCTGACAAGTGTTGATCTCTGAGCTAACCAAGCCGAAGAGCCACCGCAATGGTACCCTGCTGTGCAAACTGCTGCTTATAGGAGACGTTGTCAATTCAATCTCCTGCCAAGTGTTACCTGATTTAAAGGGAGAGTCGGTGGAAGCACCCGAGGAGCCTTTGGTGCAGAAAGAGATTGATTATGGAATAAAATTATAACATTACAGCTCTGAGCATGTCTTCATACCCAATCTGGAGAAGATGATTGCATCCCAATCAGTTTATGGCTACCAGTTTTCAACAACCCTCCCCCCCCATCTCCACCCCCCACTTTAGCTTTTCTCTGAAAATCTTCGAGGAGGAATGAGTTGGTCCAACATTTTTCTTTGGAGGTTTTTAAAACCTGTCTTTGCTTTCCACCATGGACAGCTTGACGGTTGCATTTGTGCAAAGCGAGGAAAAGGACAAAAAGCAGTTGCAAGTTAAGGGTACAGTGGTACCTCTAGTTATGAACTTAATTCGTTCCGGAGGTCTGTTCTTAACCTGAAACTGTTCGTAACTAGAGGCGTGCTTTCGCTAACGGGGCCTCTTGCTGCTGCTGCACCGCCAGCACACAATTTCCGTTCTCATCCTGGGGTAAAGTTCTCAACTCGAGGTAACTCTTCCAGGTTAGTGGAGTTTGTAACCTGAAGCATTTGTAACCTGAGGCGTTTGTAACTCAAGGTACCACTGTAATGGTGGCACTTAATTCTTTGGGCTTGGTGGGTGGGTGCTGGATGTAAGAAACTGTGTGTATTCTGAGTTGGTAAGACTTGAGCCCACAGCAAATCCTGCCGTAGTACTTTGGGATGCCAGGCAAAGGAATTCTCCAAGGAGCTCAAGGGGGTGTACATGGTTCTTCCTCACCTCCTTTCATCCCCACAACAACCCTGTGAGGTAGGTTAGCCCAAGGTCACCCAGTCAGCTTAGTGGCAGAGTAGGGATTTGAACCGTGGTTTCCCAGGTCTACAGCTCAGTATTCTAAGCACTACACCACACAAATGCTGGCTCCCTCGGCCTGAAAGCGAGATGAGCACCGCAACCCCATAGTCACCTTTGACAGGACTTTACCGTCCAGGGGTCCTTTACCTTTACTTCTTTCTTTTTTTTACAACACACTCTAAAGGACAGAAAGAGTTTGTTCCAGGAACCCCCGGCAAAGAAACCCATGACATCAGTTACTTCAGAAGTCTTGCACAACAAAGCTGCTTCCCCAGAAGTTCAGACTTCCTGCAGTAAGAAAAGTGATGAGGAAATGCTCTGGGCAGTGCAGGACAACACCTGCTTAACACAAGTAGTCTAACTTTTCCGCAAACAAATCAGAATGAATGCTCAATAAGTCATCTGAAAGTGACCTTAGTATCACATTAAGGAATGTCTCAGTGGGAGTCAAGCTGTGAAGCACATCTTGTCTCCTTGGTCTGATCTGTCATTTGATGGCACACTTGAATACACACAAAGTGGACAGACAAACAGAGGTTTGCAGCCGGGGGGGGGCAATTTCAGGTGTGGAAGGGCGAGATTCAGATCAATGTTCAGAAGATCCATTCAAGATGAAATTACAAAAAGAATATTTTAAGGGCATTTGTCATGGGGCAGTTCATTATTTTCAATATTTCATTTTATTCCTTATTTCTCCTATCTCATCATGAACCCAGTCATCCACACAGGACAGTCACATACCTCCCTTTTTAAAAGCAAAGCTCACCCAACACAACACCCCAATTGTTTTGCAAGCATAGCCAGTACATAAGGCTGCCTCCAAACTGTCTCTATTTTGTGGGTAGGAGTCAAGTACATCCTGGAAATTTAGGTTTGTGCAATTAAACTGCTCTGTCACCCTAGCACAGCAAATCTTATTTAGAAAATAAACTGACTTTTTGCCGTTAGGAAAGTGATGAGAAATGCACAGAAACGTGTGAGACGAATGAAAGATTAGCAGGCATATGTGTAATAATAATAAAGATAATAATTCATTATTTACACCCCGCCCATCTGGCTGGGTTTCCCCAGCCACTCTGTAAACACCCTGTATGCAAATCAGAATGAATGCTGAATAAACTGAATGCTGAATAAGGAGATCATCTGGAGGAGACCAAAGTGAATATTTGGAACAATAGTCAGTCACACTCAGGGTTTATCCACACTACTGAGCTAGCCAGATATGGATGCTCTGGTGCATAAGACTGTGGTGAGGTCTGGAGCACGAAATATCACCCCAAATATCACTCCAAGGCAGGGGTTTCTGCTCCTATACTTTCTATATTTCTATGGGCTCAGACCAGAGCAGGACTGTGGGTCCTTTGCCCTCCCTTCCTCTTGGATTCGTGTGTACTTCAGCAACAGCAGACAAGGAGCAGGAAGAAAAGGACTCTCTGTATGGGGAAGACTTTCATGGGAGCAATGTCACATTTATATCTTCCGTGGTGTGTCTCCCTCGTTGCATCTATTTGTGTGTGCTGCGGGGAGGCAGCGCTGCACGAGACAGCGCACTGAAAGGCACTGTCGAAATTAGAGGTCTCTCTCTGAAGCAAACAGAACTTTGCAGCTCGGACTCATCTCTGCTAGTGCCGATTATTTAAGATGATGTCCCTTGTCAGATTCAAGGCCTCGCGTGGAGGCTGAAGAGGGGGGGAGAGAGAGAGATCTCAGCCACCAAGAAGATTATCTGGATGTGACAATGTTCAAACCCACTGGGCCCTGCCACACTGCATTATTTAAGCCCAGTAACCAAATTTAGTAACCAGCCCGCAAGGCACTCTTGAGAAAAATGCGGTTTCCAGAGATTCATTTCCCAGCAGTGGTGAATCTGACCACAGCTACGGGCTTCTCGCTTTAAAGGAGCCGCAACGCACCGCTTTCTCCCTTTGCAAGGCACGGACTAATTCTTCAAGGACTGATTTAAACCCGGCGGTGTAAAGTTATATCATCGCCGACAGAAATCAGAGTGGCCGAGAGAAACCCATGCATGCAAAACAGCCTGGCCCTCCCTCAACTTTGCACCATACTTCTCCAGAAATGTTCAGAAATGTCAACTTCTACTTTTAACTATGGATCGCTATGACAACTCTTCCCATGAAAAAGAGGACGTGTCCTGGAAAAAGAGGACACATGGCAACCCTACCCCCATCAACCTTTGACAGGGGACTGCAAAGATATGTAGGGCTGCCATATTTTGAAGAGCAAGAAAGAGGACACTATGACAGCCATTCAAAGCTAGGAATTGCAATTTGTCTCAAATTTTACCCATGAAAAAGAGGACATGTCCTGGAAAAAGAGGACATATGGCAACCCTAGAGGAATCTTGCTCATATAGAAGACCAGGAGAAGCTGAGCTTTAGGTGACTGCCACTTGAAGAAATTGGCAGAGCCTGTGTCCTTCCAGAAGCTGTTAGAATACAACTGCCATCACTCCCCTCCAGCATGGCCAATGGGCCAGAGATGATGGGAGTTGTAGTCCAACTGCATTTGGAGGGTGAGAAGTTCCCAATCCCAGCTGTAATGAATGCTCATGTCCATTCTTGGGAAGGAGGAACCTCAAAGTGGGTGGGCTCCAGAGTTTGGCATTCCACAGATTTGGGATCCTGCCAGTACCATTTATCCAAGCATCAGGTATGATTGTGTTGGCTGCTGCAAATCAATTTACGAGCATTAGCTATCATCCAGTTGCGAAAGGTAGTGAGGAACGGGCTGGTACAGAAAACTACAGTAACATGATGGAGTACTGGCCAAGCATTCCCTGCATTTTCACCATTAAGCTTAGGACATCTTTACACATTTCAGGTGTGTGCCCAAGAACTGAAAACCAAAAGTTAAGTGCAACAAATGTATTCTTATCATAGCTGGTGCAACATCAATACACTCATTGGGGAACTGGGATTAGCAGAATTTCATTTGCGGCCTGATCCTGTTCATTTTTATTCTGAAGCTTTTCAGTGCCTTTCTTCCAAGCAAGCAAGCACAGGTTGGCAGCCTAAATACTTAAGGAGTCGAATTCCCAAGCGCTGGTTTTTCAAGAGCTTCTTGCAAGACAAACTCAGAAAAATACGTTGCCTTCTAGTACAGTTCCTTCAAGCTTGTTTTCAGCTCAACATGAACAACATCTGCTTCACCCCCTCACGCACACACACCCCGCCCTCCTGTCTGAGCTGTGGCTTGTGCCTAACCAAACTCATGAGAGATAGAGCCCCATAAAATGGTTTGATTCTTTGAGCACGTCGGGACTTGGCGAGTGCGTGAGCAAAGAAATGATATGATGTCAATATTTCGCTGGCTCCAGGCCACGCACAAACAGCACGTCCTTTGTCTTGGCAGTCATTACACAGGGAGTGAGAAGAACCTAAGTCTGAGAACCGGGACGGGTGGGTGGAATGGGCAGCGGCGGCACTTTTCCCGATGCCAGCTGAGCTGCCTCCGAGTTCCAGAACCTTCCTTTGCATGCGCAGAGACTGCCTTGTTCATAAAACCAACTCTCGGCCCCCAATACCAGGAGGACTACGCCGATACCTGTCCATGCCAAAGGTGACTCTTGCATGCAGTTATTAACCCTCAAGCATGCCAATATGAAGGCAGCATTTGGACTCTGTGACCCCTTAAAGCCACCAGGAGTCTCGTCTCTCTCCAAGCCCCTACAAGTAGCAACATAAAAACGGGTGTTTACAAACAGTAGTATAAATGGCAATAAGGAGGAAAGGCTGATTGGGCAGCCTCGGGGGAAAGAGTTGATGCAATGAGGCCTTGCCTGGATTCTCGTTCTTATTTATTCTTCTCTCTAGCTTGAGCCACTTAATAATTTCTCCTTGCCCTTTGGTAGCAGGATGCATGCTACACGATCTCTCCTTCTGTTCCATTGTCCATAAGGGGAGGGATGAGGAATAAATTCATATAATTGTAGAGTTGGAAGGGGTTCCAGTGGGCATCTAGTCCAACCCACTGCAATGCAGGAATCACTGCTAAACAATCCCTGACAGATAGCCACGCAACCTCTGTTTAAAACCTCCAGTGAAGTAGAGTCCAGCAACCTCCAAAGCAGTCTATTCCACTGTCAAACAGCTCTTGCTGTCAGAAATTTATTCCCAATGTTGAGTTGGAACCTCATTTACTGTACAGTCGTACCTCGGAAGTCAAACACCTTGCGAGTCGAACGTTTTGGCTCCCATATGCCACAAACCCGGAAGTGAGTGTTCCAGTTTGCGGACGTTCTTCGGAAGCTGAACATGCGATGTGGGCTCCACAGCTTCTGATTGGCTGCAGGAGCTTCCAACTGGAAGCTGTTCTTTGGTTTCCGAACATTTTGGAAGTCGAACGGACTTCCGGAATGGATTCCGTTCGACTTCCGAGGTATGACTGCAATTTGAATCTATCGGTTCAGATCCTACCTTCTGGAGTGGCAGAAAGCAATACACCAAGTGAAACACAGCTGGCCTTTGAAATTTGCGCTTCTTTAAATTTTGCAGTGGAGGTCTTTGGCTATGTAATGTGTTGGAATATGCATACAGCAGGGTAAAATGTGCATGGAAAATGCACATATGAGTGAATGTAACATGCAAAAATGCATTGTATTAGGGGAAACAATTTTGCAAAAATGTGTGTGTCCAGCAAAAGAACATCACAAACGTGCATATTAGGAGAAATTCACATTCATTCATAGGGACTTTTTAAAGAAAAATGGCAAAGTGTTGTGAAAATGTTGAGAACCAAAGTTAAGACTGGAAAAAGGATAGAGAGAAACTGAAACCAACTTATTTGTCACTCTGTACCCTAAAGGTGCTTCCAGACTCTTACTCCTCCAGATAACCTGTTTGTTCAGCATTCATCCTCCTTTGGTTACAGAAAGTTTACAGGGTGGCTAGACTATGTCTGGTCTTTACTGAGCATCCATTCTGATTTGTTTATGAGGACATTATGTGACAAGGAGCATTGTTCATACACCTGCACATTGATCATTTGTTCATCCCACACCTTTAGGGGCATTTCCCTGTCACTTTCCAAACTGGTAAAAAAATGGTGTGTGTTTTTCTAAGTGGATTTGTTGAACCAAAGCACTTCAATCGTGCAAAAAGTTCTGGTACGAGCTTGAATCTCTTTGCAAAATGGTGACAGTTTGAAGGCAGCAATGATTTCCAAATGGGCTGTCCTTCGGCTGCAAGATGCCAGCTCCTTGACTTCTTCTTCTTCTTCTTCTTCATTGTTTCTAAGCGTGCCTTCACCAGACTGTCACTAGTCTGCAGGAAAGATTCAGGTGCATCACGGAAATATAGTTTTGAGCAATGGAAGTGGATTAAAGGACTCTGTCAACCTAGCACAGAAAATACACTTAACAAAAGAAATCAACTTTTTGTGGTTCGGAAAGTGACTGTGAAATAACCAGGAAGTGTGGCATGAACAAATGATCAACGAGAAAACATATAAACACTTTGCAAACAAATCAAATGCTCAATAAAACCTAAGCCTAAGCTTTATGTAAGCAAATCAGAATGAATACTGATTAAACTGAGCATCTGGAAGAGCCCCAAGTTTTTCTCAGAAGTAGACAAAATTGTCTCCAGAGAAGGCACTTGTGGTCAACAAGCTGGCCAGTTTGTAGGTATTATGCCAAAATACTGGATGTTGCAGGAAACACTGTTGTTATCAGTAGCAAGACCTTACATCATTTGCCATCACAAATACTGTTGCTTGAGGACATGACCTACAGCTTATAGCAGCCTCTCCCAACCCGGTGCCCTCCAATTGTTGTTGGACTGCAAGCCCCATCAGCCCCAGCCAACGGGGCCAATGGTAAAGGATGATGGGAGTTGTAGTCCAACTTCTGGAAGGCACAACAGTGGCAAAGGCTGATTTATGACTATTAAAGTCCTTTTTGTTTTGCATGACAGCAGGCATCAGATCTACAGTTTAAAGCAGCCTTTCTCAACTTTCGGTCCCCAGATGTTGTTGGACTATAACTCCCATCATCCCTGACAACTGGTCCTACTAGGTAAGGATGATGGGAGTTGTAGTCCAACAACAGCAGGGGACCAAGGTTTGAGAAAGGCTGCTTTAAAGTCTAAGCATGAAAAACCAAGTCCAGTTTTTTTCACATGTTAAAATGTTGCATTGGTGGAAGTAAGGAATGTTAGGACAGACTTGAGGCAACATTTTAGGTCTTCTTCATAAAAATAAACATTTTGTAGGCATAAAACTTTTTTTTTTAATTTCAGAAGCATGCCCTTAAAAGGTAAGATATGAAGCTACAAGGTATAGGAATACATGCATCACAGGAATCACAGGAATCACGGGAATACATGCTTATTATAGAGCCAAAACTGGCTGCAGCTTCCTGTTAAGGCACAGCCAGGGTGCAAAAGTGTGAAATGACCGCTACATCAGCTGCAATCCTGTTCATAGTTACTTGGAAATAACCCCATCAAACGATGGCACTTACATCCAAGTAAAAACAGATAGGAATCATAGAATTGTAGAGTTGGAAGGGACTGCTCTGGGGGTCTAGTTTGTAATCATACTGGACACTACTTAACTTTGCAAATGCGCTTGCAGTTTTTATTGCTGCACCTCTAGGATCGTTCTCATACTGTTAAAGGTAAAGGTAAAGGTAAAGGGACCCCTGACCGTTAGGTCCAGTCGTGGCTGACTCTGGGTTTGTGGCACTCATCTTGCTTTATTGGCCGAGGGAGCCGGCGTACAGCTTCCGGGTCATGTGGCCAGCATGACTAAGCCGCTTCTGGTGAACCAGAGCAGCGCACGGAAACACCGTTTACCTTCCCACCGGACTGGTACCTATTTATCTACTTGCACTTTGATGTGCTTTTGAACTGCTAGGTTGGCAGGAGCAGGGACCGAGCAACAGGAGCTCACTCCGTCGCGGGGATTTGAACCGCTGACCTTCTGATCGGCAAGCCCTAGGCTCTGTGGTTTAACCCACAGTGCCACCCGTGCCCCACACTGTTAGGCACCCTTTACTAGGCTGAATCACTATTTTCTGCATTTTATTTATTATCACAGATTTGTAGCCACCTTTCCCCTAAAGCGGTATACGCGGTTCTCCTCCCCATTCTATATTCATAACAATCGTGCAAGGTACAATAGGCTGAGAGACAGTGACCAGCCCGAGGTCAGCTGGTGAGATTCATGGCTAAGAAGGGATTTGAACCTGGATCTGCCCAGTGCTGGTCTGACACAGCCTGACTGGAAATCTTTACAGCTCGGCTGAGCATGCAGCAGCCAGTGCACCGTCTGAACAGGCAGAGTCATCCTGAAGCGTCAGTACGCAGTATAACTCGGGGAACCTGTGACCCTGCAGACGTTGTGGGACTCCCAACTCCCATCATGGTCAACCGTCAGGGTTCCACCCCCACCCCCCCGTTTATTTTTATTAAAGTTTTCTTGGTTTACAAAGGTATACACAATGTCTCTTTTTTCAAGTTGCATTTTCCATAGGTCAGTTTCGTTTGTTGAGACATTAGGGTTACATTAGGAAGAGAAGGGGGTGAAGAGGTGGAGGGGGGAAAGGTGAGTGGGGGTGGGGTCGGGAGGCGATGTTTCTAATTTGCTTAATGTATGTGTGGGGTTTTGTGTCAGCGTCGTTTGTGTGGGTTCTCTTTGCTATTCGCTTGTGTTCCTTTGGTGATAAGAGAAATTGGGGTTGGCCTAGGTTGCTTGTTTGTGATTGGCTGTGGTGAACTTTGTTTTCATGTGTGAGTGGGGTGGGTGGGTGTTTTTGAATCAGGTTAGCCATATAGATTCGTATGATGTTGGTGGATTCTTGTCGTTGTCTTGGCCAACCGTCAGGGCTGATGGGAGTTGTAGTCCTCACAACATCTGGCAAGCCACAGGTTCTCCATCTCTCCTTTAGAGGACAGATATGGAGCTTTCTGGTTTTAAAAGCATCCATTGCATCTAGGGCAGGGATGGAGAACGTGGCCTTGCAGGTGTTGGTGGAGCCCAGCCAGCATGGTTGATGATCAGGGACGATGGAAGTTGAAGTTAAAAAGAGAGAGAGAGGTTTCTGCTGCAACCACATGGCTTGGCTTCTGTGGCCTGGAGGAAGAAACTGACCTGTGAAACACTCAGCTGCCCGGGAGATGGGCAGCAATTTCCCCCCCAAACATAAAAAAGAAGCCGAGAGTGGGTGAGGGAGAGAGAGAATGAGAGGAACCAAATTAAGGAGGTCGGAGAGGTAAAGAGGAGGGATATGTATGTCACTGCTTACCTCAGAGCCCGAATTAGAAGCTGGGTAAAAATATAAAATCACAGCAGGAAATAATGTGTTTCTTAAAATAGCAACATCAAATGGGAGAGAGAATGAGGAGTGGGTGGCATTTGAGGTTGCTGCTCAGTTCCGCCCTCCATGGCAGGCTGATTAATATGTCTGTGCTACTTGTGTTTATATAACAAAGAGCACTAAAGGCCAAGGCTGTATTTTAAACTAACATGGCAGGAGGCTGTGCGAGTTTTTCCTTTCACTCTACGGTATTAAGTGGGAGGATATGCACTTGCAACTTCCTGTCCCAGGAAGGAGAAAAGTCCCTGTTGCAGCAAGGCACACACAAATACCTTTCTTGCGGGGTGTGAGTCTGGTTTGATAGCCCAAACTTGTCTTTCCTATTCTCCTCCTTTGCTACCCACAGAAGCTAACACAGGAACACAGTCCAGCACCCTAAGTCACAACTACAACACATATACTACTTCAACGGCCCTGGCTTCCCCTAAAGAAATCCTGCAAACCCTCGTTTGCTAGGGGTCTCGTAGAAACTCTCAGCACCCTTAACAACCGACAGCTCCTACGATTCTTTGCGAGAAGCCATGACTGCTAAAGAGGTAGGAGTGCTTTGAATATCTGCTCCCCAACACCGTAAAATATCGCTGGCTGAACTTTGCAATACGGCAGTATATTATGATGTCAGAAAGGAGGAAGAGGGCAATTGCTGGCCACAGATTAGCATCACCATGCACAGCTTTTGCCTCTTCCCTGCGAAGAAGAAGAACAACAACAACAAGAAGAAGAAAGGTTTGGATTTGATATCCCGCTTTATCACTACCCAAAGGAGTCTCAAAGCGGCTAACATTCTCCTTTCCCTTCCTCCCCCACAACAAACACTCTGTGAGGTGAGTGGGGCTGAGAGACTTCAGAGAAGTGTGACTAGCCAAGGTCACCCAGCAGCTGCATGTGGAGGAGTGGGGAAGCGAACCCCGTTCACCAGATTACGAGTCTACCGCTCTTAACCACTATACCACACTGGCTCTGGTGGTGGGTGGCACTGCCCTGGGCAGAATGCAGCAGCCAGGGCATGGCACAGGACCACAGAGCCGCCAGCCTCCCTGGAACTGCCAACCGTGGCTCGTCCTGACGATAGTCTCGCTGTGCAAGCAGTGACTACCTGGAGCCACCATTCTGCTTGGCACGAGGAGGAACGGAGGGAGGAGGCAGCCTGCCAGCGCTCATGCAGCCAGGCAAAGAAAGGAAGGCGTCGGCTGGCAAGCCCCACTCTCGAGGCTGGCGGCTAGGCTGCAGAGGGAGGGAGTGGGCGGGTATCAGGTGGCCATCAGGAGGCCTGATTGAAGGGGGCAGAATTATTCTGACTATGCAGAATTATATAAAGTAACAGGAAAGATTCGAAACCTTCGGGATCAGAGATTCTTAGAAGACTGGAGTAAATATATGAACTATTTGAAAAGTAATTGTGATGAACAGATTACGCTAGTAGGATTGCAAGAAGTTTTGTAAAGTGGATTATTTGAAATATTGCAAGAAAGACTATGAAGAGAATTATTAGTTAAGGATAATTAAATGTAATATAGAAATTAAGAAATGCAGAATAAGTGAAAAAGAACGGAAAATCATCAAAGGTGTTGACAGAAGTATAAGATGAGAAAATATGTTGTATGACTGTTGGAACGGATATGTTAAAATATATATATATAAATATATATATTTTAAAAATGAAGGGGGCAATGCTGGCAGTGAGTGGGGATGGGGATTCACGATACATTGCCTGATCAGAAATTCTAAAATAGCTCTCACGATTTTACATTTAGACCGGTTTCAGGCAATACATCACCTGTTTTCACAGGGCCCAAGCAGATGCACATGGGAAGCCCACAAGCAAGAGCTGAGCACAACAGCACTCCTGCCACTTGTCATTCCCAGCAACTGGGCTACTGCCTCCAGCAGTGGAGACAGAACACAGCCAGGTTGGCTAGCAGCCTCTGAGAGCCTTATTCTCCATGGGTTTGTCTGTGACCCCTTTTAAAGCCACCACGTTGGTGGGCATGGCTACATCTTGTGCTGTCTCAGTTTGGGGTCATTATTAATCAGGAATAGGTACTACCATCCTATCCATTTTTCACACCCCCAAAGTGTTACGGTCATCACCCCTTAGAATGCTACTTTCAGTGTGAATTCACATGAATTAGTAAATTTACTATTGCAATCCTCTTCTCACACAAAATATTTTGCTATATCAGTTTTTAAAGGTGGATCTGTTCCATGTACAGTCCTTGGAGATGTTCTTGTAAGGCTGTGTCCATTCTTGGGATATGTTTGCCAGATTCATAAACCTACAGCAGGGGTGGCTCATCCGTAGCCCACCCCCAGCCTGGCTTGGCTTAGTGTTAACATGCAAACTGGCTCTTAGTATTTTGTCTTTCCACCCAAATGCAACACCTACTTAGGAGAAATGTCTAAATATATTTCCTGCCTCAGCTTCCTCTGGATGAATACCCAGCCGCAGATTAAGAATGTAAGAAGGCGAAAGGTAGGGGAGGAAGGAAGATAACTAAACAGACAAAAATATTATCTGTTTGAGCCTTTAAATATAAATTAGATACCAGTAGGCACATCCCCTGCTCTGGTGAAATTAATTCCTTGAGGATTTCAAATATTAATTCAGTAATGTTCATAATTAATTATCATTTTTGCTTCTCGCTTTCTCTTGTGCTCGTCTTTAAAAAGAAAAAAAAGGGGGGGGATTATTCCAGCTGCAATACTGTGACTTGCACATCCTGAGAAGAGCTTGTTTTTGCCAATAACGGAGAGCATGCATCCTCTCTGCCATCTGGAAGGAGAGATTTTATTTCCCCACTTTCATTGCCACTATTGCCACCACCAGATCTTTACAGGAAGAAACGCAGATGGAAAGCAAAAGGGGCTGGGGGCACACAGGACTGCCAGGCAGGTCTCCTTGCTTTTATCCCGAGGGCCTGCTTGCTGAATGACTCACGCGTGCATCCTAATCCTGCACATGTTTTACTCACAAGCAAAAGCCACCAAGTTCAATGCAGCTTACTCTCAAATCCCCCTAGAACTGGAAGTCTTAGGATAGTTCGCAGGGGAATGCGAAGGACATAATCTCTTTACAAGTAACAAAAGGTCAGTAGGTTACTGGGGCCCATTTGAAATGGTCTCCGTCATCTCAGTTGGTAGAGCATGAGACTCTTAAGCTCAGGGTTGTGGGTTCAAGCCCCACATTGGGCAAAAGATTCTTGCATTGCAGGCGGTTGGACAAGATGACCCTTGATGTCCCTTCCAACTCTACAGTTCTGTGGTTTTGTGGTTCCTTACTTCCCAAGGTGTTGTAAACAAAATCTGCCCTTATTCCCTTATGGGGTACACAAGAGCCCTTATAGAGTCCTTCAGTGGGTTCTCTATCGGTAGAAGAAAATAACAGAGGCCAACCAGAGAATACTGAGAAGCAAAGCAGCTCAGAATACTGAGAAGCAGCAACTAAGCCTGATCTTTATTAAAGCTGTTGCAACAGGGTTCTCCCCCCACATGCAGGAGAGAGGAGGAGCAGCCACAACAAAGGTGTGCCCACCCTTATATAGACTTTTGGAATTGCCCATCCTCAAACGCCAGACCACCCCCAGAAACATCATACATACATCACAGAAGGGGTGCAGCCCAGGACCACCTCCCCCAATACATCATACATACATCACAGGGGGCGGTCTAAAACAGAATCCTGAGTGTGTTGTTTATCTCCTGTCTGGCAGGTTACCTGCTTGCATTATCTGGGTTTTGGCCACTCTTTGTTATTGTTGTTGTTGTTTAGTCGTTTAGTTGTGTCCGACTCTTCGTGACCCCCATGGACCAGAGAACCCCAGGCACTCCTGGCATTATTATAACTACTTAAATTTCTGAATCCAGGTCACAGGTCACAGGCTCACCCTATTCACACCTTAAATGTGCCCTTAAGGAAGGATTTGTGAGCACAGAGACAAAGGGGAGGTTTTTTCAGTTCTTCCCTCCTTGCAGAGAAACATTTGGTCAGTTTGGGAGAGTCAAAATGGTTTCAGGACTGTCTTCCTGTACTGTTTCAGACGTGGTTTATGTATTTACGGTATGTCCGTGTTTGCCTTGCACATTTAATTTATATATTTGAGACCTTAAATTCTTATAACAATGGCACAATGTTGTAACCAGCATCCATCTGCTGAGCAGGTATAGCAGGGATGGGGAACCTTTTGTTACCCCAGGGACTGCCTTTCCTTCTCACCAACCTTGAGCTAGGGCCACATACCAGTGGACAGTAGGGCCAGGGGCTGCCTGCCTGGCAAGCTATGAGATCAGTGCATCATGAGAACTCTCCTGCCTTCCTTTTATGTGATTTGCTCCAAAACAGTGGCTGTGCATAAAACATAAGGGGATTTGAACCCCTGTCCATGCCTAGGGACTTTAAATAGTGGGCTCACTGCTGGCTGTGTCAAGGGGCTGATGAACTGATGGCCCCGTGGTGTTGTCATCATGCATGGGGACAGGGGTGATGAAGACACAGTGCTGTGTCCTCATCATCATCAGTTCGTCGGCTCGTTCATCTGCAGGTGATGGCACAGTCCCTGACTGGGGGGTGTAGGCAGAGTTTCCACAGGTGCTTAGGCAGGGTGTCCTCCAACCCACTGAAGCAGTAATCTGGGTTAAACTGTAAAATGATACAGGACAGCATTTCAATAAAGACAGTGTCATGTAGGGTGTGGGTGGCGCTGTGGTCTAAACCGCTGAGCCTCTTGGGCCTGCTGGTCAGAAGGTTGGCGGTTTGAATCCCCACAATGGGATGGGCTCCCGTTGCTCTTGTCCCAGCTCTTGCCAACCTAGGGGGGGGGTTTCAAAAGCACACCAGTGCAAGTAGATAAACAGGTACCGCTGCGGCAGGAAGCTAAACAGCATTTCCGTGATCCGAGACCAGGGAGAAGAGTCGGTGGAAGAAGACTGGAAAAAGTTTAAAGACTATTTACAGAAATATTGCAAAATTAATGAATGTTAGAATGATGTTGGATAGAAATTAAGTGGTTTTTAGCTGTAATACTATAAGGGAATATGAAAAATGGATTATTAATAGGTAAAAATTTAATGTTACAATATTTTAAGATTAAAGATTAGGATAAACAAAGAGGGGAAGGATTTGCTGAACTAACAAACTGAATTGGAATACAAAAAAGGGAGGCGCGAGGAGGTCCGGGAAATAAGCAAATGAAAGCTAAGTAACGGAAAGATTGAGTTGTTTTTAACTATTTTTATTTTGTATTTTTCTTTTTTCTTTTTTCATTTTGTAATATTTTGAAAATTTTAATAAATATCTCTTAAAAAAATAAATAAACAGCATTTCCGTGCACTCTGGCTTCTGTCCTGGTGTTCCATTGAGACAGAAGCGGTTTAGTCATGCTGGCCACATGACCCAAAAAGCTGTCTGTGGACAAACACCGGCTCCCTCGGCCTGAAAGCGAAATGAGTGCCTCAACCCCATAGTCACCATTGACTGGACTTAACCGTCCAGGGGTCCTTTACCTATTTTTTAACCGTTACATGTGGGCAACAGGCAAAATCTGCATGCATGAGCAGCTCCCAGCCGAGAATAAACTGCTATGTGGAAGGGGGGGCGGGGAGGGAAATGGGCAGCTAGACAGGTAAGCATCAGACAGGTACAATCTAAGCTGATCATCTCCTGCCCAGTGGTTATTGAAGTTATCCTCAGGCTACCTTAGGAGCCTGCTGGTGTGTAAGAAGCATAAGAGGAAAGGGGATTTGGATCCCCACTGACTAGCGGCATGTACATGCTGGGAGTGAGTAGCGGCTGCTTTCTCGTTGCCAAGCCTGTTCCGTCACTGCTGAAGTGTTGCTGCTGGAACACCACTGAGCTCCAGTTCAGTGACTCAATGCTTGTGAGTCACGGGCTGTATCTCTGCCGCACAGAATTGATCACAACCTGGAAGCAAGAGCTTAGCAGTCACAAACTGTGTCAGGAATTGCAGACGCAGAAAAACATAGAAGGGGGTATTTACAAATAACAGGAATATCACATTGAGCTCCGCTATTTCAGGATTTTACTAGCTGACTGGCCGTAAAGACACTGAGTCCCAAACCCTGACTTGGATTAAAATCAGTCAAAATAAACACAGTTTTGTTTCGTTTTTCCAAGGCAGTGAGATCCAAGTTTCTCAAGTTCAGGCAAGGAAATGTTGCATTCAATGAGATTTATAAACAAGCCCCTCGCAGCCATCTCCAAGTCTTGCTTTTACTGATTGCAGCTCTGATCTGAGCTGGCGGTAGCACATAACCTTTCAGTATTAATCATACCGAATGCAGACAACCTAAATGAAAGAAATAGATGAAACGAAGCCTTTCAAACCACACATTTCTCAATTGTGGTTGAGATTCATTTCTCCCACACTGGGACACCTGACCTACTGAAGGTGGGACGGGTGAGCTGGAAGTTTGTGGGCAGATGTCTGGAGGGTGGAGGAAACAAGGGGAAGACCAGAAGCTGGATAAAAGGGCAAGAACACAACAAGCTTTGGCACTACATGCATGAAAGATTGCCTCTGATAGAAAGAAGGCCTTTGTTCAAGTAAGTCAGCATTGGGCGGCAACGGCAAGGGTGCATCTGATGTAGACCATATGTGACTGGCAGCAAAATACAATGCATGCTTATTTAGAAGATCCATAGAATTTAGCAGGGCATAGAATTCAAGTACCATTCATAGGATTGCAGCCTGAGAGGGCCTTACATGAATGGAGTGGTGAGCCACCAAGACTTATGGACAGATAGCCACTGGGATAGACCGATTAGTCAGAGATCGGTTGACTCAGGTCAACAGGGAATGTCCTTGTTTGGATACATGCCCTGCTACAATTGAAAGAAGAGCAAGGGTTGCCAAACATTTTGGACCCACAGAAACATTTGCAAATGGCAGAAACTGTTGTGGGCCCTGTCTACAGACCGCAACCAATCACACATTGCTCCCTATTCTAAGGTAAAGGTAAAGGACCCCTGGACAGTTAAGTCCAGTCAAAAGCAACTATGGGGATGTGGTGCTCATCTCACTTTCAGGCCGAGGGAGCTGGCGTTTGTCCACAGACAGCTTTCCGGGTCATGTGCCCAGCATGACTAAACTGCTTCTGGTGCAACAGAACACTGTGACGAAAACCAGAGAGCATGGAAACACCGTTTACCTTCCCGCCACAGTGGTACCTGTTCATCTACTTGCACTGGCATGCTTTTGAACTGCTAGGTGGGCAGAAGCTGGGACAGAGCAACGGAAGCTCACCCCATCACAAGGATTCAAACCGCCAACCTTCTGATCAGCAAGCCCAAGAGACTCAGTGGTTTAGACCACAGCACCATTTGCATCCCGGTTTCCCTAATGTACTAGCTACAAGAGAATACTTCTTTCAATTCAAATTGCAGCTTGGAAAGGGAGGGAACCCTGTGGGTACTAGGGATGGCCTCTGTGGGCACATATGCACCCCACCACAACCCCTAAAGTAGCAGAACACACCAAGGGATGCAGCTCCTGGACAGATCACATCTGCTGTCCCCTGAACTTCACAAGCTTAGCTGAAGATATGAATGCATCTTGTGTGTGCAGTGTGAAAAGACCAGGATCCCCGATTTTAGGGACAGAGCCATCTTGCCACAAGTAGCTTCAGTATCATAACACTGTGGGACAGAGGCTTAGTAACCCCTTCCATATGTAGATAGGGAAGCAAGCAAAGGATGCTAAGGGCTGCTATACAATTTGATGAATACACGTCAAAAGAAATGCCCAGTAATAGCCCACCTTAGCCCAAGTCTACCATAAGCGAAACAGGGTGCCTTTATCTTTACAGCCTCTTCAACACAAAGGAAAGACGTAATTTACACAACTCAGCTGGATTGGAGGCCAATGCCATATCTCAATGAGCTTCAATAAAGCCTCACAAATGGTAGCAGAGGTGGATTTCAGATGGTAGTTTGACTACACTGCCTCACACATTGTGTGCCATTTAAGTCACCTTGCACTACCACCTGGAATCTGAACGTCTAGTAATGTAAATGGTGGAGACTGCCCTCTTTTTCGCACATTTTCAGTGCATGCAGTGAATAATTTGGAGACCATGTGGCTAGTCTCATTATATGGTTTCCCACCGCTATGTGGCATTGAATTTAATGGTATTTGGGTGGAGTCTGGAGTTTCCAGCTGCCGTTCTGTAAGAATAAGAGTCTTGTTGAGCTTCCCGCCTGGTGTCTCCCTTATGCCTTCCATGACAGATAACATAGGAAACCATGATTCACATTATTAGTCAGCTTTGAAACTCCCTGAGGTTGGACAGACAGACATCCTTTTTAAAGAAAATTGAAAGTGCTTTGAGACAGAGATGCTTCATTGTTCTAGTTGTAAATTCACTGATAAGAGATTATAAAAGTTGGACAAAGGCAACCAGGTTTTTGAAATTTCAAAAGACGACGGAACCCTGCAGGACCTGTTATCAGAAGATACCAGTACACTCAGAAAGTACAACTGTCTGTCAGTCTGAGTGGCCAGAAGCAAAGAACTCAGCCAGAACTTAACTTTCTCCCCAAGGTTGCAGCGAAACCTCTTCGGAGGCACTTCCAGCCATTTGGTTGTGCTGAGCATTCATAGAATCATAGAGTTGGAAGAGACCACAAGGGCCATCGAGTCCAACCCCCTGCCAAGCAGGAAACACCATCAGAGCACTCCTGACATATGGTTGTCAAGCCTCTGCTTAAAGACCTCCAAAGAAGGAGACTCCACCACACTCCTTGGCAGCAAATTCCACTGTCGAACAGCTCTTACTGTCAGGAAGTTCTTCCTAATGTTTAGGTGGAATCTTCTTTCTTGTAGTTTGGATCCATTGCTCCGTGTCCACTTCTCTGGAGCAGCAGAAAACAACCTTTCTCCCTCCTCTATGTGACATTCTTTTATATATTTGAACATGGCTATCATATCACCCCTTAACCTCCTCTTCTCCAGGCTAAACATGCCCAGCTCCCCTAGCCGTTCCTCATAAGGCATCGTTTCCAGGCCTTTGACCATTTTGGTTGCCCTCCTCTGGACACGTTCCAGTTTGTCAGTGTCCTTCTTGAACTGTGGTGCCCAGAACTGGACACAGTACTCCAGGTGAGGTCTGACCAGAGCAGAATACAGTGGCACTATTACTTCCCTTGATCTAGATGCTATACTCCTATTGATGCAGCCCAGAATTGCATTGGCTTTTTTAGCTGCCGCGTCACACTGTTGGCTCATGTCAAGTTTGTGGTCAACCAAGACTCCTAGATCCTTTTCACATGTACTGCTCTCAAGCCAGGTGTCACCCATCTTGTATTTGTGCCTCTCATTTTTTTCGCCCAAGTGCAATACTTTACATTTCTCCCTGTTAAAATTAATCTTGTTTGTTTTGGCCCAGTTCTCTAATCTGTCAAGGTCGTTTTGAAGTGTGATCCTGTCCTCTGGGGTGTTAGCCACCCCTCCCAGTTTGGTGTCATCTGCAAATTTGATCAGGATGCCCTTGAGTCCATCATCCAAGTCATTGATAAAGATGTTGAATAAGACCGGGCCCAAGACAGAACCCTGTGGCACCCCACTAGTCACTCTTCTCCAGGATGAAGAGGAACCATTGATGAGCACCCTTTGGGTTCGGTCAGTCAGCCAGTTACAAATCCACTGAGTGGTAGCATAGTCAAGACCACATTTTACCAGCTTCTTTACAAGAATATCATGGGGCACCTTGTCAAATGCCTTGCTGAAATCAAGGTAGGCTACATCCACTGCGTTGCCTTCATCTACCCGGCTTGTAATTCTGTCAAAAAATGAGATCAGGTTAGTCTGACATGACTTATTTTTCAGAAATCCATGCTGACTATTGGTGATCACACCATTCCTTTCTAGGTGCTCACAGACTGTTTGCTTAATGATCTGCTCCAGAATCTTCCCTGGTATTGATGTCAGACTGACTGGGCGGTAATTATTTGGGTCCTCTCTTTCCCCTTTTTGAAAATAGGGACATTTGCCCTCCTCCAGTCTGCCTGGACTTCGCCTGTTCTCCAGGAATTCTCAAAGATGACTGCCAGTGGTTCTGAGATCACATCTGCCAGTTCTTTTAATACTCTTGGATGCAGTTCATCTGGCCCTGGAGACTTGAATACATCTAAACTAGCCAAGTATTCTTGTACTATCTCCTTAGTTATTCTGGGCTGTGTTTCCTTTGCTGAATCATTTGCTCCAAATTCTTCAGGTCGGGCATTGTTTCCTTTATCGGAGAAGGCTGAGGCAAAGAAGGCATTGAGGAGTTCAGCCCTTTCTGTGTCCCGTTTGCATTTCACCATCCTCTCCTCTGAGTGACCCCACTGTTTCTTTGTTCTTCCTTTTGCTACGAATATACCCATAAAAGCCTTTTTTGTTGCTTTTAACCTCTCTAGCAAGCCTGAGTTCATTCTGTGCTTTAGCTTTTCTGACTTTGTGTCTACACGTGCTGGCTATTTGTTTGAATTCCTCTTTGGTGGTTTCCCCTTTTCCATTTTTTGTACACATCCTTTTTAATCTTAACTCAGTTAAAAGTTCTTTAGATAGCCACCCTGGCTTCTTTAGGCACCTTCCATGTTTCCGTCTCATTGGTATTGCCTGAAGTTGTGCTTTACTATCTCCCTCTTAACAAACTCCCAGCCATCATGAACTCCCTTTCCTTTTAGTATTACTGTCCATGGGATCTCACCCAGCACTTCCCTAAGTTTTATGAAGTCGGCTTTCTTAAAGTCAAGAAATTGAGTCCTAGTATGCTTGGCTGCTCCTTTCCGCTGTATAGTAAACTTCAGAAGAGCATGATCACTTGCGCCTAATGATCCTTCCACTTCTACCCCACTAACCAGGTCATCAACATTGGTTAGGACCAGATCTAAAATGGCTGTTCCTCTTGTTGCATCTCCCACTTTCTGGACAATGAAGTTGTCTGCAAGGCCAGTGAGGAATCTGTTTGACCTTATGCTCTTGGCTGAGTTTGACATCCAACAAATATCCGGGTAATTGAAGTCCCCCATTACTACTATCTCCCTTCCTTTTGCATGCTTGGCCATCTGTTCCAGGAAGGCATCATCTATGAACTCCGTTTGGCTTGGGGATCTATAATAAACTCCCACAATGAGGTCACTGTTATTCTTCTCTCCCTTAATTTTGATCTAAATGCTCTCACTTTGGCTTTGAGGTTCATCCTAACTGGTTTGCAGGGAGAGTAAAAGACACTGGCTATTTATTGAAAATTCATTCTGATTTGTTTGTGGGAAGGTTAGATGACGTCGCATCAAAGCAATTGCTATCCCACACTTTCCAGTCCATTTCTCTATTATTTTATTTATCACCAAAAAAAAAAATCCACTCCTTGGGAGAAGCAGGTTTATTGTTCAAGACCTCCCCATCAACCATAGCTGTGCAACCTGAATTTTGCCTGAACGTGACTGAATCCCCAGTAAAGAATTATAAGGTGTGGTAAGCTGTTAAACGCTACAAAAATAAAATTGCTTTGGAGCATTTGATGATGACGATTTTAAATTTAAAAGTAGTTCCTATTTAAACATTTTTTTGTCAAAAACATAAGCTACTCTCCAAAGTATGGTTCAACAACATTTGCGGTGTAGCCGTCTCAGAGTGACTGACTGGGCTTAGAAGGGTAGCAAAAGGTGTTATAAAGAGAAATACCTTTGTTGGATAACAATTCTCTCCCACCAACTACTAGACCTGTGCCCAGCTATTGTATTTAAATTATAAAAGTTTTATTATTTTGGAAAATAAAAAATTTTGGGGAAAACCCCAATAAAATATATTTTAGCTGTAAGTTAAAACATGATTTTCTTCGCCTTTCAGGTTTCCCTCTCTTGTATAGATTTAGCTTGTTGAACAGATAACGAAGCAATTCTAAGCATAGTTACTCAGAAGTAAGTCCCACTATGTTCCACGGAGCTTATTTCAGGATAGCTACAGGGATAGCCAATATGGTGACCTCCAGATGTTGCTAGCTTACAACGCCCCTCATCCCAGACCCTTGGCTATCCCTAGCTGATGGGATTTGGAGTCCAGCAAGGGCTGGAGAGCACGACATTGACTACATTGTTGTATAATACTGCCTTCTTAATCCAGCAGGACTGTGGACTAATCTATGAGAAATTCCCAGGCACAAAATGGAAAAGCATGTAGGCTGTTACCAGCAGAGGGACACACAACAAATGTTAGGAAATTACCTCAGTGCAAAAATTCCTCTCTTCTTACAACTCCCTGTGAGTATCTGCCAGGTGTCCTTCCTTATCAGCACCAACAATATGGGAATGATTCAGTTAAACAACTAACATCCTTTTTCCCTTCTTCCTTATGGTAACTCAGCTGCTCAAGCTATTTCTGACCATCAGGTGTGAGACTGATAAATAAGCAAATGCTTCAGTGTACTTCCTCTGCCGGCTGCCCATATGGGACCTCTCAAACTGAAGCAAAAGGTATGGACCTGGATTCCGTGAAAAGGTGTTAAACTGACATTAATTATTATTGTTGTTGTTGTTGTTGTTGTTATTTTATTTGTATCCCGCCCTCTCTGGCCATGGCCGGACTCAGAGTGGCTAACATCATAAAAACAACACAATATTCATAAAAACAGACATCAATTAATTAAAATACATCTTAAAATTGATTCAGACAAGTTAGAATCTGGGCAGACCCAGTGAAATAAGTGTCCAGTAGCAGTATCTGAAGAAGTGTGCATGCATGCGAAAGCTTATACCAAGAACAAACTTAGTTGGTCTCTAAGGTGCTACTGGACAATTTATTATTTTTTTAATATATATTTCGACTGTGGCCACCTACCTGAATCCAGTGAGATAAGATCAGTTTACAGAATAGCCCCTTTATTCCGATATCATCTCTCACTCTGAAACAGTAGGCAGTAGCAAATTCTACACACACACAAAACCATTCAAGGAATGATTATTGTACAGAAATAGGCTTGATAATTTTGTTTGTCACTTACTCCATGTTGGCAGCATTAAACACATCCTGAGTGCAATTCATAGACTTCATTTCCAACAGGAAATTTAATCTTGGCAGTGAAGTGTCCATGTTTGAAAAAGCTGCTCATGTACCAGTTCCCCTCTCCTCCTACAGCACAGCCTTCTTCAGCACTGATATCACAGTTTAATCAGGCATGTCCAAAGTCTGTTTTGGGGGCCTAATCCGGCCCACTGGTTGGTTTAATTCAGCCCCTGTGGCAGCTTATTTCCTGGTAAAATCATTAAAAAAGCTCAATAACTTCAGTCCTAAAATAAAGGTCAACAACTCTGGTTGGCCCTTTGGTCGGCCCTTGACTTCATCAAATCTGGCCCTCTTTGAAAAAAGTTTGGACACCACTGGAACTTAATCCCTGCTTACCAACCAGATCTGGGTTAACCCACCATTTCCTCGTATGATTAAAGCACGGTTTCCAAGTGAGGATATAATGGGAAACCATGCTAGAAGTGCAGAAGCGACCCATAAGGAAAGAGGTGAGATGTAGGAGGACGAATGCTCATTCTGGACCTAATAAACCAAATTTACCCTCTCTCTACACCACAAATGTATGGTGGTTTTATGCATGTTAAAGATTCGTGGTTTCTCCAAATTTTGAGATTTGTAGCAGGAATTCTCTGGTGTCCCCACACAGGCATTCTTCTTAGGTGTTGATCGGTGAAGTAGAGTTGCAGGGGCGACACATTTCCCCCCCAATCACCATTCCCACCAGTCACTCTCCAAAAGTTAGAGGGCGAACTTCTGGAATATCAAATTGTCTGATTTCAACGGAAGAGCTAAGCATCTGCTTTTAAGAAAACCCAACAACTTTGTTTTTCAGAAATTCTGCATAACAAAGACTAGTTTGCCAAGGCATATCTATGAATAAAGGCGACTGAGATGTTCCATTTTTTTTTATCAGTTGAAAGCACATAAACAAATGGCTTAGAATAGAATAGATGCTTCCCACTTTTCATTCTGCTGGGGAACATGTGGGGGAATTAAATGAAGATTTTTTTCCCCCTTCCCTGCAGCTCAGTTTCAACATATCAAAAGTTTCCTGTTTCCAGCTCAGTTCCTGAGAGCTCCTGGAACCGACCGTCAAGAATTAATGAAATCACATAACACCTAATTGCTTTGAAACTTGCCCCCTCATTCCCACATTTGCATCATCCGAGAAAAACAGCAACAAGGCACAAAGGCTACCTTGTTCCTTGACGTGAGTCATCGGTGTGACATCAGAGAAGGACCTGACCTAGTTTGTTCAAAATCACAACCAACCTGGAAATAACACAGTTTGTTCCCAAGATCTTATTTACCCCTGGATCCCTCTTTTCTATTCAACCATCATAATGCAGGCGTGACACATCTAAAGGTGCTTTTTCTTTGACCTTTTTTTTGGGGGGGGGGAGTTGTGTTCATGGGTATTGTTTGTTCATGAGTCTCTTTCCCCACACCCCACCTAGGCTCTCTCTGCAATGCATCCAAGCCAACCCCACTGGCAGGCAGCCTGGCTCTCTTGATGACGGCACCACACTCTTAATTTGTTCCAATCTGTTTCACACTGACATTTCAGCACCAACGTCACCAGCAGCTGAGATTTCATTGCTTCGGCTAAAAATAGCAGCCCTTTCAACCCCCACCTTCCCAGCACTTCACCCCAAAATAATTATTTAATGATAAGGGCTGAATGACACAAAATCAGGGGCACTTATACGAGACAGGGAAGGGCACAAGCCCAAAGCAATGAAAAAGCCTAGAAACATTCAGACAGGCTGCTAGAACCAGAATGTCCTTTAGAAGGGTTTATTTTATTTATTTATTTTTGAAGTAGACATAATAATACTGAAGCAATAGCACAAAAGAAAATCAGGTAGTTTCTGTCCTGATGAGTACTAGGTACTGATGACCACACACACACACAAATAAGTTTCAGCAGCTTATTCTGCAACTCCTCTAGACAAAGTAAATAAGCATCTCTGGCCTCTTGCAATGGACCTTTGGAAAAGAATGCCTGGGTTTTAGTTTGCACAGTGCCCTCTATGTGCATGACACACACACACACACACACACACACACACACAAAGATGCCCCCTGCCCCAAGGAGCTTACACAGTGTCTGTTTTTTTACACATATCATAAAGAGAAAGTTGAATGTTCTATGGATATGGAGCTTCTCGTAACAGAATAGCCAGGCTTGAACAAATGAAGTGGCTATCTGGTCTACTATTCCCACCTCAAAGCAGGCTCCTCCACATGTCTGCCTCACCAGACCTACCCCAATGGATTAATGTACATTGGACCAAGGAGTGTCCCACGTAAAGAGTTTGGATCAGTAATCTGCAATATATATTGTTCGTATTTTTGGCTGGGCCAAGTAAGTGAGTTAAGACAGGGTGACAGGAAACCTCTGTGATCCCATGTTGCCTCTCAAAAAGGGGGAGCATCCCTCCCCCCAGCTCACTAAGAACAATCCCAAAGCTGCTACAGAGACACACACCATTGGTCCATCAAGCGCAGTATTATACTGGCTGGAGGCAGGTCTACCAGGTTTCAGATGGGACTCTTTCCCAGTTGTACCTGGAGGTGATGGGAATTGAAAGGAGGACCTTCTGAATTCTAAGTGGTTGATCTGTCATTGAGCTATGGGCCTTTACTGCAAAATCTTTGGGAGAATTTCTTTTGAATTTGTAAGGATTTCTAACAATACAGGCTGTGGACAACAGCTTTGGTAGCTCATCTTCATGATGAAAATTTTTTTCCCCTTTCCTAATAATAATAATGTTCAAATGCCTGGGCAAATAGGTAAAGGTACCCCTGACGGTTAGGTCCAGTTGCAGACGACTCTGGGGTTGCGGTGCTCATCTCGCTCTAAAGGCGAGGGAGCCGGTGTTTGTCTGCAGACAGCTTCCGGGTCATGTGGCCAGCATGACTAAGCTGCTTCTGGCAAACCAGAGCAGCGCACGTAAATGCCGTTTACCTTCCTGCTGGAGTGGTACCTATTTATCTACTTGTACTTTGACATGCTTTCGAAGTGCTAGGTGGGCAGAAGCTGGGACCAAACAACGGGCGCTCACCCCGTCGCGGAACCGCCAACCTTCTGATCTGCAAGCCCTAGGCACATTGGTTGAGACCAGAGCGCCACTCGCATCCCAGCCTGGGCAATTTTTTGTTATTTAGTCGTGTCCAAAGCCAAATAGGAAAGAACTGAGATCTGCCAGGGAGACACATCTCCACATCCACATATTCACCCTGATGACCTATGAAATGCTGTGACTTTAAGATTAGACTATGCATATCAGAAGCAAAATCAAAACCAAGGTAGGAGGGTGAACAGATGAGAAAGTTGAAAAGTAACCCAACACCGGAATTGTGATTGCTCTTCGGCAATGTTTCTGGTTTACATCTAGAAGGTCAGCAGGGTCCAACACCTTTGGGCTGAGAACATCATCAATCATCAGTCCCAAGTGAACATGCTGCTTCTTGTAGCTTTCAGGAATTGCGCCAGGATAAATACAGTAGGAATTCCCTAGGGCAATGTGTTTCCCTTGCCCAACCCTTGTCCCTGCCTTGTGTGTGAACCTGAAGTATTTTCCTTTGAAATAGAATACAGTATTACTTTACTGCTTTCTGTTGTTTCACGGGGGCTCCAGGTAGTCTTCCAACAACATGACATGCTGTGGTTAAACACACAGGAGCTGGGGTCAGCGAAAAAGGTGGCAACCCTGCACCAAAACTCTCCTGCAGGGGAAGATCAGTGGTAATGGGCAGCCTATCTTTCAGCAGGGCTTAATTTGAGTCCCACGTCTGTTTCCATTGCCAATGTTCATTCCCAGAAATTTAGCAGTGAAAACAAAAACAAAAAATGGGTTGAAAGTGTCATTCTGCCTGTTCATTGTCACTTTCTCCCACCACCACTAAATCACTACAGAGCTAGTGTGGGATAGTGGTTAGATTGTCAAATAAGGACAAGGCAGACCTGTGTTCAAATTCCTTCTCTCCCATGAAATTCACTGCCTGAACTTGAACCTATCTCTTGCTTCTAGGCTAGCCTACCTCACAGGGTTGTTGTGATAAAACAAGGGTGCGCAGAACCGTGCAAACCGTCCTAAGTTTCTTAAAAGGGGGAGGGGAACCATAAATGCAATAAACAAATTCAGAGCGCTGGATTCAAACTAAGTTAGGACCCTTTGAAACCAGTGGCACAAGTTCATTGCCTTTTCAGTGCTCATTGCACATGGAACTCCCTCCCTACTAAGATAAATCTGACCCCATCTGTTTAAAGTTTTCATTTGTTTGTTTTTTGACAGGACAAGACACACTTTTCTTTGGTGGCCATTTGGCACCATAAGATAATGCTTAGCAAGGGACTCTGTAAGACTCCTGCAGACAAAAAAGACTACCTTTTTTTTTTTTAAAAAAAAAAAAAAGAGGATTGGTGGCTATTGCTGCTTATTGGTGAATTGCTACTCAGTGAATTATGAACTGTTTGTACTTTACTGCTTTGTGTTATTATGTTGAATTTTACATATTCTTATTCTGTTTTGATTTTGTTGTAGACTGCCTTTTGGCTTCTGCAAAGGGAGGGATACTGTACAATAACACACCTAAATAAATAAATGCAAAGAAAGTGCAACCAATTTGGATGTAATCCAGAGAACCCCCATATAACAATGAAAAGAGGATGGGGGAAGCCACTTCCAAAAAACATAATGGCGTTGTTTCCAGACAGACTGGAGCCCAGGATCTCCTTTTCTGGATAGTAAGCACTGTTTGTCCACCGTTATTAGCCATCTCCTCAGTAATGACAAGTTCTTGGTAACTCTTAAGGTCCTAAGCCAACAAACACTGAACTAAGAGGAGGCCTGGACATGCCTAATTAACTTTTTAGGTTATTATTTGACTTCTCTGTCAGCAAAGCCATTCCTGCCTATATTGGGAAGGGACAGAGAGCAGGTTATAAATTTTTTACTGAAATGTATTTTTTAAAAAAACAAAAACCTGATGCTAAAAATGATGGTAATGATTATACCCAATAATGCAAACAAAATCCCAAACTGGAAATCTCTAGGTAGGCGTGGGAAGGCGCGGCCTCAGGCGTCCCGGTAGCTGACTTGCGCCACCGGCTCCGGCGAGAGCATGTAGGGGGAAGAAACCCAAGGCTCGTCTCGGCAGGAACTCGGCGACCCGGGCCGAGGAGAGAGCGGGGGAGCTCAGGCCCAAGAAGCAGCTCTCATTTCTCGGCGGAAGGGGGAGGGAAAGCAGCGCCTGAGGGGAAACCGGAGCCGCTCCTTCTGGGAATCGGCAGGGAAGGCGCGCCCTTTCCCACTCGCAGCGCCTCCCTCTGACCCGAGTGCAGCTCGGGACGGGGAACCGGTGACCTTCTCAGCCCCTCGGGGACACTCCGCAGCCAGGGGCGGCCGAACGCAGCGCGCCCCTCCAGCTGCGGCCGGACTGCAAATGCGTATCTTCATTTATTTCCGCGCCCCTTCTGCGCCGCTTGATTGCAAAACGCCGCAAAGATAGAACGAGGGAAGCAAGGGGCAATTCGCCACGAGTACTTTAGAACCTGCGAAAGTGAAAGTATTCGAACGTTAAAATCACCTCCACTTTCTAAGTCTCTGGGCAGACCTGACTAAATAGCCTGCGGCTGCTGGGGGGAATTGGGAGTCCAGCAGCATCTTGGAAGGGACCCCCGGCTGCTTTCTTTGGCGATCGAGGAAGATTGTCTTCCCTCAGGCCCTTGCGTTCAGAGTTTGAGTGTCTGCAAAGTCCATGACACCTTTGGTAAAGGCTGTTCTCCAGCTGGAGTGCTCGCAGGCCAGTGTTTCCCAGTTGTCGGTGTTTATACTACATTTTTTAAAATTTACCTTGAGACAGTCTTTAAACCACTTTTGTTGACCACCAGCATTACACTTTACATTTTTAAGTTTGGAATAGAGTACAGTGGTACCTCGGGTTACATACGCTTCAGGTTACATACACTTCAGGTTACAGACTCCGCTAACCTAGAAATAGTACCTCGGGTTAAGAACTTTGCTTCAGGATGAGAACAGAAATTGTGCGGCGGCTATAGTCCAAGGACATCCAAGGGTCCCAGGTTCCCCACCCATTATTCTTCAGCATCACCTTCATTGGACTGGTCATGTTGTGCAGATGCCCGATTATCATTTTCCAAAGCAACTACTCTATTCCCAACTTAAGTGTGGGAAGCGAAATGCCGGTGGACAACAAAAGAGGTCTAAAGATGCTCTCAAGGCAAATCTTTAGAAATGTAGTATAAGCACTGATAACTGGGAAACACGGGCCTGCGAGCGCTCCCATTGAAGAACAGCCTTTGAAGAAGAAGCACGAACTCAGGGCGAAAGGGGAAAACGTGCCAGGAGGAAGGCACGTTTGGCAAACCTTCATTGTGATTTAACTCCCTCTGGAAACTTAAGTCCCCACTGTGGAAGGACGTGTGGGTCCAGAATTGGCCTCCACAGTCACTTACGGACTCATTGTTATGGAAGACACTCTTACTCGGCTACGAGTGATCGCCAAAGAAGAACAGCCTTATTATAAAGGAGGGCTGAATTTCTTCAGTGATGGGTGGGAGCAAATTGGGGGGCACCAACCCCTTTCTCAGCTTAGCATCCTGCCTCTACACTGACTTCACTCCCAGAGGAGCACCCCTCCATCGTCTCCCGAGACAGACGGATGCCCACCAACCAGCAAGCCCAGAGGACAATGGATGAGCTTCACCCTGGAGAAACCTCCAAGCCTGAGCCCTGGATGAACTTGGCCCTGAGCAAACGCAGGAATCTGTGACATGAGTTTACCTCTTGAGCAAATGCAGAGTGCGCCCACAAATCATAGTCTGAGCCAGGGGTGAGCTTGCCTCTGAGCACATGCAGAGTACAGTTCCCTCCTCATATCTACCGCCTGTCATAGCAATATTTTCAGGCAGCAGAGGCTCCCCCTAGGCCAGGAAGATATAAGAGCAGGCCAGAGCCCGCATTTCTGTTCAGAAACCCACAAAAGTGCTTTACGCCCCCAGCGTGTCCTTAAGGCACCCATGGAGGGTGCTCTGGAGCGCCCCTGGGCGCTCATGCATGTGCCTAAGCATGGAGTGGCGATGCAGGCGGGTTACGAGGAAGGGCTGCTCCCGACCAGCTGCCCGCCGTCGCCTAGCAAACTGCCACGCGCAGAAGCTCCAGAAAAGCGGTACTGTCTCTTTAACACGCTCCTCTTCTTCCGAAGCCCGGCCGTCAAGGAGGGAGTAAGCCAATCACCGCAGGGATATTTGCATGAAGGGATTGCGGGAACTAAAATAAGAACAAAGTGGAAAGGTTTGAGGGTATATAGTCAGAAAATATTAATAAAGAAAGAGATAGAGTCACACACGAGAAAGGCATTGCCTAGCCAGGTACTATAGGGACGACAGGCCCGACTAGAATTGCTCCGCCGTTTGCTTGCATGCTCGTTGTATGCTGGAAATACATGCAAAGCGAGAGGTTTATATACCGAAAGACTGCTACGTTTCTGATGCCCGGATGATCCTCAGTGGTCTGGGGTGCAGGCTTCAAACCTGTAGCTGTTTAGCGACAGAGTGGTTCAATTCCACCTTTCGGGCGAATGAGCAAACGCATTTAATTGTTTATTTTCAGAAAAACGAATGTGCAGTGGTTTAAAACAAGTAGTGGCAAAATTGTGCAGGTTTTGTTTTTTTAAAAGAGAAACAGCAGCATACGTTACTTGTTTTCTTCTCATGTTCTGAACCTGCCTCCATTGGTATACAGTATATCACGGGTAACCACCATAACATGGAAGCAGGGAGCCATTAAAAACTGTCAATACTATAAAACAGCAGCTGTCTTCAACTGAAATGCTAAATTCTCAGAAGCAGCAGGTAAGGTGGTAAGTCTGCTGGCTGTACCTGTTCACCTTACAGGAGGGGATTCTTATCTGCATGTTTCTTCATACAAACCGACAAAATAAAAATTAGCATTCCAGGAAAGCGTCCAAAATACTGTATAGTAACAAGAGATGTGGAGGCTAGGCGGGGAAAAAACCAGCATTAGGTAACTAAATAAGCTTCCATGTTAATTTTGCAAAGCTGTAACTTTTTTATTCACCCCTTACTTCAAGCGGTGAAGTTACTTCAAACTGCGGAACATTAGAAAAAGAGCAGTCAGTCCTCACACTGCTGCTGCAAATCAGGTTTAAGAAGCCTGGACTTTTTACTTTTGATAACCATTATGAAATTTGCATAAGAGGAGATCTCTACTCAATCCTCATTAAGGCAGATGGGCAAATATTGTATTTATGCTTTAGAACCCTTCAGTGATTTATCCTCACAACACACCTGAAAGGGAGACTGAAGTGAGGCCAAGCAATAACTGTATTGGCCAAACCGGGATTTTAGCTGATAACACCAGAACGGGACTGGCAGCTATTTCTATTATTTGCAAATTATAATTATTACACTTGTATTATTTCAGTGTCAGGAGCTGAAGTGGGGTGTACATGCTTCTCCCCCTTCCTGTTTTATGGTTGAGAGACAGTGATCGTCCAGAGATCACCCAGTGACCTTCATGGCTAACTGGGAGTTTCAACTCCGGGTCTCTAAGATCCTAGCTCAATGCTCTAACCACTACACCATGCTGTCTCTCTGGTGGGTTAGGATCATATTGTGCTGGTGATCTGTCAATTGCACTAACTTCTGGGCTCAATTAAAAGTGCTTGTCTTAACCTTGTAAACTCCTTTTTGGCCTGGGTCTAGGGTTTCTAATGGCCTGTGTCAGATCTTTAACAAAGTTTTTTTGTCTTCCAACCATCCGAGATGGGACAGTGGTTACCAGGGAGATGGCAAGTTGGTGGTGGCTCCCCAATTATGCTATTTCAGCATCTAACATTTGTTTGTCTTTTCCCAGGCTTTTCCTGATTTAATTTAATTTAATCCATTTTATCTCTGTGCTGGGCTGATGGGTTCTTGCTGCTCATTTAGAGTCTGCTGCTCTTGGTAACATTCTTTATATACTTTAATTGTTGTAATTATATTTTGATCCTTTGTACGACACCCTGGAAACTTGTTCCAAGGATGAGAGCTGAAAATCTCTGTAATAAATGCATACAACAATAGATAACCTCCCAGGTCCAAAGTTAACTGTTCCTTGTCCATGATCCCAATGTTGCTGCTTTCTGAACCAGCAAATTAGTTCCACATTTTTAAAAGGTGATGTAGGAAGGATTGTTACATGGGCAGCCAGCATGTGACCCAGTGCTGTGAATGATGTGGGCAGGCAAGCTGGGTTTTGTGGCACTCCTGGAGGGCCAGCAGGCCTTAGTTATAGCACAGAATCAGACCCACCTATTGCAATGGCCTGGATTAGGACCCATAAACTAAAGCTGGGTCCCAACAAGATGAAGGTTCTGTGGGTCAGTGGTTCTCGGACCCAGGAATGAGGTGGGTAGCCTGTTCTGTGGTTAGGTGTGTGTCAAGCTGCACAAGGATAGCCTGGTCTTAATTATCCACAGACTAATAGCCTCTCGTATAGACTACAGCGATGCACTCTACATGGGGCTTCCCTTGAAAATAGTCCAGAAGTTGCAGCTGGTGCAGAATACTGCAGCCAAGTTGTTATTGGGCTGCCGTCATAGCAGTCCAATGCCAAAGGTACTGCACTGTAGACTACCTGGCCCAATTCAAGGTGTTGATGGAATGCAATGCCCTAAATGACCTGGGTTCTGTTTACATGACATTATATGTTTCCTAATATCCATCACCCCAAGTCTTAAGATCTGCCAGAGAGACATTGTTTTGTGATCTTGAGGACCAGCGTAGCAGCAAGGTGGTGACACCAAACATGGCCTTCTCAGTGGTGGTGCCTTGTTTATGGAACCCTCCCCATTGAGATACGGCAGTTGTCCACACTAGCTATATTTAGATAACAGGCAAAACTTGTTTATATTTTCCGGGTCTTTGGAACCCTATAATATTGATGCCAGTTGCAGCTTAGGCTTGTTATTGCTGTTTTGCATGCATGCATGCATGAATGATTTTATTCTGTTATATTTTACATTAATGTTTTTTATTGTTGTATTTTATCTTAATGTTTCTGTTGTATGCTGTACTGTAGGCCACCTTGTGCTCTGATCTGGGGAGAGGGCGGTGTATAAAATCTCTGAAATAATCAAACAAAAAAATTTCAGCTGTTCTGCATTTTTAAGAACCATTCATTCTTAACAGGGAAGTGATCCTGTGTTGTATTCAGAAAGGAAACATCGACTACTGCCTTGCCTAGAATTTTGTATTTACAAAGAAGCTGGGTTCTACATTCCTGTATTTTCCAACCCTCCCGTGCTCTCCTGTCTCATAGAATCTTTTTGTACGCTTCTCTGACATTTGTTTGACTGTCCCACAATGCAACTTGGGAGCACAGCGAATTCCAGATGGCTATTTAATTTGCACAATTCCATCTGTTTCTGCAAATCAGCATGTCTGGGGCCATGGCCCATAATGAACTCTCTGAGTCCAAAAGCACTATGGTAGCCCTTTAAACACTGAACAATATGAAGTTTGGTGATGGGGTTTCATTGTCCCCAGAGGTAGCTTTGGAAAGAGAGTCTTTGTTCGTCAAATTGGCAACTCAGAACAGCTAATCTTGATGTCAGTTTCATAAATGAGCATAATAAGTCCTTTTAAATGTGCGGTTAGAAAATGAGCACGCTTTTGTGTCTGTCTGGTGTTTTTATTCAAGAAGCTGTTTGAGATTAAATCTAAGCAATCGAAGTCTATTCAACTGCTCCCGTCCTGTAAGCAACACATAAATAGGAGGTTGCGTGCTTTGTATTGAGCTAAGTTTGAACTGTACAGCAGGCCCAGTGCAAGACATTAGAGTAGTGCCACGGGTTGGCCATCCTCAGTTGTGGCCACACATTTTTCTGCTGCTGTCATAGTTGTGGAAGCAACACAGTGTACTGAACAGTGCCAGATTAAACCCTGTGGAGGCCCCTAGGCAGTTGAAATCTTGGAAGGCCCCTTTGCAAATTATCTCCTAATACATCTTTGTATTTTTGTTTCATAATCAAATCAATATTATTTTGATCCATTGTCGCAGGACCCCTGAAAGGCCAGTGCCTATTTGGTAATCTGCGACTGGTACTTCCCTCCTTGCCAGGCCCTTAGATTTTAGTGGTCATTGGGTGGCATTAAGATTTGGCTCGGTGAAGCCAAGCTGGATTGCATCCTTGGAAGCCACTCGCTATCTTAATTTACCCATAATGCAGTGCCACGGCAGACCTATAGACAGTGGGTTTTTTCAGGGGGTACGCAGTACCAGCACCTCTCTTTTGTTGTTAAAAAGAGTGGCACTTACTATAACAACTTTGTGGTGCGTACCGGCACTTCTCTCTCTTTTGGTTAAAAGGTGTAGCACTGTAACAACTTCGTGGTGAGTACCGGCAGCTATTTTTCCAGAAAAAAAAGCACTGCTTGTAGATCTATGAAATTCAGAGGATGGGGATATTTGCGATTGGGCAGTCATCAAACACCTGAAGATCTGGGCAGGGTGGCGCTTTGTAAGAAGTTGCCTCACCAATGGCTCTTTAAGGGAAGCAGGTATCACTCTCTTTTGTAAAGAGCATTCACCACACCTTAGACCCACTCAGTCTCCCCACACTGGCTAGATCATATTTCCCAGGAGGGATGAGGGTCAAAAGTGGCCGTGCACATCCAAGCATCTGGCCACATGAAACTCAGCCCACCACACCAGAGCAGGCGTGGTCTGAAACACCTCCTCAGGAACTGTCACAAGCTGCAAGGTTGGTGCAAATCCAAGTGATTTTATCCTACCAAATTAGGATAGGGAACCAAATTAGTTTGGCTCGATTGCCACAGACTCTTCACCGCTCAAAAAACAACTCTACTGGATGGCAAACTGAGGCTATAAAGTAAGCTGCTTCTTTGCCACCTTTATCACCATCTTGCGCAATCATGTAATCAGGCAGGAACTTGGTTGTCCTTGCTATGAGTGTTAAGTTGTGGGTGAACATATCAGACGACACAGCGATTCTTCAAACAGCTCTTGTTTATTCACAGGCCAGAACAGAACTGAACTGAAGGTTCAGCCAGCCTGCTTATATAGAGCTCCAGAACAACGTAATTGTAACAACTTTCTGTAACTATCCAATCACTGAATGTCACTTTCGATCCCTTATTTGCATATGTGGACCTGAACTATCTACAGTATTCCCCTGCTGGCCCAGGGTGCGAACTTCAGTACATAACAATGAGACTTGGACCACTTGTGCTTCAAGTATCGTGAGGCCATCTTCATAGCCCTCAGCTTCCCAGAGAACCAGGAAGCCACAGAGGCTCTGCAGTGACCGAGAGGGGACAGCTGTGTCCATGGACCTCCGCATCTCCCCATTTCACAGTGAGACCAGGACCTCAACAGAAATCACCAGCCTTGTGAGTCAGAAAACCTTCCAGAACATTCAAATTCCATAAGTCTCCAGGAGTGGACCATCTTCATACAGTTTCCCTTCCCTGCAGAAAGCGGGGTTATTGCTATCAATGCAAATCTCCATCTTACGTCAGAAACACACAGAAAGATCTCTACAGTCTAATTACTTGGTTATTTGCAATTTGTGAGTGAAAATTAGCTGCGCTAGCACAAGCTGTTCCACTCCTTTCCAGTCCACCGTGGAAGGAGAACTTTTTTTTTCTTTGCTGCAAAGTACAGGCAAGGTAATCATATGCCATTATGAAGAAAAAGTGGAGAATGGTCTCTTAAAATGTATGTTCCGGATATAGTTTGCTTTTATGCATATGAATGTGCTAATGCATCCCTGATCAAACTTACCAGTAATGCCTTCCCACAAATAATGTAACCCTATGAACAAGCCACTGAAAGTTTTATGAGGCTGGGGTCACCAATGTGTCACCCACAGGCAGTGTTACTTTTCTAGAAAAAGAGGTGCTGGAACTCACTGCAAACCCTTGTTCTTGTATAATGGCTATGGTGCCCACCTGAGAGGTGCCGGAACTGTGTTCCGGCAAGTTCTGGATGAAAAAAAGCCCTCCCTACAGGATCAGTGGTGTCCTTGATAGCCCACAAAGCTAGGGTTGCCATATTTCAAAAAGTAAAAACCAGGACACCCCAAAAGTGGAAGACCCCAACATTGTTGAGCTTTCTTTTAGGAAACCACCGAAACTGCTGAGCTTTTTTTAGACAAACCCCAAAGTTTTTTTACAAAAACGCCAAAATTCCACCTCTCCCCACATGACCTGACCCAGGCCCTGCATTTTTTTCATTTGAAGCCCATGTCCACAGGAGGTCCAGAAGGTGTCAACATATAAACAGGGCTTCCTACTTGTAGAAACCTCTCTCCAGGGAGGTTTGCATGGTACCATCTTTATTTTTAGGTGCAAGACAAAACCTTCCCCCCCCCCGGCTTTTGGCACTTGATTTGAAGTGTTTTGAGTACTTTTCGCCCCTTTTGGTGGGGCAGGTTCCCTATGGCCTGCCTTTTTATTTGTATAGCTATGTTTAAAGTTTTTACTGGTTTGTTTTTTTGTAATTGGTTTAAGTGTTTATACTGTGTAAAGTCACTTTGAGACATTTTTTTGTGAGTAAAGCAACAATGACAACAACAATGTCAATGGGCCCCAAAAGGTTGACAACCCCTCATATAAGATGATACAGCACAACTTTATATTTTCAGTTCAGGCTTTGAAGGACAAGGCAGCCTGTTGAATGAAAATAAGTAATAAAAGGACCCATTTCCTGCTCTTATACCAAACGAATTGATGTGCTAAGTGCAGTGTGTGACATTAAGATTTTTGTGCTTTATGATGCACTCTGCTGCAAAAAAATTATGTTTAATGTGAATTGTAGATTTCACTCTGTAGTCTATATGGATTGATTGTTTATGCCTCTATTTGCTTCTATAAACTCGCAGTTACTCTGGTATTTAGCAGCGGAGCTTCATAGAGTATGGAACTATTCCTTAGATGAGCAGACCGAATAAAAATCGATGGCATCATCCCAAAAGTGGTTGAAATGCAATCAATGGATGACCTAATCCCCAGCAAAGCAAATTACTGTTTTTGATCTTTTTGTCTAAATGGAGCTATAATGTGGTGTGGAGGATGTGTTTCTCTTTAGGGGCGAGCTGTGTGATTGACATCACTTTTGGTACATGGGTGACTGTCTTCTGAATCAGGGAGCATGTGCTTATGGGGGAGTGAGCACAACTGTGTCATCGAACTGTGCACATGATGCGTGCATTGATGTACACACAACAAAGTACCCTTTGGAGATGCCATCTGCAAGGGCTGGATCGAAGGCTGCGGGACTGCAAAGGGCAAGGCATCTACTCAGACTGGGGAAGCACTGAAGGAACAAAAGAGTCTCCAAATCAAAGAATTATTGAGTTAGAAGGGACCACAGGGATCATCTAGTCCAGGGGTTCTCATCCTGTGGGTCCCCAGATGTTGTTGGACTACAAGTCCCATCATCCCTGACCACTGGTCATGCTGGCTAGGAATGATGGGAGTTGTAGTCCCAAAACATCTGGGGACCCACAGGTTGAGAGGAATCTTTTGCCCAACATATGGCTCAAACCTACGACCCTGGGATTAAGCGTCTCATGCTCTGACTGAGCCCCTGTCTGAAACTCTGGAGAGTTGCTGCCAGTTTGTGTAGACAGTACTGAACTAGATGAACCACATGGCCTGGCAGCTTCCTATGTTCCTGCGCATGACTTGTGCTCCATACTGTTTTGACCTTCTCTGTTGCCGCCTTCTGGGCCCGTCTGTCCACATCCTTCGTAAAGCACGGCACCCAGAACAGCACACACTAGTCCAGGTCTGTCCGGGGCAGAATAAAGGGGAATGATTCCTTCTTGTGACTGAGAAACAATGGCTCTGTTCAGACAGCCTAAAATCTCACATGCCAGTTTGTTTTTTGCAGGAGTGCCTGGTGTACTCTGGTCCATGGGGTCACGAAGAGTCGGACATGACTAAACGACTAAACAACAACAACACATTGCTGACTCACATGCTGCTTGTGATCAGCGGTAATCCTGAGATCCTCTTCACAGGTGCTTCTTCTGCCAAGCCAGGCATCTCCCATCCTATGAACTATGGTGATGAACATGATAGAATAAACCCTCCATTTTTTAATTTTCTAAAAATAAGTTTTATCTTTACAGTATGCTACCCCAAAGGCTACAGTATATGCATTTATAGGGACAACTGCATCCACTTCACGCCATAAAGAAAAAGAATCCAGAAAACCAAGAGCAGACGATGTTTGTGTGGAAAGCTCTGTAGCTCTTCCGCAAGGCCTCTGCTTTGCTTCCTTGGCCTAAAGAGCCACAACGGAGCAGCTCCTTCAAGGAACAGACAGCCTGAAGTTGGAATTCCAGTAGAGGGCTCTAATGCTATAGCAATAGAACTGACAGAAGGGCAGATTGGCACACCTAGTGGTGGAGAGCGCAGGGCCCTTTCGAAAGTGATGTTAATTAATGAGTCGCTAAGGAGAAGTCACCACATCCCACCCAAAGGACTGGCCTTGATCCCCCACTCCACCCCCGGTTGCATCCAGTTCATTGCAAAGGAGACGTGGAAGCTGTCCTTTGTACGCACCACAGGGAGAAAGTCCACATGCAGGCTGAGTTTCATTCAGCTGCCAACTCCAAGAGTGTTGTTTTTCTTGTCTTCTCGTTTTCAAGGAGCATTTAGCCAGATGGCCTGGGTGGTTCTCTCCCCCACCCCTTCTCTCTCTCTCTCTCTCTCTCTCTCTCTCTCTCTCTCTGTGTGTGTGTGTTTAAATGCATTGTGCGTTGGTTGGATGTGTGTTTGGAAGGAGCTGCCAGCTTTGCAAAAAAAGAAGGAGAAATGGAAAGAAGGAGCAAAAGAAAGTGCCATTTGGTGTCTATCCCTGGTATCTGGCCAGCTCTCTGTTCTAAGGAAGGGGGAATCTTAGAAGTCACATTTCAGTCTCAGAGAAACTACCATAAGAATAGGAGGAACCAGGACAAAAGTCCATCAAGCCAAGCATTCTGTTGCCAGCAGTGCTGGCCAGCCAAAAAAGCTTTAGGAGGATCAAAGACCAGTGTTGGCTCCTGTTCTTTGTCTCTGGCAGCTGATATTTAGACATGTTTGGGTGCCCATTAATGCATTGCGAAAAGGAAAAGGAAAGAGGGCCCCAATTTGCAAAAGATTTGCATACACTAATGTGTGTGTGTGTGTGTGTGTGTGTGTGTGTATGCACGTTTATAAAGAATTGCCCATAACTTAAAGAGAAATGCACTGCCTCTCACCATAGCGAGGGAAGATTGGGATCAGGCGCTGAAGAAGGGTGCACTTGTGGCCCTTCATAGAATCATAGTCCAGCCCCCTGAAATTCAGGAATCTCAACTAAAGCATCCATGGCAGGTGGTCATCAGATGATGCTGGACTGCAGCCTCCATCATCCCTGACCACTGGCCACGTTAGCTGGGACTGATGGGAGCTGCAGTCCAACAACATCTGGAAGGCCCTGAGTTCCCCACCCCGGTACTAACTTGATGCACAATGACAAGGCCCCTGTGCTCTCTTCTTTAAAGCATCTATGGTCTGGATAGCCCTTCAGATAGACGTCTGCCCCCTGACAGCCCTTCAGGTAGATGCCTGTCCTCTGTAAAGTGGGGCACAAGGCCGCTCTAGTTAGTACATGGAGACCTCATTTAGCAAGCAAATTCCTATTGATAGACCTGTTCACCATGCACTTGCTTTTGCTTTCAAAACATTTTCATTGCAGGAAGGTGGACTAGATGACACTTAGGAACACTTCCGACCAGTGGCGGAGCTTCAAGCTCCAGCACTGGGGGTGGAGAGCTGGTGGGGGTGTGGCTGGCGCGTGTCCCGGGGGCGTGGCGCATTCCCTGAGGGGGTGGCACACTGCCCACAGGGGCATGGTGTGTGTCCTGGGGGCGTGGCACGCCACCTACAGGGGCGTGGCGCCCAGCACGGGGGGGGGGCAGCCACAATGGCACCCCACGGGATCGTGGTGCACTCCCCCTCTTCCTCTGCCAGTGCTTCCAACTCTACACTGCTATGATTCTAAGTCTTCTAAAGTTCTAGTTGTCTCTGTATCTTGCAACAGCCAGTGTCTTCCATTCATTCTGATGTATCACAAGTATACTTCTTTTTGTCTGACCTGAACCTCCTGCAAATCAACTTAATTGGTGACTCCACGTTGTAGAGAGAGGGAGGAAAATGTTGATTTATCAGCACTGTTTATAATTTTATAAACCTCATTGGGAGTAATAATTGGCAGTGCTGGCCCAAGACCTTTTTTCTGCCTGAGATGAAACAGCAAATAGTTCTCCCGCTCAGGTCTAAGGTTCATAATACACAAGGTTGGCCAAGGTATTTGCCATGTGAGACCACAAAGACCTTTACTTGGAAGTCAAAACAAAACAAAACACAATTTAGCTATTTGAGGTGATCACCTCGGTCTGCTCAATGGTAGGGCTGCCCCCGATAACTGCTGGTCAGGAAGACACCATCGAACTTGCAATAATGGTGGTGGCAGAACCTGGAGACAATGAATCAAACTGGCTATATTTGAAAGTATATCCTGTGGTTGATGTGGTGAAGTGCTGTCAAAGAAGAGATAGTTGCACTTGAGAGGGGAGAGAGAGAGAGCGCGTGCATTGGATTCATGTATTTCCCGATCACATCAAATTGTTTTCACTGAAATGACCTGAAATCAAGGACCATCGGGTCAACCAGTGTCTCCATAGCAACAGAAGCTGAGGGTAGTGCTGGGCATATAACTCAGATAACATTTCTTTTCTACAGTAATAAATCTGCCATCGCATCCCTCTTAGAACAGCTTTGGTTAATTTTGATCACGTACAGAGGCAAATTTGTTGCTCCTGCAGCTTTGCTAGGTGTGTAAAAGAGGGAATTTCAGCAGCTGTAGCTCATGTCATCAAGGAGTAGGGGACGACAGAGGACAAGATGGTTGGACAGTGTTCTCGAAGCTACCAGCATGAGTTTTTCCAAACTGCGGGAGGCAGTGGAAGACAGGAGTGCCTGGCACGCTCTGGTCCATGGGGTCACGAAGAGTCGGACACAACTAAACAACAAGCTTGTGTCATACAAACTCTACCTGCTGAAATGTCCTCTTCGGCACAGCAATTCAAGGCAGGAACCTTTTCCCATCTGACCATCTGACATAGGGTCACCTAGGGGAAGGAGTAGAAAAGGGTTGGGTACTTCTCCTTGGTATGAAGAGGAGGATTTAGTACATGAGGCTTGTTACACAAGGGTAAGATAGCCAGCCAATCAGCAGATAGCCAGCCAATCAGGATTTTTAAAAAAACGATATTTTTCTTCACTTCTCACTTACCTCTTTGCCGCCCCCCATGCCTCGTGCTGTGCCCCCCCCCATTTGCACATTTTTCACCTGGGCCCCCCTTGGAATATCCCTTCTATGATTCTAAGAGTCAGGACAGACAGATTAATGTCTTCGCACAGTGCAGAGTTAAGTGGTGGAATTTGCTCCTACCAGAGGCAGCGATGGCCACCAACTTGGATGGCTCTAAAAAATGGGATAGTCAGATAGATTTATGGAGAAGACTATCAGTTGCTACCAGCCATAAGGGCTATGTTATGCTTTACACACCTCTCTGACTATCACTTGCTGGGGTTCGTGGACAAGAAATGCTGTGTGGGCTCAGGTCCCGCTTGTGGGCTTCCCTTAGACATCTGGTTGGCCACTGTGAGAAGAGGATGCTGAACAAGATGGGCCTTTGATCTAATCCAGCAGGACTGGTTCTTGAAAATAGGTGCAGGAGCTAAGCTGGGATTCATGGCTGAAGCACAGAATGGTGTCCTGGATATTCACAGAAGCTGTTTCCCCCTCCCAGGGCTAGTCAGTGTGAACAAGCAGCTTCAATTATTGCCTGCAGTAGCATAACCTACTTCACAGGGCTGTTGTGTAAATGGAACTAGTGATGGTAGGAAGTGCACTGCCCATAGTAACTTGGAGGAAAGGCAGGATTCGAATATAACAAACAATGCTTCCACTCCCCATTCCTAAAAATAGGAATAAACAACAGTATATGTCCAGTATATGCAAAGACCCCTGAGATTTGTCACATGGGAGGTGGGTGCT